CCAATATCTTCGCTAAACTTTGCACATCGTTTGCGGGATATCCTCAAGTCTTCCTCCGTGCAATTAAAAATGGTGGCACCTCGAGATCGAAGACGAGTAGCTGTGTTTGACCGCTGTTCTTGCATTCCATCACGGAACTGAAAATCAGGTGAGTTTCGAACACTGCTTACAAAATTCTGGACCACTCACTGAACGGCCTAACCAGTGATTCGGAAGGTCACCATGGTATGTGGCAGGAACAATGTCTAAAATATCACGAAGCTGACCTTGCACTTTAGCAGCTGTGCTGCCAAAACGGTCCAGTTTATCATACTCGTCGTCAATGGTTGTTTGAAAAGTCTTGGTAGGCTCATGTAGCCAAAGAGCATGAGTTATCTCAAACTGATGCCCCAGTCCCTTGATTACTTGCTCATGGTGCGTGTCATCATCTCTTGAGCTCTTGGTTTTTTTTTCCTTCTTTGATCCCCTTTCAACAGACTCATCCTGATGTACCTCATTCATAGCATCGTCGTATTTACGACGCATAGTTTTAGCTTCTTCCTTTGCAGCATTAGCTGCAATTTGAGCGTTACGGGCAGCCTATATACACCATCAGCACATCTTTGTGGACAAGAAACTAACTGTCTCTACCTTATACAGTGATGCCGGTGACATTCGCAGACTGATTTGTGATAAATCACTATCTGATTCCGTGTTACTGATGGGTTTCTGCGCAGAGCTTGGATGCTCGTTACTATCTGGTGAGTCTGATACCTCTGAATCATCTCCACCTCTCTCTCGTTCACTATTGCCCTCCATTTCGGTACTAGACGCCTGTCTGCGTGAAACAACTCTGCTCTTTGCATGGGCTATTCTTCTTCCTGGAGCTTGAGCAGTCTGACGAGCAGCCTTTTGATTGGTAGAGGTCTTCTTCTTCTTGTCTTTGATATGTTTCTGTTTTTTTTCCATCTGCACTGTTTTGGTTGGAGACGAGCAACAGTGTGGAGTATCTGTTACTGACTCTGATTCAATTGTTACGTACACCAGGCTAACCGTGACTTGTAGATAACATCATGATCTATGATTTTCTCAACAACGACGTCTCCATGCTCAACTATACTAGCTAGCTACACTATGTCTCATATTCCTAGGACAACCGAGGCAAAAAAAGGACCATGGTGTAAATATTGTCAACAACACCGAAGCACACAGCGCTTTGACAAGCACATCAAGTCCTGCAAGGTCAGAAATCAGGAACAATTAGAGCTAGCGGCACGACAAGAAAACCATTCAGAGAAACGGTGCTTAGGGAGATCACTCGAGGAGCCAAATCAAAAAAGAAAGAAAACTGTTGAGGTGTTAACGTCTCTCTTTTTCAACTTCTTAAATTTACAGTTCTGTGCATCTTATCAGGCTGACGGAGACCGGACTCAAGTCAATGACGAGGTTGAAGCGGGTCCTCCAATCAGCGGTGCGGGAATATTTCATTTCATTCTGTCTTTCAACTGTGCCTGACAGACTTGAGTCTTGACTTAGCAGAATCTGGTAACGACGAAACCAATGTCCAACAGATATCAAGTGCAACTTTTATTCAAGTTGTCCACCATCCTCAAAGTGGGAAGCACGACCCAGTCATAATTCCCCTTGACAGTGTTATCCCTTCAGCTGATCAAGGCAACCACGAAGCTGGACTTGGCTCTGCATTGGAGATCAAACCGTGGGCGCCCTTTCGCAATCGTGCCGACTTTGAATATGCGGAAACAGCTGTCAAGGGATTATTAAGTAAAGCAATAGTAAACACACAGTTATATGGGATACATCATGGATGGGCAGATAATACTAACATTACATTTCGGAACTATGCAGACATCGAGAAGACTTTACAAGTAGCACGTGCACAATATGTCCAGGTGGGCAAAGACGACCCTCAAAATCGATTCTTCTAACCTTTCTTTCAGTTTCAAGAAGGAAATGTTTCTGCATGTTATCTAGGAGAAACTCATTACTTCAAGTTTCAGTACCGAGATCCGTGGAAAATCTATCGCAACTGGATTATGGATGAGACATTAGCGCCTCTCATCCTTTGGCATCCTTGCCGCAAATATTATTGCCGTCGAAATGGTAGGATAGTCTTGAAAGAACGCATATACGACGAGTTCAATTCAGCCAACAAATGGTGGGACGTACAGGTAAATATATAGTATATACATTTACATGCTTTCTGATGTGGATTAATTTGAATGCAGGAATCCTTTCCACAAGAAGAACCACCGCATTGCTTTCTACCGATCTCTCTCTGGCTTGACAAAGGCAACATCACTAAGCGGGTCAAGAAGCACCCTATAATTATTCGTCCGCTATTTTTGCCGCGGGGGGTAAGAAATGCGTCGGGAAATGGAGGAGGTGTTCTTGTAGGGTATATGCCCATTGTAAGCGTTTTTTCTGCTACACAGGGGCTTCTTATTGCATTGTTTTTACAGCCTTTGGACCCGGCCGACCCATCTGACAGAAACACTGCTGATACCATTAAATGGCAGTGCTTCAAGCGTGAAGTTTACCACAAGGTTGCCGAAGTAATATTCCACTCACTACGATGGCCTGCACGCTTCGGAGAAGCAATGGCCTGTGGTGACAAAATTGATAGAGTGATACATCCAGGAATACCAGTCAAGTCTGTTGATGGCGAAGAAAGCTGTGCGCTAACAGCTACGCGTGCGGCCCTGGCCAAATTTCCATGCCCGAAATGTCTTGTCTGCCATGACAGTTTAACGAAACTATGCGGAAATTTTCAGTGTCGCACAACTGACAACATGGAGAAGGTGTACAAGCGTTCAATCACAGCATCAAATAAAACGGAGGCTGAACGAATCTTACAAGCCCACGGATTACATGCAACCAAGGTTTTCTCCCCGTATTTTTTTTATCTTCCACTCACTAGCTTTTTACAGAACTTTTTTTGGTCACTCGACCACTCAGACCCATATTGTTCCATTTCATACGATAAATTACACTCCGATGATCTAGGAAAATGGGGTAAGCACATCTGGCCGCTCCTCCTCACAGTGTTAGCAGAAAACGGAAACAAAGGCCATATGGCCAGAAAGTAAGTTTCAACTACACGTCAAACTTGACGTCTCACTGAAACTCGGGATATATAACATGCGGAATGTATCAAGATGGCCTGGACTCAAACACTTCATGAACGTCACCACAGTCGAATATGCGGATGGTCAAGTGTTTTATGATATACTCAAGGTGCATAGTCCTTAATACATTATTTATTAGCGCTATACACTGACTTTTCTGTTCTTCTAGTGCATCCTCCCATGCATCGTCCAAATTCTCCCTAGGAACTCAACATTAGTACATGGTATCCGAGCCTATGCTAGATATCGGCTCATGATTGGCCTCAATTGTATGACCGAAGGGAGGACACACCGGCTAAAACAATATATTATTCAATATGAACAATGTTGTGAAGTGAGTAGCGGTTCTACATGTGTCTTGATTGTTTTCTAATGGTTCTTATAATACAGCACATTTCAAACAATTACGAGAAGGACTTCCACTTTAGCAAGCAACACGCCATAAATCATATTCTCACAGAAATCCGGCAGAAGGGTGCAACGGATAACTACGACACACGAGTCAGCGAGGGCTTTCACCAAGAGGCGCAAGAAGCCTACGAGCAGACAAACCGGAAAGATACAGACAGCCAGGTAAGCAAACATATTTATGTGTACCAAAAGCCCGATGTTCAGTTTCCACAGATGGCTCGCATTGACGAGAACCAAGAAGCCATCGCCCACATACGGATGACCGTCGACAACTATGATAAAGCCCACCATAACGACACTGAGGACCAAGACTTAGGAGATGACGCTGGCAGAAATGATGACCAGAGGTCGACACAACCTACCCCCGATAACCACTGGATGCTAGGATCTCCCACAAACCTGACAAGCTCGGTAGTCATGGAGCATTGCGAGGGCCTCAAAGGATTTGACAAGCGTCTGCGGAGTTTTTTAGTCTCAAGTTGCAATGTAGCCGTTGGAGATGGTCCCATCTCAGTAAGCTGATATTAGATATACTTTACAGCTCTAACATTGTTCTATGTTCCACAGATCAGGAAATATCAATGCATTTATCTTAAGTATCAATCACACGAAGACTGGAGCGAAGGACGGGACATCCTTCGCTGCAACCCCAACTTCAATAAAGAATCACGCTTCGACTGTGTTCTCATTAACACAGACACATCGGAGCCAGTTCCTGCTCGACTCCAAACCGTCTTTCGATGTTTCCTTCAGTCCTCTTCGTTTGATATTGTGTCGGTCAAGATATTCAAGCCATCAAATGGAATTCCGAGGACCAGATGGTCGGGGGCACTTTTGTATGATGAAGCGAGAGATTTCAAGCTGGTCATGGCTAAGTCCCTGATTCGGGGAGCTCATATGATCGAGGCTTTTGATCTGAAGGAAGGCCGGTTTTATTTAAATGACTTGATTGATGGTGATATGTTCCTACGTTTCGGGAACTGACAACTAGACTGCTTTTATTGTTAACTACCACTAGTAAAATCTCAGGTGTCACATTTTGAACCGTTGAGCTAAGTCTGTCTGATGGCATCTATTTCAACCCATACATGCTCTCTTTTGATCTGGTCATGTCTGGTCAGAGAATATCTGTCGCTCGTATCCCTCTTACCCCAGCTAATCCGCCTGATCGTTTTCTGTCCCAGTTCCGATATGTTTCTCATCAGACACAATCTGTGTCTCTTATCTTCTTATCCCAGCTGATCCGCCTGATTATAGTCTGTTCTATTTCTGATCCGATTCTGATCACCAACGGCTCAGATCATCAGGTGGCCCAGGTAAGTTACAGACATTCGTAGGGTCTGATCTGGTTAAACGGATTTTTCCGACACAGTTCGCAGGGCGCGATCGAGTACAACGCCGTTAGACAATGACACAGGACTCGAAATAAAAGTGAAGTACATCCATAGAAATTCATGACTGTAGTGAACAACATATTGAATGATCCATTGATGACTGCTACTTGTGTATGTACGGAATGAGATGTTGTAGAGAATAGTGACAATGGGTGGACCCCCTAAAAGCTCGAGGAGCCTGGAAGTAACATGCACAGCAAAGCGAGAGGAATGAACAAGTGACCAGTCGACGGCATAAGGAATACCTAATACAACATCGTCCTTAGATCCCATAGTACAAAACACGTGTATCATAAGCGTTTAAGAGCCTTTTTACGTTTCTCCACTGCTGAGCCGGGTGCGGCTGATCTCTTGACCGCCTTCGTGGCAGCCGTAGCAGCGGCACTTAGACTGGACTGGCTAGCCAATCCAGCAACGTTTGAATCCGCTGTGCCCAGGGGTGAAGGAGACGTTACTCGCTCTTTACCGTCCTTACCGGACGATATGGACGAGGCAGAGTGAGATGAAGGTAAAGTGTTGGCAGGCGAAGATTGAAGTGGCTGAGGAGATGGAGAGGTCGACTTTCGCGGTGACGTGACATGCGTAGGCATTGGCAAAGTTATTGACTGAGGCGGTAGTGAGATTGTGGAAGTAGAAGGTGGTGAAGTATTATCGTTATCATCGGAAGAGGAGGTCGGCTCAAACTCTGGAGGACGAGTACGAGGCGTAGCATGGACACTTGTGATCAATTTGGCCCGATCGCAATAACTTTCATAGTTTTCCAATAGGAGCTTGCCTGCTTCCTCGTCCAGGGCCGACTCAGGGTTAGGGTAAATCAGGAGACATTTTACGGTGACCAATATATGGCCAATGCCGTAAGTCGATTTCCAGTCCTTCTTCAAAGTATTAACACAGATTTCGCCTGCCCCTGAGACATTGGGGTGAAATATCTTGGTTGCGAACCAACCTGAAGACAAATACAATGCCCGTCAAAGCAAAGTTGGCTTAAACAACAACAACAACTCACATTTAGGTGGTGCAGCTGGAAACTCCTCAGTGAATTTGAACCTCACTCGAAAATAACCACCAGCGTATGGTGTTCCTTCTGTGGCGCCAATGAATTGAGTTACGTGCTAAAAACAATCTATGCGAGGATAAGCAGATAAACGTACCTGGACCCTCGATAATACCAGTAACATCGAGCATATTATCATCGCTTGTCACAACCCGGATGCCTTCTGGAGGGTTGTTCTTCAGTTCGCTCAATTCACGCATCAAACGACGCATTGTAGCAGGTGTAACGGACTAAACCACATAAAAGATTAGCATTATGCATAAATATATAAGAGAAAAGTGTCGATGTCGTGGTCGACACGCCCAAACGCGACCTACCATGGTTGAATGTACAAATGTGGCTGGCAAAATCAGTGGTTGAAGTGGTTGGAAAGAAGACACTGACAATTAGTTCCGATTCAATCCCCGAAGATCCCGTGCATATCACGTGATAAGACCCTAACCCCATTTTAGCATAATTCCATCGTGTTCCCTTATTCGTTACAGTAAAAGTCCATGTCAGTACAGTGAGCAGGTATACAGGTGAGCATGATTGCTGCTGTTCAATGAATTCACTGTATAATGTGCACAGGTTTTAATAAAAATTCGAGATATTAAATGTCGTACAGTTCAGAATAAGTAACGATCCACTTCGCAACCAACACGATAAGCAATAGCAGAACAGCTAACACAACACACGTTATATATAGAAGCAATACCCTCAGCCTAAGAACATCAATCATTCATGGCAGCCAAATAACTCTGAAGCAAGGGCGGTCAGTAAGGAGCGACACCTTGCGAGAGTTTGAAAGTAGCTTGACTCACATCCCTTTCTTCTAGGAACTCCAGATACGTTAGCGCAGTAGCAACCCAAAAACTAGTGTCGACACCCATGACTCGCTCCTCTGCGCGGTCTATTTCAAGCAAACCAGTGACAGAGCGGACAGTAAGTATTGGCGTGCGATCGTGGAAGGCAAGGAGCGGGGTCGGCGTTGGAGGGACCAACTGTGACAGGCGATGATGACGAGCTTGAGATGAAGCACCGACCATATTAGGTTGTGGAGCAGACAGTTTCGAAAGAGGACACAGAGTGAAGGACGACGAGTGAGACGGCCTGTGGTTCTTGAAGAGAGATATTGCACGAGTAATATACGACGTCTGCTCTCCGTTCTCAGGCCGTGGAACATGCGGGGACGAATGTGGGGCAAACAAGAAATGCGAGATATGTGTAGGCTGTCTTCGATGTTTTTGTCGACTGAGAGGTTCTTCCGAAAGCTCGCCTAGCTTCGCGTTTATAGACTTTGGAGAAGGAGGACTAATTACGATGGGTACTGAAGGTGGTGTAGGGGGGTATGAGTGAACAGCAGTGGCGTCTGAAGTTCGGGTATGACTGGTATCTGTTGAAGATTTGCTCGTTGACGGTGGTGACTGATAAGCATAAAGCGCTGGAGCGCTAGTTCGACACGCAAACGATAGAGCTCCATCTGCGTAATTGGGAGAAGAGCGAGGAACTGGGATAAGTGATATGTACACCCCGGGTGGAAATGAAGGTGCACGGATTCGAATATACCATCCACGCTTTGGCCGATGGATAGTCCAGCAAATAGTGGAAGTTTCGTTGTGCTATTGAGATGGTTTAGTATAAGTGAAGTAAAGGTCTGATTGCAGTACTCACAACGACATGTTCTATGATTTCAGCATCGAATAGAAACCTTTCCTTAACTGTAATGAGTTCGCTGTTACAATGCAAACTAAAAGCAGATACCTTGTACCATATCACCTTATCTGAGTTCTCTGCCAAGACATTGACCCGCAAGTCAGAGAGAACGTCCGAGCTAATGAGTAATACCGTAAAGAGATCAGATAATAAAGTCAAACAGCTATACAGTAATCCGAGCTCACGAACCTTTGTACGACATATCTCGATAAGTTTGGGTTGTGTAGAAGTTGTCCACCTACATAACTCATCAGAAGTAGCAGATCTCTTCAGTAAAATGTCGATATTGAGCAACGAAAATCTGCAGCCGAAAGCAACGAAAAGCGCTGGATGTGCCGTAGTGGGAAGTAAAAACGGTGAATGGTCGTGAAGTGCCATTCGCTAAAGCTTCAAATTCAGACCGCATTCGGTCGGTGGCTGTGTCCCACTGTTCCTTCGAGTCCCGCGGCAGCATTCAGCACTCTTGCCTATATCTTTTTATTTCTCAAGCTTGGTCTCTTTTCCTTGAATGCCACCTGGGCCTGCTTTTGGCTGGCTATGTGTCTTTCATTCTGTCGTAGACATTTCTCTTCGCACAGCCCAAATCAAGGCCGCCCAAGTCTATCCGAGGCCCTCTGCAGCTGGCGCGATTTCTAGGAAACGAAAGCGGGATGCATATAGCTATAAAGACGCCTCGATACCAGCCAATCTAGACTTAGATTCTGTAGATGGTTCATCAGCTGAACGCTCTTCTTTTTCTCAAACCACTTCGAGTCCGGACGTCAGCACGCATCCGCCAGAAGTATACACCGAAAACACGACTTCGTTAAATGGCACAGACGCAACTGCATACGCGTTTCCCTCCTCATATTCCTCTCCCATTGATTCGTCAAGTCGACGCGGTTTGGTTGATGATGCTGAAGTAGCAGAATCTCCCAACTTTTCAACAGACACCGCCACGGACTCGCTAGCCCAGGAGGTTCGTCCCTTTCTTTTCTACTATTAGTCCTGTCTATGCGATGGAGTAATGAAAGTCATCGTTACTAATCCACGGGCCCATGGTTGTAAACTACGCTTGTAATGAAAAATGTGGAACATGAGGATACCTTCTATATTCCGAGCACCGATCCTCTGAACTTCCTCCATTTGATTATGCACTACTTGTGACCTACCCAACTCACCAACGTTCCACTTTTTAGATATCTCAAAACTCAACCAACCCCACTCAGTCCCAACCACCAGACACTATCATTTCTCGTAATCTGCAATCATCAAAGGTTCCTTCCTCGCGAATAGGCCGACTTTTTCATTACGGAGGTTTGTTCGTTAAACCAAATTTTGTTTCGCTGCCTTTACTGACGTTTTGCTCCATATGTAGGCCTTGCTGCATCGTTAGGCTATGGCGCCGCATCGGAAATTATCCGTCGTTCTGCTAACTCATCTGGAGACGCTCCAGCCCAGCAATCTCTGATGATGACGGAGGCGAATATCAAGCGGCTTGTAGACAAACTGTCTCAAATGAGAGGCGCCGCTCTGAAACTTGGCCAGTTTATGAGTATACAAGGTCTGTCTTTCACCATACTTGAATTTTAGAGAGTCAACTTATAGGCTTGTAGACACGCATCTATTACCGCCTGATGTGGACAAAATATTTAGACGAGTACAAGATAGTGCCCACTACATGCCAGACTGGCAGATGGAGGTATTTGATGATTCAGTACTTTCAGCACCTTGATAATTGACAGATGTAGGATGTTCTAACCGCCTCCCTCGGTCATTCTTGGGCAGACAACTTTGCGTCATTTTCTCGTGTGCCCTTTGCTGCAGCCTCTATCGGCCAAGTACACCATGCTGTACTAGCCGCGTCATCGTCACCAACTGGTTCTGAGGAGACTGTCGCTGTCAAAATTCAGTTTCCCAATATAGCAAACTCGATAAAGAGTGACCTAGGATATGTCAAAATGCTCCTAACTGCAGGTAGACTGCTGCCTAAAGGTTTATTCCTGGATAGAACGATTGAAGTAAGGCTGCTTAGTTTCTCGCACGATGACATAGTATGCTGATTATTTTCATCGTTCTAGGTCATGAAAGACGAACTTGCAGATGAATGCGACTACTCTCGAGAAGCCTCTTATCTTAGGAAGTTTGAGTCTCATCTGGGCGGGGACTCTAGATACAGGGTACCTTGGGTATGGGAACATAGCACAGAGCGCGTACTGGTCATGGAATATGTCGAAGGCATAAGCGTGGGCGATCCAGCGATCAGTCTATTAAGCCAGGGTGAAAGAGATCAGGTACGAATGATTTTCATTTGCCCCAGCTAGCCCGATTGTGACTCTTTGAGCGTCGGCAGATCGCTGCACTTGTGATTCAGTTGTGTCTCAAAGAACTATTCGAATTCAGAGTCATGCAAACCGACCCAAATTGGACCAATTTCTTGTGGAACACAAAATCGTCACAGGTGAGATCATGGCTACAGTAATGACTTTCTTCACATAATTAAACACCATCGATCAGCTTGCGCTCGTGGACTTTGGTGCTACAAGGGAGTATACAAAGGACTTTATGGACTCATGGTTACGACTACTGCAGGCTGCTGCCTCGGAGGATAGGGCTGCCTGTATAGAGTGGAGTCTCAAATTAGGATACGTTACTGGCGAAGAAAACGAAGTATGATCGCCTTCATCAAGTAGACGTACTAGTACTAATATACTCTTTAGGTCATGCTAAACGCCCATATCGATTCCATGGTTCTACTCGCTACGCCTTTCAAAGCCTCAACTCCCCAACCATTCACATTTGGGCCAGGTTCCCAGTGGGCGGAAATTACCACCAAGATCCGAAACCAAATACCTGTAATGCTCAAACACAGACTTACCCCTCCCCCACGGGAAACGTACAGTCTGAATCGGTGCGTAACTCATTCACCTGCCCGAAAGCGTGCTATTTTTGATTTTTCGGGAACTATGACGGTAATTATCCAGGAAATTGAGCGGGGCATTCCTACTTGCGTCGAGATTGAATGCGACAGTGGATACGAAGAGCTTGTGGGACAGCGTGGTCAAGGGTAGTAAAGATACAGAAGAATAACCAGTTCTTTAACAGTTAACATTGTTCCCTCCTCTTCTGCGTTTACGTATACGCGGCCTTTGGCTATATCTCGCCACGAAGTCACTTGTGGTCCTGGTACGAGCAGTGGCGAATTCGTGTGCTCCGGGATTATCGATCAATCATTTGATAACTGGATAAAAGATTCTTACTCTTGTGTGAACTACTGTCACAGGTCCATGATCCCGCTTTTCTAGAACGGATATAACCGGGTTCAACGTTCAAGCTTATTCAATGCCGCGGCTTAGCTAACACGGAGTCAGATTCGGAAAACATGCATTAATCATGGACAACCTTGAAAGCTAATATATACAGTTCAATACAAAACGACGACGTACATTCAAAGTACCAGCAAAACGCCCCGCGATCTACTTGCACAGCGATAATGCCAGTGATACCTACCCCGAGAGTGACTAGGAGCGACCTCCGAGTTTGGCTAAAGCAGAAGGCTTGCTCTGGCGAATCCACGATGTATTCTTGAAGAAGTGTTCGAAGAGACGGTCACGGTATCGGAGGTAAGTGTTAAAATTCATGTGTATACTATAAATACAGAGAATTCTACTCGGGTGGAAGTAGGATTCTGTCCTCAAATAGCGTTACTTACTTCTTTGCAATCTTTGTGGGTTATCATGACCACGAGGTGCATCATTTTATGTCAATGCATCAAATGGGGTGAATGCAAGGAGTAGTCGCTTTTTGTGTGCATAGGTGGTAGCTCCTTTTCGAAAGTAGGCTCTCTTCTCTGGATATCAACAACGGTATGCGGCCCCCAACTTCCTTGGAATTTACTATATAACCAGAGCCAGAGTATGGTGCGATCCCTCAGCTTTCCTAGATAGCGAGCTTTACCCATCCTCTGTCCCTCCAAAACTACCCCGAATGATTCCCTCTCGTTTACTCAAGCTCTTGCTTGCGTGTTTGGCGTTGGGCTCGTATGCTCTTGCCGCTATACCGGATGTCATGTCCAGAGGCCACGTCTCTATTCCAAAGGTTCCCGCGTCCAAAAATCTTGTCTATGATCGCAACGGAACCTTGTTGCCAGCTTTAGACACTGTGTATTACTTTAATCAACTGATTGATCACAACAACCCTGGCTTGGGGACATTTCGACAACGATACTGGACAACTTGGGAGTTCTACGAGGCGGGCGGTCCTATCATTTTGATGACCCCCGGTGAAACCAGCGCAGAAACTACAGAAGGTACAGAAAGTCTTGAATTAAATCACGTCTTCATGTTCAATCTAACCACATCCCAGCTTCCCTGGGTTTCTTGACTAACGCGACTATAAACGGCCTCATAGCTCAGCAAGAGAGCGGAGCGACAATTCTTCTTGAACATCGGTTTTTTGGCTTTTCCAACCCTTATGATAATCTGACCACCCAAAGTCTCGCGCTCCTTACTATTCAGCAGGCCATCGATGACTTGGTCTACTTCGCACAGAATGTAGATCTGCCCATGCCAGGTGGCGACCAGGTTAAGCCTCATCAAGCGCCTTGGGTTTTAATTGGAGGCAGCTATCCAGGTACGATGCCTTTTCCGTGTGAAACTCAAGTAACCATTCGTATTTATCTATGACATCAGGTGCATTGACGGGTTGGACGATGGTTAAGTCAGTATATCGATTAATTTGACAATGCTTACACTCACCTGTTCCCTTGTTTCTAGCAAGCCAGGTATCTTCTGGGCAGGATACTCTTCGTCTGGAGTCGTTGAAGCTATCACGTAACGTTGTGCAGTTCGGTGCTCCTATTCATGCTGATATTTATATTTCCCAGTGATTTCTACGACTATTTCAAACCGATTCGTGAGTATATGCCCCAGAACTGCTCAGCTGATGTCGAAGCTGTAATCGCCTACCTCGACGCGGCTTACGCACAAAACTTCACTCCTGCATTGGATTACCTCAAGTCTGCGTTTGGTTTAACTGGCCTCTCGTATGTGGATGATTTTGCCGCTACATGTAAGTTAGAAATTGCCATTGTAATGGTTTATCTAGTCCAATGGCTTACACTTTACACTTTTAAGTGCGCATCAACTTGTATGCTTGGCAGGACTATCAACCGACCAATCAATATACGGCTTTCTCCCGATTCTGTGACGCCCTTGAAGTTAATAACGGTGTCAGTGCGAATGCGTCAGGTTGGGGAATTACCCACGCAATCAACGCGTGGGGCACGTTTTGGCAAGTTAATAACTACGGTCCTAGTGAGTGAAGAATTCAATATCCCAATTTCGACTAGATATTGAGATATGTCAAGTATGTGGAAACTTTAGCGCCAAGTAGTATTTTTTTATTGCATGAATCCCATGTTGTTTACTTACCATTTGACGCAGTGACTGTCTTGGGACTCACAACTCCTCCTTGCCTTGGTACCATTACACAACAGTCAACAACTGGCATCGTTCATGGCTCTGGATGCTGTAAGCTTACAGAATCACGGCTTTATTGTAGGATTGACCATTTCCCGGCAGCTGCAACCAGTTGGGCTTTTCAATGGTAGGCCCTCCTGAAGGTCAACCTGCTATCGTGAGTCGTATTGTTCAGCCCGCATACGCCCAAGTGAGTCCTGCCTATAAGAAAAAATTATCGTTGCTAATACAATTTGGCAGAGAGCATGTGTGAATTATTTCCCTGAAGTGTTCAGTGCACCCCGTCCTCCCACCACAGAGGAGACTAATGCAGAGTACGGGGGATGGAACCTGACAGTCGACAGACTCTTCTCTGCCAACGGCCTTCGTATGTTATTTTCCCATTCTAGGCAAGGTTATTGTGATTATTCTTGCACTAGGTGACCCTTGGCTTGAAGCCACCATATCTGCAGACGGTGTGAACAAACCGAGCAACGTGAATTTCCAGCCTGTTTACGAGACTGATGCCTTCCACTGTTCGGACCTTGTCACTGTGTACGGTTATTACGATGTTACTGTCAGGAATACCCAACTTGCCGGTCTCTCGTCCATGAGGACTTGGCTCTCGCAGTGGAAAGCACCTGCATTGTAATGGTAGCCCCGAGACGTTGCTGGTTTGCAGGGACGTTGTGACAGAAGGAACTTTTTGGTACTACGATATGGTGACAGGAAGGAATGTTTCACATTTTCGAGTGCAATGTAAGTAAATGCGAGTAAATTTCATGTTATGTTTCGTGCACAGGAGAGTGAGTGGAAGAGCGATCACCGGTTGTGATTTGTAGGGTCGAAGTATCAGGGTCGAAAGCAGTTCAAAATCGACCTCAAGCCCCAAGATCAGTGGAATTAAAATTCTGGATATTTGTTATGGTGGTCCACCAACAATAACGATGGATTCTCGGCTCACGAATCGATGATCACTTTCACGGAAAAAACCGACCTCCGAATCGGGTTGAACAAGGCTCGATGTAGTTTCGTTACCCCAGACAATATAGAGCATGTGCGCGAGATACCCTAGTGCCTGCGAGCGGAGTTTGAATCTGAGGCAAAAAAGTGGTAAGGTTTGCTCGCGCAACGATGCTCTACTATCGTTGGACACCGGATGCAACCAGTAAGAGATATGCACTTGGGCCTCCAGAGGCTCAACGATCACTGTACAGGTAGCTAGAAAATTGTCAGATGTAGAATATAGTATAGAGAATATAATTGTGAAAGAATTTAGTGAATAGCTTATCTGTAGCAACAACGACAGACCTGACACTATGCTCTTGAACTCCAGAAGTGTGAATTTTGAGGGAAAGATGGCCAGATTTGACCAGATCTCGTGCTGGGAATATTGCAATATCTTTCTAGAAAATGTCAATAGGTAGGCCCCTACAGTGCCAGATACTTACTGAGCTGATTGGGGCCTCAAAACGTCTGGAGAAACGAAAACAATGATGGAGTCGTGACTAGGCGACCAAAACAGGCAATCACACACCAAGATAATCAATCAAGGACTGCTAGCTCCACTTCAGTACATACCGCACATACCACCAGTGTCAGGACTTGGTGTGACCTGGCAGAATTTGACTTGTAAGCTCCGCCTGATTTGGTCTGTGAGTGCCGCTGTGACCCAGTGTGACCAGAAATTGCAGAACCATTCCAAAACATGTGTCGTCTTTTTGGTTTTGTTCCACTGCTCCAATGCCTCAAGTTCTTGCTTATTTTTCTACATAGGCAGCTAGAAAACTAAAAATTATATCTACTGGTCAAGTTCCGACAGTCTAAAGCTCAACAACTGGTGAGTTATTCAACTTCTCCCCAGACCAATTGCACCTATTTTCCAACGATAGTATAATGTCTGGTGCATTTGGTACAGAAGGGGGTAGGTCTAGTTATGTGACTATGCACATAGCCAAAAATGTCTGTTGATCATGTACTATGAAAACCTCGTTTAGGCATATCTGTGCTTCTGATGAAAACCAACTCGGAGAAGACTCATGCCAGCTTGCATGAGAAAGAATCTGTTTGGTCATTACAACTACTGAACAATGCTCGTGAACACAAGTACAAGACACAAAAATACAATTCTACAACTACCCGCTGCAAGATCCACAATGATCTCCACTCTCGTTGTAACCAGGAACCTTATAGCTGGCAACTCGACGTGGCTGAAGCTTTGATCTTGGGACTTGACTGCTCAGTCATTGCACCAACAGGTGCAGGCAAAACAATGCCCTTTGTTATGCCATTGTTTGTTCATCCTGAAAAACATGTCATTGTCATATCACCTCTTAATGTTCTTGAAGAAGACCAGGTATGCACGGCTATTTATTGCTTTGTATTTTCTTATATATATATCACCACAAGGCTAATAGGTTCGGAGGGATGAAGCTGTCAGCCATTGCAGTCAATGGTGAAACATATAACAAGGCACTCCATGAGGTCAGTGTCTCTTGAGTCCGTGTTCATTTCCACTGAGTTCCGGAAAAGGATCTACTTAAACGAAAAGATCAAGTTGTTATCACATCTCCAGAGATGTGTCTCTTACATGATCAATTTTGCCAGCTCATTAGTACACCCTACTTTGCAGCACATCTGGCTGCAGTTATAATCGATGAAGCCCACTGCATATCTCAGTGGGGAGACAAATTCCGTGAGGAACCTTATGAGCTTTCATACCAAGCCATGTGCCTTTCTTGGTGACTTCCGCTACACTACCTGCTTGAGTTCTTGCTGATAGTCGTTCAACCTGTCATAATGACCCACTGAATTGCTATCATGTCAACCTGGGTGTTGATTGGCCTAATATATCCTGGGAAGTTAGACACATGTCTGCTGGAAAATCTGACCTGGACTCCTTGACATTTGTACTCCCGAAAAGCTGTGGTGGTGCAGCCGATGACAATGGATATAAACAGATGTTGGTATTTGGGGATGACATCAATACACTGATGGTGGCATGCAAATGGATTAGAGAAAACTCACCACTGGAGATACAACATCAGGTTGCAGTCTATCATTCCCGCCGAAGTGTCAAAGCCAAATCAATACTAATGAAGCAGTTCTGAGAAGGAACAATCAAGGTTTTACTAGCAACCGAAGCTGCTGGCATGGTATGGAGTCCTTCTATGTCCGGGAACAGCTTTCTTACCAATAATACAAGGGGGTGACATGCCACACATTGAATGGGTTGTGCAGTTCATGGCACCTGCAAATTTGTCTGTGTGGATGCAGCGAGCTGGACGAGCTGGTCACAACACAAATTTATTAGCCAGAGTATTTTTATTGGTGCAACCTACTGTATTCCAGGAAAAAAGCACTACCAAAAAAAAAGGCCTGGAGAAAATGAAGATATTGTATATGTCAAGGAAGTGGAAGAAGGCTTACGCACCTGGATCCAGACAAAAAGCTGCCAATGAGACGTAGCAGATGAATATTTTGGCTGTGGTGGACAAAAACAGCGTGAGTGTGAAACCGTGTGTACGTTGAACCAGGCGTGACTTGTGACCTGCCTTCTCAGCTCCCACCGGTGCATGTTGTGACAACTGAACTCAACAGCACCTCGCGACCAAACATCCAACAACACCCCCAAACCGTTCAAAATGTCCAGCCAACAATTGCACCCCCAGCAAGAGTCCCGAGTGAAACGGCAAACACCCCATGGTCACTGCGACATCCGGTCCTTTGACTCAGTGTGAGAAGCACTTTAAAGCGGCCAAAGTCCTCCTTACCAACTGGCGGTTTGAAATGTGGATGAACGGTTATGCTGAGGCAGTTCCTTATGGCCCAGAGGGGCTGCTTCCAGAGCCTGTTCTCCACAAACTCGCTGCCAAGTGTGTTCATAACCTCCCAGGGTTGTGTGACAGTGGCTGGAGTCCATTTTCAGTGGAGCGCCATGGTGACAACGTCCTGGCACGGCTCGATGTTTTTGACCGAGCGTTTAGTGCCACCAAAGAAATTGAAAGGCAGGAAAGAGCTGCAAAGAGAAAGCAGGAGATAGCTGAGCGTAATGCACACTAAAGAAGAATGCGCCAAAGCCGCTGCGTCCGTCACGGGCAAAAAAAGCACCAGTGCTGGGACAGTCTCAGATTGACAACCATACATTTAGACCGCAAATCTTTAACCCTGTAAGTTTGTATTTTTTCGAGAACGTAGTTCTGAGTGGAGGTTTTCCAACAGGAGTTGGTCTTCTTCTGAGTAGAAGTCTGATCTTAGGAGTCTAGCTTTGTAAGCGTAAACTGCGTAGAATCGTATTAGAGAATACTACTGCTGTTACATGGTATTTATAAGGGAAAGGAATCGGTGATAGGAGTTAGGTCCTATCTAGGGCAGGTCCGTCTGTTGAGGACTAAGTACTATAATAGGTACTGTGAATGCAAGAGGAACAGAAGTGTACGTGAAGGAAATGAGTCATCAGTCTGATGGTATAACCGATGAGTAAAAAGAAATGAGTAGTCCTTAAATGTCCAATAGAGATCGTAACAACCCCCCCCTACATCAAATGCACCAGATCCTTCAGGCTCCTCCACAGCCACTGTTCCGAGAGAGGAGGACTTAATCCTAGAGATATAATGATGAGATTAGATATGATAAGATAATAATTCAAAGTCAGCACAACTTTATTCCTCGCTCTCTCTCCACAGCGGCTGCAAATTAACATTTGTAAACAATGGCTCGCCACAGTGACAGTGATGAGTCTCAATGTTGGACACCAAAAAACAATTGCAGACTAATTAATAATGTTTTACCACATGCCAATTTAGGCAAGTAAGTTCGAAGCACTGGCAATTGGTAATCTCAGTGTTCATGTTCACTTTTGCCAGTGTCTCCACATTCTGCTGCCCAAGTTTATGTTCAATTAAGAACTTCTGGGAAGTGTCTAGCCACTTGCTGAGAGCTAACAGGGACAGAACTAGAGTCCAGTATGAGTAACTAAAGAATAGGAATACTGGACTCTGCAATACTAGTCCGAAGTTTTGTAAACAAAGGTAAACAAATCAGCCACAAAGGCGAAATTATAGAATGCTCAGTGAATACTGAACAATAGAGCAAAAAGAATAAAGAGGAAAGTGATTTAGAAAGAAAGGAAAATAGATAGCACAAATAGGTGCAGAATCACCAAAACTAACAGTTTACTGCCATTTTTCCATGTGTTTGGGCCTAAGTATGAGAGGTATCATAAATGTGTAACGGTCACACAGAACATCACACGTAGTAGTAGGGAAATGAGAGAGCTCTCGAGTCAGTCCAAATCACAGTTTAAGGTCTACTGGTGTATTCAAAATTGACTGGGGAGTTCTACGACAAGAGGGTCCTTTATATATGAAACGAAAGTAGGCTAAGTCATAAAAGGCGAACAAGTGACTAGCGAGTAATGACAGTAAAATTATGGCTCGGTTTCTGGAATAAGGAATGTGACGCAAGCAAGACTAAGGCAGGTATGAATAAGCAACAATGTGATTCAAGACTAGTGACGGTTGAGTTACAACCGTTACATGTTGTTCCCAAACCTGTCCTGCAATCAATATAACATCATTCCCTCCTTAGCAAGCACTTGTCCAACTTTGGCCTGCCAAAAACATGGATAGGAGCCTGGCTTTTGCTGGGTTATCCTACAGATGCCAGTAAAGGAGTTTAAATCCTGCCTGGCCATCAACATACATCACTGGACTGCAAAATTAGTAATCGTACTGTAATTCGAAAAACAATTAACATTTTTCGATGTCCGACAATGATGCTCGTCTGTGGCGAGCCATTGTTTACAAATGTTAATTTGCAGCCGCTGTGGAGAAAGAGCGAGGAAATAAAGTTGTGCTGACTTTGAAATTATCGTAATCATGTGACTATCTATTAATAAGCCTTGTCCCGAGCTCCTTACCACTCATCCTCCTCTCTCGAAACAGTGGCTGTGGAGGAGCCTGCAGATCCTTAGGAGGAGAAATCAACGAGTGAACTTTACCATTTTTTGCCTCAGATTTAAACCTCGACTCCTCCTAAGGATCTGGGCTTCCGAGATTAGGCTCGATGCTGTAGATGTATGATTCTTGAAGAAGTTTTTGTGTTTGAGAAGGCGGTATTCCAGGTTGCAGTGAGTTATTATGAGAAGCATCTAGTGCTCCTACAGATGCTAATAGCGAATTATCTGCCAGTTTTGTCCTTGGTGGTGTGTTGGAGTAGTACTACCACATCTGGCAGCATGTGCGCGAGGAATAGTAGCTTTCGTACCTCCAGGCGACTCTTACTCTTCTGTGAATCAAGTGAAGACGTCGTTTCCTCAGAGTCGAACAATGGTGCTCCAGCCTTTCTCTTTCTGATAATCGACAACAGCATGCTGTCCACAACTTCTACTTCCATGGAATCTACGTGCCTATTGGCATATAATAAGAGCCAGTTCGCGATGACATTCCTCAGCTTTCCTGGATAACGAGCTTCAGCTATCGTCTGCTCCTCGAAAATTACCTCGAATGGCTTCCTCTTGGTTATTCAAGTCTCTGCTTGCGTCGTCAGCAATGAGCTCTGTTTCTCTTGCTTCTATACCGGATGTCACGTTCAGAGGCCGTGCTTCTATTCCAAAGATTTCCGCATCCAAAGGTCCTGTCTATGATCGCAATGGAACCTTGTTGCCGGCTTTAGACACCGTGTACTACTTTAATCAACTGATTGATCACAACAACCCAGGCTTGGGGACATTCCAACAGCGATATTGGACGACCTGGCAGTTCTACAAGTCGGGGGGTCCTATCGTTTTGATGACTCCCGGCGAAGCCAATGCAGAAGGTATCGTAGTCCCTTTCATTCGATCTGATCTTTGAACTTACGTCCTTTGCGCAACAGATTATACGGGTTACTTGACCACCGGTGCTATCAACGGTCTCATTGCCCAGCAAGAGAACGGTGCGACAGTCCTTCTTGAACATCGGTTTTTTGGCTTCTCCAATCCTCGTGACAATCTGGCGTCAGAAAGCCTCGAACTTCTGACTATTCAGCAGGCCATCGATGATTTGGCCTACTTTGCAGAGAACGTAGATTTCCTCATACCAGGTGGTGACCAGGTCAAACCTCATCAAGCGCCTTGGGTCTTAATCGGTGGCAGCTATAGTGGTACGAAGTCTTTTTCCTGGGATGATCAATCTTTCATTCGTTCATGTCTGTGTGTTTAGGTGCGTTGACGAGTTGGACAATGGTCAAGTCAGTGTATAAAATTACAGTGCGAACATTCACGCTCACCTGTTCAACCCTTTCTAGTAAGCCGGGTGTATTCTGGGCAGGGTACTCTTCGTCAGGAGTCGTTGAGGCTATCACGTAATGTCGTACCATTCTCTGGCTCCTATAGATACTGACCACAACGTTGGTCAGTGATTTTTACGACTACTTCACACCAATTCGCAAGTACATGCCCGCCGGCTGCGCAGCGGATGTCGAAGCTGTAATCGCTTACCTTGACGAGAGTGACGCGCATGGCAATGCTACTGCATTGAATGACCTTAAATCTGCATTTGGTTTAACTGGCCTCTCGCACATAGATGACTTTGCGTCTGCATGTACGTTCGCGATTGTGGTGGCTCAGCATGTCTCTGCTAAGCGTCATGACTAACGTCTTTGTAGTGCGCACCAACTTGTTTGACTGGCAGAAGTATCAGCCAAGTAAAGAGATACAGCATGGGGCGTTGTTCTCCCAATTCTGTGATGCTCTTGAAAACGTTACTGGCGTTGTCGCGGGTCCATCGGGCAGGGGACTTGACCATGCTATCATTGCATGGGGCGCATTCTGGAAAAATACCTACTACAAGTCTAGTGAGTGATTCATTTAATACCTTGACAATAATCAAGTATTGAGATATAACCAGTATGCGGACAGGAGAACGCTGAGTGAGTCATGTTCTTTCTTTGCATACACGTTCGCTTACCACTTTGGCAAAGTGACTGTCTGGGGAGTCATGACCCCACCTTTGGTTACTACAGTGACACAAGCGTCAATAACGCTGACCGTTCATGGCTATGGATTGTGTGAGTATACGAAATCACGACTTTTGGAGCAAGGCTGACCAATTCCCTCGCAGCTGTAACCAGGTTGGTTTCTATCAGGTAGGCCCTCCTGAAGGTCAGCCTGCTATCGTGAGCCGTATTCTTCAGCCCACATACGCCGAAGTGAGTCTTGCCTATAAAGAAAATTTATCATTGCTAACACAGCTTGGGGCAGAGAGAATGCGTGAATTATTTCCCTCAAGCGTTCAGTGCACCCCGTCCGCCCACCACTCAGGAGACTAATGCAAAGTACGGTGGATGGAACCTAACAGTCGACAGGCTCTTCTCTGCCAATGGCCTTCGTATGTTATTTCCCCCGATTTAAGCAACCAATATCGTGAATTGTATTTTCCCAGTTGACCCTTGGCGAGGAGCCACTATGTCTGCAGATGGCGTGAACAAGCCGACTAATGTGGATTTACAGCCGGTCTACGAGAGTAATGGATTCCACTGTTCAGATCTCGTCACTGAGTATGGTAGCATAGACCCTACTATTGCGAAGGTGCAAGCTGCTGGCCTGTCGTATATGAAGACTTGGCTCTCGGAGTGGAAAGCGTAAAGCTCGTAAGGGTGTTTTGAAATGGTATTGGGGTGTTGAGATGCTGCGACCGAAGATGTTTCTTGACGGTAGTGTACTGTACACATGGGAACGATAGTTGACGCAGAAGTGAATAAATTTTGCGTTGTGGAAAACCACGGGGCGCACAGCATCGAGGGAAAAGTCAGAAGAGTGATCCCCGATCGTGATTCTTAGCAGCCCCATGTTTACCCCATCTTACCCCATTTGTGTGTTAAACGGTCGTCCACACGCCAAAGAAGTGCGAGAGAATGGTCATAAGTGTACGGTTCCGCATGTCTCCAGGTATTGCCAAGAAAAATGGTATTTTGAGTAGATGTTATATCACTTTTTCTTCGATCATGATCAAGTCCATCGAATGGGGAATCATGATGAAAAACCGTTGCGGGCGTTGATTGGAATTTGTTTGCGGTGTTTGCAGTCCCAGACGTGATAATGAGAAGCCATTGACACTGACCAAGGTAGCAAGACTAGTGCTATTTTAAATAAGAGAGACCTGATGAGACACATTTGAAACCACAGTGAAATACGAACATTTTAGTATGTTTTACGATCGCATCAAAGCCGTTATGGCGGGGAAGGTATGATTACCATATATGGCAGTGGGTTTCTTGGCTTGATGGTCCGAATACGAACCTTCCGATATTTTTGCAGGGTCCATGTTCGCTTTCAGTGGACTCATAAGAGAACGTTTTTGAAATGTAGGCTTTTTCTCTCCAAGCTCTGACGTGAGCTTTTGTGAGTTGGTCAGGATGGTCTCGGGAAAGCTGCTGTCGTTACTTTGCATTCTGCCTTTTGTACTCGGGGCACCCAATGCTCTCGCACCGTCGAGCTCTGCAACGCCCACCACGGTCACCGTTCCTCCGAGCTCGCTTTCGTCAAAGCCAAAGGAGTCGAGCACGGCGACGAGCACATCTTTGACCGCGACCTCGTCGTCTGTCTCGTCGTCGACGCCATCCTCTGCATCGACCTCAACCTCAACGCTCCTTTCATCACTTTCGTTGCCTCTTACATCGCTCCTGCCATCGCTCCTTCCGCCTCTTTCACCCACCTCGTCCTCAGCAAGCACAACTCATGTAGCCACAGAGCCTGGTGTATCGACCCTTCCAATCTCTCACTATCCTTTCACTCCTTATCCTACGCCCACTTTGGCACCAAACCCTCCCAGTTTCCCCTCAACTGATCCTCTTCACCCACCTGAAGTTAGCAGCGATCCCACCCTGATCCCTGATTTCGCGCCTGCTTGGGCAGCAGCATACTCCAAGGCTAAGCAACACGTTAGTATCTCCGCTGTCGATTTGTTATTCGCCTCTTTTGCTTCTGTGCTTTATTCTTTAATTGGCGGCCATCAAGTAGATTCTTTTTTCGAGGGATGAGCGAGACAGGAAGCTCATTTTTATGCGCATACACCCTGAGACGAGATATACTAGGAAATGAGCTGGTTCTTGTACTAGCAGTCTACTGATCGCACTACCTTTTCTTCTCGCTCGAATTGCGCGAGTGATTCTGGATTACGCTGACAATTTATTGTAGCTTGCAGATTATACTCTCGAGGAGAAAGTCAACATCACCACAGGTGTTGGTTGGGGCAATGGTCTCTGTGTCGGTAACATTCCCGCCAACAAAAACTTCCCAGGTTTATGCCTTGAGGTATTATTCTTTCGTTTTGGTAATTTCATGTACAAAACTGACTTGCCCAAAGGATTCGCCTCTTGCTGTCCGTTTCGCCGATTTTGTGACGGCCTTCCCAGCTGGCATCACCACTGCTTCTACGTGCGTATTTTGCATATTGAAATATGTGATACCATTCCTTATGCCCCTTTTGATAGATGGAACCGTGCCCTCATTCGTGCTCGCGGCTTGGCTTTGGGCAGCGAGCACAAGGGCAAGGGTGTCAATGTCGCCCTTGGCCCCATGATGAACATGGGCCGTATTGCCCAGGGTGGTCGTAACTGGGAAGGTTTCGGTGCTGATCCTTTCTTGACGGGCGAGGCAGCCTATGAGACCATCCTTGGTATGCAGAATGGCGGAGTCCAGGCCTGCGCGAAGCATTTCATCAACAAGTAAGTTTCTGTTGCATCCCATCAGAAGCGCATACCCTCATCGCCCTCCCGTCAACAGCGAGCAGGAGCACATGCGCACACAGGATTCTGCCAATGTAGACGATAGGACCCAACATGAGATATATGCGCATCCTTTCCTGCGCAGTGTCATGGCAGGTGTATCTTCCGTCATGTGCAGCTACAGTGAGTTCAGATTGAACCCCGTTTCTCGCAAGGGATAGTATTGAACCGAGTACGCAGACTTGATCAATGATACATACGCCTGCAACAATGATAAAATGATCAATGATATCCTGAAACGGGAATATGGCTTCCAAGGATATGTCATGTCCGATTGGCAAGCCACTATGGCCACCCTTTCTGCCGTTGCTGGGCTGGACATGACCATGCCTGGCGATATCACGTTCGATTCTGGAGACTCCTACTTTGGCGGTAACCTCACCGCCTTCGTCCAAAACGGCACCATCTCACAAGCACGAGTTGACGATATGGCCACACGCATCATCGCCGGATGGTACTATCTCCACCAAGAATCTGACTACCCCGAAGTCAGTTTCAACGCGTTCAACACTCTGGATGAGGCGACGAACAAGCATGTTAACGTTCAGTCGGACCACTACAAGATTGTCCGCGAGATCGGCGCTGCTGGAAGCGTGTTGCTGAAGAATGAGCGTGGCGCTTTGCCTCTCAACAAGCCTAGGAACCTCATACTCGTCGGAAGTGATGCAGGTCCTGGAATATCCGGCCCCAACGAGTTCTCCGATCAGGGTGGATCAGACAGATTCCTTGCTATGGGCTGGGGATCTGGGTAAGTTTTAGGGGCATTTGATTTTTGAGCTTCCTTAACCGGAATTCCGTTGTTCAGAACTGGTTTATTCCCGTATTTGATCACTCCTTACGAGGCTATACAGGAACGTGCTCGCCAGGACGGAAGCAGTATTTTCTGGGACTTTGATGACTGGAACACTGCCAATGCCCAAACTCTTGTGACTGGCCAGAGTGCTGCCATCGTTTTCATTAATTCTGACTCTGGTGAAGACTACATCACCGTTGACGGCAATGAGGGCGACAGGTTTGTGCTGTTGTTCTAGCCTTTGCCATGCCTCTGCTCATTTGTTTCAATCCTCGACAGGAAGAACTTGACGGCTTGGCACAATGGTGATAACTTGATCCAGGCTGTTGCTTCCAACAACAACAACACGATCGTCGTCGTCAACAGTGTCGGTCCTCTCATCATCGAGCCTTGGATTGAACACCCCAACGTCACTGCCGTAAGCATCGTACTAATACACTATGTTCTACTCAGGCCTGACACTGCTTTGTAGGTCGTCTGGGCAAGTATCGGTGGTCAGGAAGGTGGTAACGCTATCGCAGATGTGTTGTATGGTGCCTACAACCCATCTGGCAGACTTCCGTATACGATTGCCAAGAGCCCTGCCGACTACCCTGCTCAGCTCATCACAGGAGGCTCTGGTAGTGACATTCTGGCCATCAATTATACTGAAGGGTAGGTGAACTATTCAGCTATATGCTGTCTCTAGGATTAATTGAGACTTGTTGGGTTCAGACTGTTCATCGATTACCGCCACTTTGATGCGGTAAGTGTGTTTTCTCCTGCACTACAAAGAAAAGACCACGGACTCAAGGGCGTTCTTGTTAACTCAGGCCAATATTGAACCTCGCTTCGAGTTCGGCTTCGGTCTGAGCTACACGACGTTCGAGTACTCTCAGGTCGATATCTCGGCTATCTCGTCCTCAGATCACCCGCAACAGAGCTTGATACAAGCTTGGGAGAACGGCGATGCTACCCCTATCGCAGAAGGTTCTTCAACAGCGCTCTGGTAAGTAGTATAGTAGTATTACGTTTATTGCCATGATTCCTTACTCATCCTCGCATCCAGGCTTCACGAGCCCGCCTTCAAGGTGACTTTCCACGTCAAAAACACCGGTTCACTCTCCGGCACCGAAGTGAGTGCAAATACCGATTCGTGATTCCTGACTATATCGTGACAATGACAAAACCCCTTTCCCAGATCCCTCAGCTGTACATTCACCACCCAGCAAGCGCCGCTGAGCCTCCTTCCGTGCTGAAGGGCTTCACCAACGTGAAGGTTTCCCCTGGCCAGACTGAGCATGTTTCGATCACGCTTTCCCGCTACGATCTCTCGATCTGGGACGTTGTTGCGCAGGGGTGGCGTAAGCCCAGTGGTGAGATTACGTTCTCAGTTGGTGCGAGCAGCCGCGATTTCAAGCTCAATGGTACCATTCCTACTTGATTGATCCACTGTCATTTCATTCTTTGTCAGATATCTCTGATCATTTCTTGTATTGTCTGTTGAAAATTATTGTGGGGCATATATTTCTTGTGGTGAATATTGTTTTTAATAATCATGTACCTGCGCTACACGTAGACCACCTAGTGAATGAAAGTATACAATCCGAAAGACACCAGTTGGCCAAACCATCCAGCAAACGATACATTGTTTTTGAAGTACAGAGATACTACTGCAAGGTTCCGTTCGAGACCCTACAGGAAATACAATAATACACCAATACCAAACACATTAACTGCCAACCACACGTGCTACTTATACAGGAGGCGAAACAAGAGGTGTGATGAGAAAAGAATCACTGCGCGACCCCATCGCCATCGCCGGACGCTCCATCAACCGCCATCTTCTGCTTTTCCTCCGGATCTAACCAACTATCCTCCACAGTAGCCTTGACGCGCCTGACATACTCCTTCATATTTTCTCTGTACAGCTGTGCGGCCTCTGCGTTTGCAGGGCTGTTTGGGTTTGGATCGTGTAGGAGAGACTGTATGGAGGTGAGGATGGCGGCGACGTCGTAGGTGGGAGACCACCGGTTCTGGAGGATGTCCAGACAGAGTTCGCCATTGGCGTATACGTTTGGATGGAACATGCGGGAGAGGAACTTGACGGTGGGTGGCTTGTTAGGGTAGGACTCGTCGAATGTGAGGAGGAGCTTGAAGGTGCCGTCTTCGAAGGGGGTGTCGGCTGCAGAGTAGTATGCTGAGCCTGACGCGATCAAGCATGAAGCATAGAGAGGCTTACCTGGGCCGAAGATGACGGCGTTCCAGACCATGATGTTGTCTGGGCATGGGCTCCCTGATATACCGCCTGGCGGGTCTGTGGAGAGGCGTTTGAAGTCGCGGATGAGACGTCTTCTGCAGTTTGTAGACTAGATGATGACTTGAATACATTATGCGTGCATATGGTTTCATTTTATACGCACCATGGTGATTATTATTTTGAGATGAAGCTGGCTCTTGTGGTGGGGTGAAGGTAAGAAAGTGGTAGAAGGATACGCGTAGAAGTGAATGAGAAGTGGCCACAGCGATTGCACCCAAAGACCTGTAATCAGGAGGATTAGTAAGCAAAACCAGGATATCTACTCCGCGGCGGTGTGTGCCACCGGAAGAAGCCGACGACCCATTGAGTATAATAAACAGAGCACTGGACTGGCTGTTGTCTGTTACTAGCAACGCTCCGTAGTTCTCTATTCCTTACCACCATGTTCTTCAAACGCAAAGACCAGAACTTGATACCTCCAGTGTCCCAGCCATCGTTGGCCCCGTCAAGCACTCGTGGAACAAGCCAGCGGAGCGTGTCGCCTCTACCCAGCTATCGCTCAAACGCCTCCACTTACGTCCCAAGCAGAGATGGCGACCCTTACAACAAAATGACCAGCAGAAGTAACTCTGCTGGTGCCAATGTAAACGACGACTATCACCCACCTCCCAGATATAACCCAGAAGACGCTCAGCTGCAGAAGAATCGCAACGAGCTCTTTGCCGGATACAACCCCGAGAAAAGCGGTGGTTCAGGTCGCTTCTTTGATGGCCCCCCTGCAGGAAGAGAACCTCCGCCAGGAGAGGAGAATGATGAGGATGTGGAAGGTATTCGTCAGCAGACGAGGTACTTGAAGCAAGAAAGTGTTAATTCTACACGGAATGCTCTCCGTCTTGCTCGTGAGGCTGAGGAGACAGCCCGCGGTACCTTGACGAGACTTGGCGATCAATCTGGTACGTGTGACTTTTTTCCTTTTTCATAAAAGGGTGTGATTGTCGCTAATCCGTGTTATTTATTTCAGAAAAACTGGCCAATACTGAACGTCACCTTGACGTAGCAAAGGGCCACACTGCTCGAGCTGAGGATAAGACTGATGAGCTCAAACAACTTAACCGGTCCATTTTCCGCCCTGTCATAACTTGGAATAAGGATGCGAAACGTGCTGCTAAGGAACAAGAGATCCAACAACGGTACGAAGAAGAGCGGAGTGAGCGTGAAAAAGCTATGATGGACATCAGGGACACCCAGAATCGTCTAGGCCGTGCTACCACCTACGGGAGGCAGGATGACGACGACGAGGGCATCTCTCCCGGAGGTGGAAGCTCTAGGATGCGTACCGCAGCACAGCTCTCGGCGAGGAAGGAGCAGCGCAAGCGTTATCAGTTCGAAGCCGGTGCTTCTGACGATGAGATTGAGGATGAATTGGATGATAATTTAGAGGAAGTTTCGAACGTGACAAAGGGTCTAAAGGCACTTGGTATGGCTATGGGTCAAGAGTTGGATCGACAGAACGAGCGAATTGAGGTAATCGATGGTAAGACCAGAAACCTTGATAACAGAGTATTCAGGAACACCGAGAAAGTGCGTTGGTTCGTCAAATTGATTTTCACTCTCGCTCATTCAGATGTCTCCTATAGCTCAAGAGAATCAAGTGATCTGAATATCCTTCGACGTATATCATCACCTCATGGTCGCATATCATATCACCGAGACAAAGGGGTCGGGGGTTTTATGCAAGACGTTTTCTGTTTCTTCAAGTATATTATTGGGCTGGAAAGCAGACGGTCGTTACAAGCTTTGGATACTGTGTATATCTTGACAACACGATGGACAATATGGATTATCATGCTCGTACCACTTCGATGTTAATGTGCTAGGGGCAACCCCGCCTCAGTATTACCTCGCCCGTCAAGATCTTTCAACGGTATCGAGAATTCTACTAGACTGGTAATGTGATTTCATCTTCTCTGTTGAGTAATCTGCCCTCCATCCCTCCTTCGACCATTAAGCACTGTCCGGTGACATGCCCTGAGACAGTTCCCGATGATAACATCGCAATCTGGTTAGCAATATCCCGAGGAGTCGCCACTTTCTTCAAAGGCGTCCTACGAGCCCATCATATTATCAGCATACACGTAACTCTTCCATAGAATAAGGAAGGTCGTACGACGCAAGAGCTTGGTATACCACCCTTGGATCCTTCAAGGTTTCCTCGGCCATCGGCGTCTTTACCCATCCAGGTGCAACTGTGTTGACTCTACCTTTAGGCGCAATCTTGACGATTTCATTCTTCAGCGTCATCGTCAGTCCGTACATCATTGCTGCACCGATAATGGCGCCATCAGGTCTCACACAAGATGCACGAGGGACACATCCTCTCACCGCTTTTTGTAGCGGAGTAGTCTGCATGTCCAGCTTCTCCGTACTTTCCAGCTGTGCTCCCGACAAACACTATGGCAGCTTTTTCTTTCGCCGCCGAACTCGCACCTTCGAGTTTTCTCAGATACTCCCTACAGACCAAGAACGAGGATGTCAAGTTGCTCGACAAGGTCGAGTTCCACTGGTCCAGTGACATCTTCGCTACTGGTACGTCCGCCGGAGGCCAGTAGCCGTGGTTGACGACTGCGACCTGCACAGGGCCGAATGTTTGTTGAGATAAGAAATTAAACATCTCGATGACGTCTTTTTCGCTGGAAAGATTTGCCTGTACGAGTTGGAGGTGGCTCGAAGTTGTTTTTAGCAGATCTCTGAGGGGCTCTGCGTTGGTGTTGTAGTGGGCGGAGACGTTCGCACCCAATGCTATTACAGTATTGTGGTATAATGAATGCGCCCGACATGCCAGCACTCTCGTTTGAACGCATTCCACACATACAAATTCGGGAAAGTAGTACTCACACAAGTAAAGACGAGTAGTTTCAAGACCGATGCCACCACTGGCGCCTTGCATTGAGATGGCGAGTTTCAGACGATGACACAGATAATGGGATGGCTTCATTCAGATTCACCTGTGACCAAGACGTGTACGTTATTTAACCCGAGATCCATCACTTGAAATGATGTGCAGGAGGTGCTTTGATAATAGAGTGCTGAGCGAGAGAAAGGTTGTTTTGTAGTGAGAATGCTGACTTGATTCAGTCTGGTTGTTTATGCCAGTGGGAGCCATGTGTGCACCCGGATCGCTGCTCCTGCTCTTGGGCCATATGACCCTGACTTGAATCGATTAGAATTTACAATATTTTAGTTTCTCTAATCTGTTTCTTGCGATTTCCCAAATGACGGTTTTACCTGGATTGTCAAGGTCCCTTCCAGGATCTTCCCAGTCCACTGATGCGAGAGGAGGATTTGGAGCCATGGACAAGGGAATCTGCATAATGCGATAAGATAAGATGAGTAGTCTGGGACTGATTCGGTCACTGTTTATGGACGTTTCTGATAACACGCTTTTCTAGGTTTCGCCGTGGTGTGTAGCTACCAAGGCTAACCTACTCAAAACACAGACTCATGGCCACGATTATTCGGTCTGCCAAGTACTAGTCAGGCTCAGACTGGACAATCAACGCCTGGCAGAGTATAATATCAATGTCCAGCTTGCCCACGTTCTTTGGAGTTCCCCACCTGCCTCCGACTACAACCTCCCAAGCCCCACGTCAGCCTGCTGGACTTTTAAACAAAGCAGACCGACTTTTCTTCGTTCTCCATTGGTATAGATACTAATGGGACGACGAGGAAAAACTCGGAATCGTACTAGCTCGGCGAACGCGGTAGGGAAGGTCAGAGCAACTCACTAAATATATTTGCAACAGTGTTGAAACAAGTTTAGACCTGAATGCAGGTAACGTTCACAGAGTATCCTTATACCATGAAGAATGAAGCTTGAGCGCAAATAATCTGACAGAACGGCAATCCAATCAGCATACATGCCACCTAGCATAACGAATACATCGCAGAGCAAACAATGCACGAGAGCACACGAGAAAACACGGCTAATCCAACACCCTTTCCTTCCCTCCTCCCTCTCTCCCTCCCTCCTCTCACCCTTTCATCATCATTTGACCTCCACGAGACATAAACCCCACCAAACACCATAAATCCAGGTGGTCCACCGAAACCGATAAGAAAAAAATTGATTTGGGATCGCATACGCAAACACTATCAGCCATACTCCGTCTCATCTATAACAGTAATGCACCTTGAAATACCATCCGATCATGCTAGAAACTTGGACTCTCGAGGTTCGCAGCATTTCTTTGGAAGATGAATCAAGTGTTCGGTTTAGCATGGACATGGCGCAGCTGACACTGAAAACTGACCTAAGAGGGCTAATTCAGTCAAAACGGAAAACCTGTTCAACGATGCCCCTGTTCTTTCGATCCGTCTGAAACAAGAGAAAACATTAGGATATATGAAAGACAGTATTACGGTTCACGTACTCGCTGGTGATAGAGGATATAGCATGTGCATTTAAAAACGACCTCTAGGTCAAATGATAGGAACGACACACCCACTAACGATGAACGGAACGATTAATTACTCGAAATTCAATTTGAGTTGGTGATTGGGAACACGTACTTCCTACAATGTATCACCAGGATACCAGTTACTTCAGCACATAATGCTCAAATATTAATATTTTATGTCTTACCATCTAGATAGCATTGGTCACGGCGGTATGCAAAACAATATGGCTGTAAATTTTGTAGAAAGGTTGACGACGATAAAACGTACAATCTGTAATGAGATTCAGTTAGCAAGGGTCCCGCCTTCCAATACATGAAATGGTTGCAAACCATCTGCAACGGAAGTAAAGGATTTAAAGAACTCAGGGCCGGCTGTACGAATGCATGAAGTGTATCCTCTGCATACAAGCAAACAAAGGATCTGCAATGGTAAATGCGTTCGATAAAAGAAAGCACGCACCACCTAATAAAGAAGAGCAAAATAGCGTTAGGTATATGTTAATAACGTAGCTCAAAATATAAGAAGTACCTTGCGGATTTCCTGGCAATATAATTGAGGTATGAATGTCAGTGAACAAATTAGTAGAGATGATGCCAGCTAATAACCTCATCCTGGAAACATAAGAGAACACAGACTTAACAGAAATATGCAAATAGAAGGAACGAGAAAGACGAACTTTCTGTAAAAAATGAGAATAAACACCAGAATAAACAATGTGTGCCCAGGTAAAGGGGCAAAAGAACTCACTGTCTGAAAATATCATATCAAGTGTGATAGTCAACAAAATGTCTGGTTTGCAAAGGAACAAGAGAAACATACAAACTGAGAATATCACCAACGCCATGATGTCAGCCAAATGTTTGACACGCAAAGGGACGAGAGGAACTTACAGGCTGAAAACATCACCCAGGCCTTGGCAGTCAGTCTGGCGCACAAAAGGAGAAGAGGAACTTACTTGCTGATAATGCCGTCAAGGGGATGACAATCAGCCAAATGTCTGGCTTGCAAAGGGATGAGAGAAACTCACTTCCTGAGAATACCATCAAGGGTATGACAGTCAGCTAAATGTCTGGCTCACAAAGGGACGGGAAGAACGTACAAACTGAGAATATCACCAACGGCATGACAGTCAGCCAAACGTTGGACAAGCAAAGGGACGAGAGGAACTTACAGGCTAAGATTACCCAGGCGTTATGAGTGCCAAATGTCGGGCAAGAAAAGGGACGAGAGGAACTTACTTGCTGAGAACGCCACGAAGGGCAATGACAGTCAGCCAAATGTCTCATACACAAAGGAACAAGAGCAACTTGCACGCTAATGACATCATCAAGATCATGATAGTCAGCCAAATGTCAGACACTAGCACGCAAAGGGACAAGAGGAGCTTACACGCTAAGGACATCACCCGGGCCATGACAGTCAGCCAAATGTCTGGCACGCAAAGCGAGAAAAGGAACGTACCCGCTGAGGATGTCACCAAGGGCATGGCAATCAGCCAAATGTCTGACGAGCGAATGGAGAGGGAGAACTTACGCGCTAAGGACACCACCCAGGCCATTACAGCCAGCAAAACGTCTGACACGCACCAGAGATGAAAGATACGTACACTCTGAGAATGTCACGAAGGGTATGACAGTCAGCCAAATGCCTGACGTGAAAAGGGAGAAGAGAAACGTACATACTGAGAATGTCACCACGGGCATGACAATCAGTCAAATGTCTAGCATGTAAAGGGACTAAAGGAACATACACCCTGGGAATGCCACCAAGGGCATGATAGTAAGCCAAATGTCGGACACGCAGATGGGGCGAGAGGAACTTACACGCTAAGGACATCACCAAAGGCATGGACAACCATCCAAATGTCAGACACTGACATGCAAAGGGACGAAAGGAGCTTACACGCTAAAGACATCACCCAGCCATGACAGTCAGCCAAATGTCTGGCACGCAAAGAGATGAGAGGGACGTACATCCTGAGATTGTCATCAATAGTATGGATAGTCAGCCAAATGTCTGGCTTGCAAAGGGACGAGAGGAACATACAAGCTGAGAATGTCACGGAGGGCATGACGCTCAGCCAAATGTCTGGTTCGTAAAAGGACGAGATGAACACACCACCTGAGAATGCCACCAATGGCACGAGTCAACCAAATGTTTGACACAAAAAGGGACAAGAGCAACTTACATGCTAAGGACACCACCAAATTCATGATAGTCAGCCATATGTCTGGCGCGCAAAGAGATGAGAGGGACATACATCCTGAGATTGTCACCAATAGCATGACGGTCAGCCAAACGTCCGGCCCGTAAAGGGACGAGATGAACGCACCACCTGAAAATGTCATCAAGGGCATGACAGTCAACCAAATGTTTGACACGGAAAGGGACAAGAGCAACTTACATGCTAAGGACATCACCAAGGTCATGATAATCAGCCAAATGTCTGACGTGAAAATGGACAAGAGGGACATACAATCTAAAAAAACTCCCAAGGGCAAGGCAATCAGTCAAATCCGTGGCACCCAAGAGGACATAAGCGAACGTACAACCTAAAATGCCACAAGGGGCATGACAGTCAGCCAAATCCGCAAGAGGACAAGAGGAACGTACGTCCTAAACCGCCACAAAGGGCAGTCAGCCAAAAGTCAGGCACTGCGAAGAGAAAAGAGCGACATACGTGCTGAGAATGTCATGAAGTTCGTAAAATATGATGTGGGTGAGCCAGCTGAAGTATTTGCATAGAGTGGTTTAATCGTACATACTGGTAAATACAAGAAAGTTAGCAAATACTTCGGCGGTGTAGCAAACATAAAAGCTTACTTTCTAAAGCATCATAAGGGCCAGAAATTCTCAGCGGAAAATATTGTGGGACAAAATTGCGAGCAACCTACATACTGCAGGAACAATGTCAAGTCAAAGCACATAAATTGATTAGCCATCAGGTAGCATGGGCAAGGACAAACGACGCACAAACTAATCCAATGATCTTATTCATCAGCGACCATTTATAAATACATTAAAAGTACTTACATTCTATGTGTGTGGTCAATCTCTTCAAGTGCAGGCTGTATGTAAGTGGAACACGTACTTGCGACGCACATGCGGAGATAGATCAGGTCAAATTTAGTCTGTATCATTTTGAACTGACTCACAAGCTGTTGATCAGAGTGGAATAAAGCGGATTTTAGGTCAAATAGCCTTGCATTTAAAGCTTGGACTACGCACTAGCTAATAATATATAAACTTAAGAGTGAGATAAATGCACGGTGTGAGTACTATACATACTAGCTAAACCCAATTTCAACAGGGCAAAGGTTCAGGATACTTCATCGTCATGGACCATGTTAGAAGGGAGAAAATTCGCACATAAGTATGGACTAGCATATTATTTAGGCTAGTTAGCGTCAACAGCAAACCTTGAGGGTACTTCGAGAGTTCCTACATAGAGTTGAATCAGATAGGCTTCACATCAATATTACGGCTTACTTGAGGCGAAAAAAGTGGTGCTTCCTTGTATATTGTGGCATTCATATTATTCATAATCATAGAGTGCAACCAAGGATCAAGGGAACTACTGGCAAAGTTTGTCAGAGAATCTTTAAGTAAAAAAATTAAAGACAAGTCCGAAGGATATCGCTCCTCTTCAGACAATGCTTTGTGCAGGTGATTCAACCACTCCTTGACAGCGTACGACAATGGTTGAACCCCAAACCAGAACTCCGCCTTGTTTCTTTCTATGATATTCAGACAATTAATGGCAATGGAGAGGTGACGAGTAGGGGGATTGATGAAATAGTTGCCTGAACGTGCTGGAGCCAACAAAAAATCCTTTAAAGAAGTGTGAACCAGTTGCACCAGATCGTCATCAGATTCGGGAATGAGGAGGATTGACTGAATACTAAGAAAAATCTCTACAAGGCGTCGTGAGGAAATATTTAACAAAGAAGCGAGATGCTTGATGGGTAGTGGATCTTCAAGAAGGAGGAGGGTGCCCATTATCTGCATGAGATCGACCATATTTCCAGGTACCCCGTCCGGATACAAAGCATTCGAGAACACCTGAGAATACAGATCATCTAGGCCATGTGCCTTTAGTGCGTCCAGAAGTTTCCGGTGCGGCATCCCCCCTGCTCTACTAACAAAATCGACGAATGTGGACGAGTAGATATAGGATCCCGAAGCTTCTTTGACGAGAGTGTCAAGGACTTCAGACGAAGGCCAAGGCTCTGGTACCTTATCCGTGGTCATAAGTAGGCGATTCGCATCATATATTGTTTCGAACTCGGACTGGAAAAACATGCGGATATCTCCCGCAGCGTTGAAGTTTTGTAGCTTCAATTGAAGTGTAAGATTTCTGGCGTTTCGAGTTTCGAGTTTTTTACGGAGATATTCTTCAACCCTGCTAGTGATAAAAAGACAAAAAGGAACCCGACCATTCCTGGCCCCACAGGCATCGACTACAGCATCAATGAATTCATCCATTAATGTTCTGTCCTGGTGTCCACACTCGTCCAAACCGTCGATAACGATCACCATGCGTTTACGCTTGAAAAAATTTCGTATACGTTTTGAGCATGCAAGCATGGGTTCCATGATGAGTTTGTCAAACTGGTAGCTGAGTGGAGTGTTCAAAATGGAGGGTTCTTTATTGAGGGCATTTTGTAACAACGGTTCCATGCCTCTGACTGTAGTCGAGAGCTGAAAAGCGAGCGTTGGAATAAGATGGGAGATTTTGTCTCGATTTCCTATTCCTCTGAAGAAGAAGAAACTGGCGGCAAGTTTCCTCTCGTCAGCACACCATTCCGCTATAGTCTGCGCGATAGTTGATTTTCCAGATCCAGCAGAGCCATTTAGCCAGCAAATTGGAAGACTAGTACGGTCCGCCCATTTTTGGATCGTCTCGAGGACATCCTTCCGAGTGCCTTGCAAACATCGGGCCTTTTTCCCAGAGCGATTCTGGTACGAAGCATTGACTGGTTGTAGCAGCTGGTGTAAACCAGGTATGGCTGACCCCCGATAACTGAGCTCAGATCTCAAGGCTGATAAACACCACACACCATCAGGGCTGCCATGAGTAACATTCGTGACGTTGTGCACAACGGGCTGTAGACTCCCAGAAAAATCGCTGAAAATGCTGTGTTGAGCCTGGGTGTTGTTGGAATTATTGAATACGCCAGCAGTGGGCACTAGAGAGGTGCGTTGCTTGATGAAGCGAAGATCTCCAGACGTTTCACCAGAAGTGTTGTGGTGAGACTGTGGTATGGATACTGTGTTGATTACGAGGCATGGGGAGGGAGCCTGAGACCTGAAGGATGAACATAGGTATATAAGTAGGATATCAGTAACTTATTAGCACTCATTCGACTATTGTAGCGCTGGATTTCTCTATGACCAAGGCCCTTGTTCATGTCAACATTGATATCTATCATGCTTTCCTGTAACTAGACAAAAAGATACAAATACAAGAGGGATGGCAATGCGAAGAAGCGACGAATTTGGAGGCACGTGAACCAATTAGAAAATAATCTACAACTACAGCTTGGATCAAGGCTAGATTACAAAACAGGATCTACAAAGGACCAAGATTTTCCCAAATGGCATGGTTTAAGACATTAGATGAAGATCCGTCAGGTGCCAGCGTCTCTAAATTATCCTTGTCGTCGGCAATTTTGTCAAGCCATTTGGCTGCACCTGAGAGGTTGGCAACTTTTGCACAAGCCGCATGCAAGGCCGGGAGTTCCCCAGACGGGAGCGGAAGGTTGATGGGATCCGACGAAGTGAATGTAACCGTATGGGGCACTACATAACCTCTTCTGGCTGTACAGACACGATAACAGTTAAGAGATGGCTGTGTATAGATGCAATGACCCAGCACAAGAATCCAAGAATCCAGCCTACAACTCACAGTCTTCTCAAACCACATCTGTAATCGATCGAACCAGTCGTGTACATCCTTCTCCATCGTCATAACGTTGAAAAGAGAATGGAATTTTTCACCATTCAGACTTTCAATGTTGTAGCCAAAGTGCTTTAAAACGGCCAACGCCGACGAAGAATAATCCTTCTGGACAGCGATGAAGCCAATGTCAATATCAATTATAACACAGAATAACAAACCTCTGCGCTCGTGTCCGTATCTGTTTTGGCTGAAATGTTGAAATACACAGAATCTGGTATAATGTGGGCACATTCTGTGTTCACGATGCCGCCGGCGTCGAGCACTTCAGTCAATGTAACAATTGACAGATCTTCTCCTTTGACGTCGTATTTCCCAGTCACTACGCATCGGAAACCGTCTCGGATAAGGGCCTTGATATAATGTTTTGAATCCAACAGCAGATAGTGAGTGATACAGAACAATTGCGCACCTGTTCTTTGGCTTCTCGGTGATAAGACGAAGCCGGAGTTCTTCCTTTAAAATTTTTGACTATTCCGTGATTAAGCTGAATGTATTCAGTGATCATGATTAGTAGCGGATTGGTAACTTACATGGGCGGATGAAATGGTCGAGGAAAAACTCTCCCAATGAACACAGGTGTTGTTGCTTCCCCTCAGGAATGTATCTCTTTCGCCATCCCGTGCATTGCCCGAATAGACGGCGCCTTGAGAATCAAATAACCCAAGATTCTCGCGTACATGACATGTCGGTCGTTGGAAGCAACAGCTTTCTCGAAGTCCAGACAGACTTGATAGGCGCCGACAACATGAGTGTGGACAGGATCATCTGGTGAAAGAAGATCCTCAGCTTCCGCGACGGGGGGAAGGCTAACCGCGACCATGACCAAGTGAAGTAACCGACCCAGTGTAAATGAGTTCCGGACATTTGCGAGCTGACCTGGCTTGACTAAGCTTTTTTACGGAGGTCAAGTAGCAAAAACCATTTTCAGCATAGAACCTCTATCACCTTTCTTCCATCGCAATGCAGTTCTCAAAAATCATAAAAGCTGGCTTACGGGTGGCTTCAGTATCGCAGAGAGCTCGCTTCTCTGCTTCTTTGCCTGCAATTACCCATTTCCAGCCTCTACAGTCATCCTCTCCACTTTTCTCCGGGCGGAGGTTTCTGTCAACATCACAGCCATTGCGCGAGGAATATCTGCGCGAGGAATCTGAGGACGGAGGATTGGAAAAGGGAGAAGGCTTCAAACGAAAATTTCCCCCTGCCGAAACGCTTTTCGTCGGGAACCTACCTTTTGCAGCCAGCGAGGATGACCTCCGGACCATATTCTCGCCGTTTGGCAATGTGAAACGCGTAAATATTGGTATGTCAATTTTTTTTTTTAAAAAAAACTGCCAATTCATGTTCCTTCTGACATCCTTTGCTTTTAGCTGTACACCCCGACGGTACCCAACGCGGCTATGCGCATGTAGAATTCAGCTCAAAAGAAACCGCGATTCGTGTCATTGAATCCGACAAGGAAGATCCCATATATTTCCTGAGTAGGAATCTTGTGCTCGACTTCGCCCCACCTAGATCAAGAGTGTTTAATGAGCCATATCATACTCTTTATCTCTTCGACTTCAGAGGCGAAGAGAAAGATATTGAGGAGCTTTTTGCACCTTGGTCGGAAGACATTAAGAGGGTCACTCTGCGTGAGTTCGTTTACCGCTTGATGGTCTACTTGTCTCTCATTTTATTGCGTCGTCGGCAACTGGTGTGTCGAATATAGTGCGTGACGGAGCCACAGGTAGGTCATACGGCAATGGCTTTGTCGAATTTACGGATATCGACGTGGCTGCGAAAGTCCTGGAGTCTATGAATAACCGTAAAATGCCCAATGGGTGGTCCCTGAACCTGAACTTTGCTCACCCTCCGAGGTCCCGCAACACAGACCGGAATGAATATGGGATGCGGAAAAAGGAGTTTGGCCAGGGAAAGAAGTCATTTAAGAGGAGATCCCCTGGCTCGTTTGGTGGCGATCGGGGAGGTCCAAGGCGTTCCGATGATTGGGTCGATTCATGAAGATGTCCTGTGGCGTTTTGTGGGAGGGACTTGCTTTGGTATCTTTTTCAACCATCTTACCACGTAATCATATTTTTGACATATGTCAACTTCATACGCACCAGCGGTTTAACAATTTCCAAAACTGTACACGGCCCTATCTGCTCTTGAAAAATATTGAAATGGACTGAGAAGGCCGATCAAGAAGACACAACTCTCAAATTCCATTGTTACGTTCATTTATTGGTTTGTTTGGTAAAGGTTGCGTATACCCTGATGGGCCCCCTGTAATAAGTGATGATTATCTCAGGTACTGTAGCTGGCATCCGAAGTGCAGTCAGCGACACCCGAGTCCTTGGTTGGTGTAACTACTAACTGTCTAACCTAACTTACTTACCCTCACTACCCTATGATATGGACTTGCTAGTGGGCTCCGGGATAGGCAGCAACTTGTCAATGTACATACAGTCTACGCACGATTTACTAAAGCGAATTACGGTCTCACTTGTCTAGAACTGTTCGTACCGCAACTGAGTTTCAACCAGCCTCTAAGCCGAAAAGGATGATCCCATCCAGGTTAAAAGATGAGTCCTGTCCCTGTCCATGTTACATTATTCTGCTTCTACAATTGCTACACCACCCAGGCCTAAACATGTCGTCTGAAGACCTCATCGCTCTCTTCCGTCAGCGGGTCGCAACTGAACCTACTGCAATCGCTGTTCAAGATCGTTATTTCACCCTTACATATTCCGAATTGGAAAGATGGTCTAATAATCTTGGCCACGAAATCTTTTTTCGCCTGAAAAATACCGCAGGATCTGGCACAGTCGCCATCTGCATACCTCGTTCTGTCCTCTTTGTTGTTTCTGTTCTAGCTGTTATCAAAGCTGGTTTCTCTTATATACCTCTTGACCCTTCCGCGCCGCCTGCTAGACTTGACGATCAGGTCTTGCAGTCTGATGCGCGTCTTCTTCTTACCAGGTCAGGACATCAACTGACATCACTTGGCCGTGCCATTCCGTTCGACATAGTACCTTTCATGGAGCGCACTTGTATCTTTGGCCATACTGAACTTCCTTCATCCTGCTTAAATTCGCGAAACGACACACTTGTCATATTGTTTACATCCGGCAGCACTGGACGCCCCAAGGGAGTGCTAATTCAACATGTAAGTCTCATTTCAGTAGCCGTAAAATATTCTTCCACTCAATTCAAATGAAGCTTAGCATGGTGAATATGGTGAAAGCCCGTCTTTTGGAAATACAGCCAGGAGATTGTGTAGCCATGGTCAACAACATCACGTTTGATGCCTCTTCACTTGAAATCTGGAGCGCGCTTTGTCATGGCGGCACCCTTTTCGTTTTAACTGCACACCTTGCAGATACTGAAGCCGTCGTCGCTTTCTTCGTAGATAACTCGATCACGAAAACATTCTTACCAACCGCGGTTTTCCATCATGTTATCAGTGATGTATCCAACGCAGCTTCTCTCAGTAAAACACTTCGCATGTTGGTTGTTGGTGGCGAGAAACTCCAAACAGCTGCTGTCAAAAAGTTTTTCTCTCATGCACCAACTACTAGACTGGTTAATCTTTATGGCCCTACCGAAACTACCATTTATATCACAACTTTTGAGATACCTATGGACAACTTTGATTACGACGATTCGCTCTCTCGTCCAATACCTATAGGTCGTTGTCTTCCCAACACAACCGTTTACCTTTTGGATGATAAACTTCGTCCTGTGGAACCTGGTCATCCAGGTGAAATATGTATCGGCGGTGCTGGCCTTTCTGCGGGCTATCTTGGTCAAGCCGATATCACTTCCAGCAGCAAATTCGGTACGTCTGCTTCACACTTCACAACTACCAACTTCATTTTTACGTCTTATACCCACAGTCACGGTCAATGATCTAGAAGAAGATGGTTCTTCGACTCGAGTCTATCGTACTGGAGACATCGGCAGATTTATTCCATCCGTAGATGGTCCTCTACTGGAATTCATTGGACGAAATGATAATCAAGTTAAGATTCGTGGACAACGGCTAGAGCCTGGAGAGATCGAGGCTGTCTTGTGTGCTGGATCAGATGGGATAGACCAAGCCGCTGTTGTCGTAACTGCAGATGACCAAATTATAGCGTATGTAGTCCAAAATGATGATGTCAACATTACAGATCCCCCTGGACATCAGGAGCAGGCCAGCGACAGTGTGAGACTCCGGGAGGCTTTTTATCATCAACATTTCGAGAACATAGACCCGGCATTGGTTGGAGCCGATTTTACTGGTTGGGTGAAAACTTCCACTTGAAATAATTCGTCACCACCCCATTCTGACTTTGAATGATCTACTTTCTTTGATATAGGTTAGTATGTACGACGGAGTACCTATACCTCGATCAGAAATGCAGGATTGGCTTTCAGATACTTTGCAGAGTATTCCTGTGAAGCAGAGTGACTCGGTTCTGGAAATTGGGTGTGGAACTGGTATGATGCTGTTTTCTCTGGAACCACGTTGCCAAGAGTACTACGCCATGGATATGCTGGGTTCAGCACTGGATTATGTAAAAGCGCGTCTCGTCGAGCGAGGTCTACAAGAGAAAGTTACACTCTTCCAAGGAGTGGCCAACGAACTTGCCCAACTCCTTCCTAGCGAGAAACGATTCGATCTGATCATTCTGAACAGTGTCGTTCAATATTTCCCCTCTTCGGAGTATCTCCACACCGTGCTCAAACTATGTACCGATAAGCTCCAGGATGGCGGGCGCATCTTCCTTGGAGATATTCGTAATCTTGGTGTAGACAAGCATCACGACTTGGCTCGCGTACTACATTGTGATCCAGATCCTAACTTGCCCACTTCGGAGATCCATGACAGGCTCGATCAGTGGCAGCGTCGCCAAATGGAACTCAAGGTCAATCCGTCGTTCTTCTTCAGGCTTCAAAACCAGCCTGGAAGTCGTATCTCCCACGTCGAAATTGTACCCAAGATGATGTCGGCCCGTAACGAACTCAGTCAGTTCCGTTACCAGGTAGTTCTTCACGTTGGCCCCTCACCCGAGCTGGTGAAATCCGATCAATGGTTGGGATATACGACTGCTTCGCAGTTGCAGGAGTTATTAACCTCTGGTCAGGATATCGTGGCGGTTCGAGGCATCCCAAGCTCTCTTGTAGCCGTCGAACAAGGGGTACTCCAGCTCATGTCGTTTTCTTCACCGCCACCCACCGCCTCTGAGCTTCTTAGCGCGGCCACTGCTTTGGATTCGTGTGTCAATGCGCTATCACCACAAGATATCACCAAACTGTCTACAAGCCTTGGGTATCAAGTTGACATCAGCATCAAGTCTCTAGGCACTGACCGGTCCATGGCAGCTGTATTTTCGCGTGGCTCGTCGCCTGTCAAAGGCGATTTCAGTGCTATTGTAATTGATGAACAACTTACCAATTGTCCTGTGAAGTCTGTCGTCGAAACTCATCATGCTCGTGACTTGACCGTCAAGCTGCACGATCGTTGTCGCGAGAAGCTCCCATCATACATGGTACCTCATCGTATCATCGTCAAAGCTAGCTTACCTCTTACTGGAAATGGCAAAGTGGATCGCAGGATGCTTGCAGAATCCAGTATGTGGGCTGAGAGCCTACTCCTCGGGGCACAGTCCGAATTATGTCATCCCGAAAACGATATCCAAGCACAGGTTCAAGAGTGTATTGCTAAAGTCTTACATGAAGAACCTCTGAAGGTAGTTATTCATAAAATTCTACGCCTTTCTTCATTAAATCCTCACTATTGTTTTTCTAACTACCATAGATCCCTCTTCAAACCGACTTTATCTCTTTAGGCCTCCATTCGTTCCGCGCGCCGGAGCTAATGAACGTACTCCGCGCTCAATTTTCGATTCCGGACCTACCGTTCAGAGTCATATTCCAACACCCTACGGTTACAGCTTTGGGCCGCTTCTTGGAAGACCAGATCCGATCGACTTCGATCAAGCCCGAGGCAACAGTCTTGTCGGAACGTCGTGAAGTATCATACGACCGTGATGCTTTGCAGCAAGTTTTAGAGCGTCGCGGGTTGACGCCTGATGATGTGGAGGATGTCTACGAGACTACTCTTTCGCAGAGATTACTTTTGATGGGCCACTCTCGTCGCAGTTTCATGATGCACCAAGTGGTGACGGCACGCACAGACATCGATACATTTATAGGCGCCCTCGAAACTGTAATTTCGCGGCATACCGCTCTACGCTCCACTATCTTCGATGAACTTCAGCGCCAGGTCGTCTTCCGCTACCACCGGAAACTTCGGGATGAAATGGTTCATATCTACCCTGCTGAGGACGCTCAATCTCTAGAAAGCATTATTAGAGACGACACGCGCTATGCATTAACAGTTCCTGGCAATCTGATCAAGTTCGAACTATTCCGCACCGAACCACCCACCTTACTCATCATTGCCCACCACGCTATTATGGATGCTTGGAGCAGAGAATGTCTTCTGGCAGAGATTGACAGTGTCATTTCAAGACAGCAGCTCCCTGAGCCCATCCCATTCCGAAACTACGTGGACTACATAATTGCGGAAGGAAATCATGAATCTGATATTGCTTGGCACGTCAATCGAATCCGTACTGCAGACATTGTCGGTTTTCCCCAGTGTGAAAAGTCGATATTTACGAGTAGCTCTTGCCTTGGCCCCGACTTTTTGCGAGTCGAGCAGCTTTCTGGAATGGCGAAAGTCACTCAAACATACGGTATCAAATCATCGACACTTTCAAAAGTTGCCTTTGCGTTGATAAAGCGACACGAATCGAAACGTGATGTAGTGCTCGTTCCACAGGCAGAGGCGTGTCGAAGTCTACCGGTCAAGGGGATCACAGAGATCTGTGCTCCAACATACAACATCGCCATCGATCGCGTCGATTTCCTCTCGACCGATACAGTACTCGAGCTATTGCGCCGTACCCAAGACAACCAAGACAAGATGACTGATATTTCTGCTGTCAACTACGAAGCGGTATTATCTGCCATTGAGCAAGACATGACCCCATTTTCTACGTCCAGCTACAACTTCTCTTCGATCAAAGGAAATCCACCCTATAGGGCTATACAACCTGGACCGGCGGGAGCAGAGAATGATATCGGTATAGAATGGACGACTGTTGTCGAGGGAGAAGTAGTCAAGGTTAGAGTAGACTGTGACCCCATTTTCTCTGATCGTGTTCCAGCCTATGTCGACCAGTTCTTCGTGGCTTTTCGTTGGCTGGTAACTAATATTCAGGCCAGAAGTTTGGAAGGGTTGGAATCATAGGGGGGACTTTGATTTTCTCGAGAGAAACAAATCATATGATTAAGCAAATCCGTGTACCTACAGGATAGATAGCAATGTACGAGACTCACGTATCCTACCTGAATCATCGCCACTCGGGCCCAGCCAAACGTGAACAGGCTGTTCTTGCTTGACATATTAGGTATCATTCGTAGCCTTCTTTCTCTCTGATTTCCCTGACTTCGACATCTTGTGCAATCCTCCTTCTCTCTATAGTCCTGCCTCCCTTACTACTCCATACTCCTCCCGTAATTCCGCCCTTCTCGAAGATATGGTCGATGTCCTCTAGCTCTAGACCTTGTGTTTCTGGGAAAAATATGTAGACCAGGGGAACCCAGAGTGCATTGAAGATGGCAAAGATGACGAAGACGCGCCAGTCGATGTTGGCAATGGCGATGGGGGTTATTTGAACTGTACAATTGGCGACGTTGAGCACGACCCTTGACCAATGCCAAAAGCATTTTTAAATACTCACCGACTGTGAAGGTACATAACCAATTGAAAGATGATGAGAGTGAAGAACCGCGTGCTCTTATTCTGGTGGTGGATATCTTGATGTGAAGCAAGTGCGTTAGTTTTCTTTGATCTGTGAATTTAACACGATCAAAAACGTACTTCGGCGGGATACAACCAGGGCTGAAGAAACATGATTTTGTCAGACAATGTGAGCTGTGTTGTATGATATAGATATATACGACTTACAATTGGTAAAAAGCCCAAACCCAGAAAGATCTGGAAGACGAAGATCATAGCTGTGGCTCCATATGCAGCTGGCCTGCTTCCAGTTGAGAGTAGTATAGAGGTGATGATGAAGCATAGCGACAACCCTGTAGCAGACACCATCAGTAGGAATCTCCTGCCATAGCGATCTACAGTCTGGAAGAACAGAAGTCAATGGCATCTCTCTGACTATCAGCTGAGGTGCTTACCCAGAGTGGAATAAACGAGGCAAGCATATATGTAATAGCGGTACATCCGCCCAGTATGAGAGACAAATCACGGGATAGACCCATAGTGTTCTGGTAGACGATGGGGGCAAGATAGCTATGGAAGACATCTAATTAGGTGCTAGAGCCATGAAAACGAAGACTACCTCTACGCACTTGATCATGTTCGCGCTATATAAGAGAGGATTGTATATAGTAGCTGAAAGGAGTAATATGGCAGGTAACGTACCCTGTAAACTGTTGCATGACATTGATGCCGATGCACAAGCAAATCCTCCTGAAATTTCCTAGAGGGCCGCCTTGGAGAAGCTCAGCGTACCGGAAGGGACCTGGCAAAAGCACAAAATATGCACTCAGTATATCAACCAACAGTGCGATCACGGAGATACCTTACCTCCTGCACTTTCTTGCTCCAATGAAAACTCAATTTCCTTCAATTTTTGTACAACATCAGGGTGGTCAATCGAATCTCGATCTTCCAGCTGTGCCAGAACTCGTGCACCCTCTTCTCGACGGTCGTGAGCGATCAGCCAACGTGGAGAATCAGGGAGGACCATTCCCTGAAGTAACAGGCAAAGTGCGAATACAGCTTGGAAACCTATAGAAGGGTGTCATAGGTTGGACGCGTTTTGATGTGATTGGATTGTGTAGCAAGGATCTTACCGATTGGAAGTCTCCACTGGATTGGACCGTTGACAAATGAGAGACCATAATCCAGCCAATACGCCTTGGTTCGATATTACAAAACGACTGATAAGGCTGGCCCTCAGAGAGCGCGAGAGCAGACTCACTATGACGAGGCCAACGATAGTCACTGTTGAATTCAAGCAAACGAGGGTGCCCCGTATGTGACCTGAGCAAGTTTCTGATTGGTACACGGGTATGGATGATGCATTGAAACCATTCCCCTGGAAGATATTGACGATGGTGACGACTCTCAAAGACAAAACAGACTTACAATTCCACTAACAACTCTCCCAACATATAGCTGAGCGCGCGTGGTAGCGCTCGTCATAATAGCCTATCAGACAGTTACCATTGGAAGAGAGTGGATATTCGATGTTTATAGACTCACAGTTCCAATCAACATAGTAACTGCGCCAGACATGATCATGCGTTTACGACCGATGGCTTCTCCGAAAACGAAGACTATCAAGCTGCCCACTACGCATCCGATATCCTATTTGTCGTTGGTACACCGTCCATGTTAACTGTTGGTCCCCACTCACATAGATAGCCACCTATGAGAGTTGAGTATAAGTCATTATGAGGATGTGATGCACGACTTACGATGAGACCCTGTGCTGTGGGGTCAGGATCACCAAAATCTTTTCCAAACTGATTTGTAGCCCCGATCTTCATGTTGTGGATAGGATGGCGTTAGGGTGAGTTTCAAGGTTTAATCGAAAGGATGATTGAATAGAGATGACGCACAATACCAGACATAACGCCCTGGTCATAACCAAGAAGAAGGAAGCCTTGGCAACAACATGCTGATAACGATGGGGGGGTCAAATTGAAGGAGAACGTTATAACGAGCCAAGGTTCAAAAGCGCACCTGTGATTGCCCACACTAGATACTTTCCTTTCAGAGGTACAATCCACATGGTTTGCGAAATCTGCGTAGCGCTGTAGAAGACACGTCAACAGCGATACCTTCAAGTTAAATGCTCGTGTGGTTGAGACTTGGGCTTTGGGTTGCGACTCTAAGATTGGGCGTTACATACTCCGTTGCATCAGGTTCAGAGGCGCTATAATGTAAGTGGTCAAATGATCATACTCAAGAGGCTATTGGGACGGCCCGTGGACATGCTGCCTCCCGTATAAGTAATATGCGTTGCAGCTTGACCGGGCTCCACTTTCTTCCAACTTGAAACACTAAGCGTGGCACAGTGCATTGATATAGCTGAAAATGAAGAGAACAGTCCAGATAATAGAAATTTTTGTTGCGGTACTTCAGTGAGCAAGGCTACAAGAGCTTGCCACAAGAAACATTGCGTTAACAGAGAAACATTCGTTGAGAAAGACACAAGTACGGTTTATGTTTTCAGGTTCGCGGACTTGGAAATGGGCGGTCCGGGAGTTGCCGACTCTCACTTGTTTTGGAGTCAAAGGTTATGGATGTCTCTTGACCAGCTTCCTATATGACAAGTGCGGTAGACCGCCATCATGTGGTCAGCTCGTCAGCCACGTAGATATGGCCGTGTGCATTATAGGACAAACATGGTGGGTCAGATATCATGTTGTCTGGCGTATGATATTCCGTGCCGGTGTAGCGCTTGGAAAGGTATTCCTTATAACATTCAGCTATTGCGACCCTTCAGCTTGCCTTTGCAGTCATACACGCTTTTTATACCCGCCTTCAGTTGACTGAGTGGTGGGAGAACCTGGACAACGAGATCCCACAATGACTTCACGCGCATTTCCAACTATAACTGCCGTCAAGACTTATCTAATTGGCGGAGCAAGTTACTTGATCCTGCATACCGTCGCCTCCCATGCTAACTCGTGCGTTTGTAGGAAGGAGACGGTGCGGATTATCACGATCAAAAGCGAGGACACTGGATTATAGACAGTCCAATTTCCAATCCAATGTGCGTCTCTCACTCGAGCTGTGTATAACTATTAATCATATGTGAGCCACTCCCTTCAGGTCGCGCTACACACAGTACAAGACCTCTCGAGTTCAATGGGGAATCAATGTCTTGGGAACGTTTTGTGTAGAAATCCACGCGTCTGATGGTACAACTGGGTGAGACATGCTTCAAGGGTCACACTGCCAATATGCACCTCATGTCCGCCGTCCAGGTTTGCGACAGGGCTTGGTGGTCCACCTGGATGTTGGATCGTCCAACAGCACTTCAAGCGCTTCCTCATAGGAGCCGATCCTCGCGACACGAATATGCTTTGGGACCAGATGTACAAATCCTCGTTATTCTACGGACGCAAAGGTCTCCCTATTGCAGCCATCTCTTGCGTTGACCTGGCACTCTGGGACCTGCTCGGAAAAATCCGTGGAGAGCCCGTTTATAAGCTCATCGGCGGAAGGACGAAGGATTACCTGAGCTTATACTCTACCGGGCCGCTCCCTGCAGAGGCCAAGAAGCTCGGGTTTTGGGGAGGAAAGGTTCCCTTGCCGTACGGTCCCGATGAGGTGGACGGTTTGCGGAAGAACTATGAGTTTTTGGCCGATCACCGCAAACAAATCGGTCCAGATTTTCCCTTGATGGTGAGATCCGCAAATTTTAACATACTATGCATGTGATTGACCTATCCATGTAGGTGGATTGTTATATGAGCTTAAATGTACAGTATGCTATAGAATTGGCGACAAAATGTTTGTCGCTGAACATCAACTGGTGGGAAGAAGTTTTACACCCGGACGATGAAGACGGGTTCAAGCGGCTCAAAGCAGCCCTTCCTCAGGTCAAATGGACGACGGGAGAGGTCAGTCAAGGTCCTTGTCCGCAATGTTACTGAGAGCTAAATGACCTATTCCATCAGCATGAATACACGCGTTATGGATTCCGAAAACTCCTCGAGACGCATTCCATTGATATTCTCCAGCCCGACGTCACCTGGGTTGGCGGCCTCACAGAGCTATTAAAGATCAGTGCGCATGCTGCAGCATACGACGTCCCCGTTGTACCGCATGCATCGAGTAGTTACAGCTATCACTTCGCACTGAGTCAAACAAATGCACCGTTTGCTGAAGTACGTCGTGTTTCCCCTCCTCGATGTGTGCCGTTAATCTGATTTTGACAAATTCAGATTGTGTGTAATGCTCCAGACGGCAAGTCCGTCCAGCCTAGTTTTGGCAAGTTGTTCTTGAACGAACCTCTTCCTGAGAATGGGCGTATTGAGGTGTCTGCTTTCGACCGTCCTGGGTTCGGGTTGGAATTGAACCCGGATGTCAAACTCATCGATGCCGAGCAAGCACTCATGATGGGGACGGGAACTCATTGAACAACTAGACATTTGATGAACACAAGAGTTGAAATGTAGTAATACGTGCTTGCTTTTCTGGTCTGGGTAGAAATCTTTTTGCTTTTTTTACGGTACAATGCTCAGCAATCAATAAGCTTCACGAAAAATTACCGAATAACGTCATGCAACACTGAGTAGTCGTAGTGTATCATAGTGTGCTACGTTGTCAACTTAACAAATACAATGAAGGCAGAAAATAATTGAGAAATACATATACTAGCGGAATGTCCGCACCGCAGCTTCTGTCACAGAAGTTGCGGTGGTCAAAGCTAAACTCAAACTGACCTTATCTATCCGACAACCACACCTTTAACTGCTTGGCTAATTTCTTCGCGGCAACCTCAAGTTTCTCATCCCTCGACCTCGCGACTTCCACAATTGTCCTCTTCCTCCCCGTGCTCGTCAGCACCAAGCCTACTTTCCGAGAGGAGAATGATACAGAGAGGGCACTGAACGATAGCGGTGTGGGTCCTGCAGGCTTCTTGCCCTTCGCGCTATGGCTCGAACCCAGAGTCCCTACGTTATTATTTGCCCTGGACATGGCTGCCGTGGGCGACGGATTGGCCGGGCCGGCGATGCTGGGGTTGGTGTGGACGACTCCCTCTCGCAGACCATAATACCTCACGAGGTCCTCGAGTCTGCTGCGTGGCTGCATGAGGTCAAAGAGATCCTTGAAGCTTTCCTCGCGCTCGAGGTGGAGCTCGGAGTCGTCCATCATGACGTCTTCGCGGACTTTGAGGACGATGAAAAGGTCGAGGACTTGGGTCTCGCGTTGGACGGTGTCAAACGGATTTGAGGAGGGGACAGGAGAAGGTGCGGAGAGGGGGAAGGGATCGGAGGAGTATGGTGGGCGGATTAGAGAATTGTAGGCTGGGAGGTAGGTGGAGCGTAGGACGTGCATGCATGCTGAAGGGAGGGATTGTAGGTCAGCGACTATTCTGAATGAGAGGAATTGGTGGGACAGAGGCGACAGCAATATCCGAATACTGAAAGCGTGGCGTGCTCCAAACAGTAACACTGGTTTTGTGCCCCGCCACAAACACCACCACCCCTGAACATACGACATACCGCAGACATACCGCTTTGAGGGCGTAAGCGGAGCTCCACGGTTCCGCAGTACATGCCCTTCTCTCATGGTGCAAGCGTCATGTCACAGAGACGACTGTTGTCGAGTAGTAATATGCACAAGATCCAATAACTCACCGATGTAAAACGAGTGGTTGACGAGTCTCAGACTGGTTGAGAGCCAGTAAAGGGTCTTTCTCTGTCGCTCTATCCGTCCTTCGTCTATCCCATGTGTTTGTGGAAATGTCATATACACGATTTTGAGCAGCAAATGCGATGGTAGCGCTGAGAAGTTTGCAGGCTCATGGCGCTGGTGCGGGAAGGGCGGAGGCGGGACATTTGCAGAGCCTGCAGGGACGTACGGCGGGGGTGGAGGGTTCATGCACTTTTCGTCGATTATGACCATGATGAAGATGGTTTTGAAAACGAAGCTATATAGATCTGGCTGTCCGTTTATTTTCGGTATCAGTCCGTGTGCGCAGCTACGGGATTTGGGCAAAGATGGACAGGACTGCGGCAAAACCGGTGTGGTATCGGACCACGAGACCAGCGCTTTGGGACTTGTGTGTGATAACTGAGGACAGCACTGGACGTTAGCGCAGGAAACGGGATTGAAAGGACATGTTGCGGAGGTTTATATACCCAAAGGCTACTGCAGAACGCCAAGCTCTGAGGCAAGGCTGTCCCTATACGTGCAATTGCTTGTTTGTTCACTTGCTTGCATCGCGATTTCACCTGCAAGGTCACCGGCCATCTTTCTACCTTTACCACTTTCTTGTATTACTTTCATCTGCTTTTCTGCCTGTAAACCTGTGTACTATTGGGATCATTGTTGTTACCGGATAACCCGCTCTTCTTGCTATACGACAAACCAACCTTACCTCCGCACTTGCAAGGACCGCACCAAATATCTGGACTGTCAACATACAGGAAATAACAGAGAACAAACGCGATGCCACGTCGAGCACGCGTTCATTTCGTGTCGCTCAAGTCTTCCCTTGTCAACCTTCCCATATCGATATATGGCCCATTGCTCGAACGGTCCATAGTGCGTTGCGGCTCCCACATACCTTAGAATATGAATTGAACATACTTTTCGTAGAGACCGCAACATCTCGCCGTGCACCTTATATCAGAGTCTCAGAATGGTCAGAAAATAGAGGCATATGTCGGATGGACTGGCATGGCTTCCTCCTCTTCTCTCGCCCATTTCAACTCGCCCGACGCAAAAGAGAAGGGATTCGAGACAATTGAAATCGACCCGCAGTATTCACAAGGGCTTGGGTTTGCACAGGGGGACGTGGTCAGTGCGGTCACAAGGAAATTTACGTCGTCGTTCGCTCTAAACACGCATATAGGTCGAAATAGGACTGCTGCACGACCTTCCTCTCGCATCGACGGTCGCAACTGAGCCTCTCACGTCTGATGATTGGGAGATCATCGTAGGTTCTTCTCTTTCTGCTATATCATACGTTATATGCTCACTCTTGCTTTCTTTTCTAGGAAATCCACGCTTCGCATGTCGAATCGACCCTTCTTTCCCAAGTCCGTGTCGCCAAGGTTGGACAGGAGATCGATATCTGGGTCCTGGGAAGAACAAGGGTCCGCCTAAAAGTTGGTCTGTAACCTAGTTCTTGATGATCGCTGGAACCTGCTAAACGCTTCACCTTACAGTCTCCGTAGATCCTCCTTCAAAAAACAACGCTCTACTACTTACCACCAACACCGAGGTCAGCATTGCACCCAAATCGCGAGGTTCCTCATCTAGGCAGCAGAAACAATCTGCTGCAAACGGCCATGCGCTGGCCACCTCGAATCAGGCATCTACAGCCAAAAATGATGTCTTGAGTGAGGAAACAAAGTCCAAATTCGCGATACAAGTTGTACGCGTCCTTCCAGCCCGAGTGCTCCCTCCCTTGTCGCCTCCCTCATCTTCGTACACTCAATCTGAACCCCTCGCTTACGTCCATCCTCGCACTTTCGCGACTCTCACTAACTCACGGTTTCCACTCCCAGCTGACTCAGAAGATGTCTTTCATAAAATTACTTATCGTCGACTTCCTCCCCCATTGGATCCCACTAGCTCGGCTTCAAATCCCACAGAACCAGCTTCATCACCGGCACTCGAACCACGTCTGCTAAAACCAGGCGATAAAAGTGGAAGCTCACCTGTCGAAAAAGTCGCGACCGACACATTGTTTGTCGGGTGGTCGAAAGAGGTCTTGTACCGCCATATTGTATTTCCTGGTGGTCTTCAGAATGTTAATGATTGGGATATCATGTGGTGAGTGTTTCGGCCATTAGGTAGCTGTTTGAGAGAGTTGTAGTATGTTGTAGTGAAAGTCGTAGTCTAGGTGTCTAACGTTAATAATGTTCAAGGATCACAGCAACTGGAGAAGTGGAGAGGACATCCAATCTATTCTCGGAGAAGAAAGAATCCGAGCTTTCTGCTGATGATACCAAGTCCAAGTGAGCTCAGCTACCTTTATTTAGCGTGTCGTACTGACAAAGGCATCTCATTTAGAGAAATTCCACCTGCTGATTTTTTAGCGGGGGTCGATGAGATTTTGAAACAAGGCGAGGAGTTTTGCTTGGCAAACTATGCTGTTCAAGCAAGGAAGAGCGATGTGCGAGGCAGTACGTTTATTTTTGCTACCATGTGCTTTGGATATTGCTTACAATATTCTTTAGTATCTGCATTGTTGTTAACAGGTCGGTCAGGGACTGGTAAGACCTCCATCGTTCGAGCCATCGGGAAAGCAATGGAAGAAAACTCACTCACATATAGCTGTAAGAACATTCTAATCATGTCGTGTCTTGACGTCCCCCTGAACGGTAAACTTTTATAAGACATCCATTACGTCGATTTCGCCCTGCTCAGCACAAAACCAGTGCAAACACTCAAAAGTCTATTTCACTATTATTTCGCTATAGCATCGTGGCATCGACCAAGCATCCTCATCTTTGATAATATAGATAAAGTATTGAGCGCTGAAGTAGAGGTCAGTGATCAAACCTTTTTTTGAAACTTTTGTGTTTGACATCGCGGGACATGGATTATAGAACGTAGATTCTTTTAGAACGCGGCATATCACTGAACTCTTCATTGCTCTATTTTCATCTTCCGCACGTCAAGCGTCCCAAAACTTCAAAGCAATATTGATGCTTGCTACTGTTGAATCTCGCTCATCACTTCATCCACTTCTCAGTACGAAGCATATCTTCCAAGAAGTTGTTGATGTCAAACCTCCAAATCGAGACGCCCGTAAAGATGTGGGTATCTTTTACAATCAACCTCTACTGCGTCATCTCATACGTTGCAGATAATATCGCGGGTAATAGAGAGGCGGCTTGCAGCCGCTCCCAGTCTTAAACTGAGCCCAGATTCCCCTCCTGATTACACGACAGTGGCTATCCAGACTGAAGGCTACTGTGCGACCGATCTGCACGACCTTGTGTCTAGAGCCATCCACCAGGCCGTTATGAGGTTGGTAGAGAAAAATGACAAGGATAATCATGAGGTTTGGTAAAATCACTCATCAGTATCTCCTTGAAAGCTTATTTCATTTCACGTTAGACGTATCTTTCGATGCAAGACTTCAATGACGCCCAAGTCGATTTTGTCCCTCTATCTTTGCGCGACGTCCCGCTCCAGAAGTCAACTGTAGAATGGGCTGATATTGGGGGTACGAATGTTATCCTTTTCGGTCGCTGACGTTCCATGCTGATGTTTTATGATTAGGTTTGAAGAACACTAAGCGAATCATCAGAGAAACTCTAGAATGGCCGACGAAATATGCTGTCATTTTCAAGCAATCTCCACTTCGTCTACGGTCTGGGTGCGTAAACTCCTCTGTTTCTAGTGCGCAATTCCTCACTACTCTGATCACATAGCTTGCTGCTGTATGGCTATCCTGGGTGTGGAAAAACGCTTCTTGCGTCGGCTGTAGCAAGGGAATGTGGCCTTAATTTCATCAGTATTAAGGGCCCTGAGCTGTTAAATAAGTATATTGGAGCTAGTGAGAAGTCTGTGAGTTATGACAGACATTGCAGTCTTGCATATCGTCCTAAATATGTTGCATAGGTCCGAGACATATTTGATCGGGCTTCAGCTGCGAAACCATGTGTCCTATTCTTCGACGAGTTCGATTCGATAGCACCAAAGCGGTTCGTTAGAGAGGCTTACTCCTTTTGTTCATAAGCAGCTAATGACGCTACTTTGTTTTTAGAGGTCATGACAGCACAGGCGTCACCGATCGCGTTGTCAATCAGCTGCTCACGCAAATGGATGGTGTTGAAGGTTTAGACGGTGTTTATGTTCTTGCTGCCACTAGGTATGTTGAACACGCTTCTCAATGTGGCTTGATTACTTCTAACGTCTTATATGCCAGTCGTCCTGATCTCATCGACGCTGCTCTACTGCGACCCGGTCGACTTGACAAGTCTGTTATTTGTGACATGCCGGATTTGGAAGATCGCAAGGATGTGCGTGCTTGAATCGGAGGTCTTCTTGAAATTCGAGTTGACCATCGTCTTAGATACTGAAAGCTGTCAGCCGTAAGATGATACTATCGCCAGAGGTGGACCTCGATGAGATTGCGCTTGCCACGGACGGCTATTCTGGCGCCGATCTTCAAGCATTAGTATACAACGCTCATCTTGAAGTAGTGCATGAATCTTTAGCCGAAAACGAGTCGAGCCTCAATCTCAATGTCAGCTCTGCCTCGAATCAGAATCAGCAGCGCGTCGAGTTTGCTGTCGTGGGAGGTCCCGAGAAAGAGAAGAATGGGGGTATGACTAAAGCTGAGGAAGCAGCTCTACAACGGCGGGTAAGTATCCCTTTGTGTTTAACTGTGTCGATGATTTACTCGTGTCAACCAGCTACAACGGATAAAGTCCGCTGGGGACTCTAAACACACGGAGAAGGAGCAAGAAAAAATTGAGCCTAAAAGAGTACTTCTATTATCATCAGATTTACTCTTCAAATTCTTACTTTGTGATATTAGCACGAGATCACACAAGCTCACCTCCACCGGGCTCTCAAGTCCACACGTCCGTCCGTAGCAAAAGCGGAGCAGCAAAGACTGAAAAAGATGTGAGTGGCCACTCGGTTCTCGCTCTTGTCAGACACTTACTACCAGCAATTTAGATACAGCGCGTTTGTGTCAGACCGTAGCAGTGGTACCAAGACTTTCCCTGCCCCTCCAGATCCGGATGGCATAGGAAATCGGGTATCGCTCATGTAAACTTTTCATGGGACGTTGATTATCTAGCATCACCTTACCAACGATAAGCATAAGAGGTGCTTTGCAAGCTTAATGGTATTCGTGCTAAAATATTACCACAGCAATTGTGCTTCGAGTTGAATATAGATTATTCCTGTCTGGTCGAGTTTGGGCATGTCGGTCGTGCCAACAGTACTCATTGGGGGAGTTCCCGTAAAGAGAGTGTTCGGCAGTTGCTATCTGCAGGATTTCCCCTCCATTCAACTTCACAACTTCAAACTTATCGTGCTACAAGTAAAGTGTTTTACTTCAAAGTTCACATTCGTCTGTTAGAAGCAAGAATACACCTCATTCAGCCCTCTTTTCACTGACAAACTTCCACCACCCTGTCACGGTAGTCGACAACTAAGTCTCTCGATCTCAGGCTTTCTATGCGTGTAAGTGTGGTTGGTATCACTTCGCGTGTAATATACCTAGAAAGGTCTTTGAAACGCTGGGTGAGTTCTATTTTGACGTGAGTTCACCAAATAGTAACACTGCTACCTTTTAGGACAGATCATCCTGAACTCAGTTCCCCGAACTTCTAGTGCGATTGTCATTGCGGAGAAGAGTCACCTGTGCCATCTAAACTTGGGCGATGATGACCGAACCACTTCTATGTGTGGTTCATCATTTTGAGTTCTTCTTCGTATCAGAATCTTCTGGTGAGACCACTGTCCGTTAATGTCGTGGTAGGTTCCGGCATGGAAAAGACAACAAGACCTTTCAGGAGACCTTTTTTTGTCATTGACTATTCTTTATAAGTACATTCACTCGGCATGGATGGCGACCGCTCTTGGATGACCCTGTAATTGTTCGTGAGTAAGATGATCAGCGTCTAGAAGGTACGCAAGATTCTTGATTGCCTAGCTTCTGAGCTATTCGAAGGCCATCTTCATTTCTGGTCGCGGATGCAGTGTACAGCAATCCATCCATCGTGATATCTTCAACTGACCCGGGCAGAACTTATATAGTCCCCCATCTATTTTGGTCGCAGATGCACTATACAGCAATCCATTCATCACGATATCTTCAACTGACTCCGCCAGAACTTATATAGCCCTCCATCTCAGCTTGGTCGAGGCGTTAACCTCTACTCTCACAATCTCACCCACCCACCATGCCTGTTATGCCTGTAGAGGATCTCATGCGGGGACCTTTGATGGGATTCTTTATTGGTATGCTGTGAGTATCCAAAGACAAGCCTTCGGTTGGGCTTACACGCAGAACGAATTTGGTGCACTTTTTGGACATCCCCATGGATTCCTTCAGATTCTACGGCATTACATGCATTCAGGTGTTTCTGTATTTCCAACACCACGCGAAAGACCATTGGGTTTTTCAGTCTATTGTACGAGCATCGTGTCCCGCTGAATGCATTCATATTAGCCTGTCACTGATTTCTTGGACAGATCGCAGTCCTATGGTTTAGCATTTACCTTTGTGGACTTTTTTGAGCAACACTAACAGCGCTGCTTTAGGATATTGGAAACATTCCACGCAGTGTTATCAATGAGCGTAATGGATCATTACCTCGTTAGAGGCTTCTCAGATTGGGAAACATTGCTGCATGTAGATTGGTACGTCCCTGAAAGGCTTTGCCAGTTAGCATGTCGGGGCCAATTCTTTTCCTTGCTATCCGCCAAATGTCATCAGGGAGATGACAGTAAGTAACCGAGAAACATTCATCATCTATTCTCTAGCTCATATCTGGCGGTCTCAGGTCTTGGTCGCTGTATCGGTGAGTCTTTACTGACTACAGTGATTGTTTCATGCTGACGACATGCTACAAGTTTTTAATCGCATTCCTTGTCAACCTGTACGAATTTTCTTCCTATGCATACAGACAAACGAGACTTATCGCAAACAAGCTATTATGCCTGGCGAGTAAAGATGCGTGCGTAACACCAAAGGAAGCATGGGAAGCATGATAAACTATGCTAATTTCCGCTGGTTAATTTCTTTTAGTCAGCTCCAAAACATGGATCGCTTCTTTTCTGGTAAATCCTTCAAGTCTTCCTGACACATCTTGCTTATTCGAGAACCTCTTAGAGCCTGATTGCTGCCACACGATTTGGTGCTTCATAATCGATTTCTTGTTTAGAAGCACAGTGCACTGACCATACACTCCAGCCCTGGGCATCGTTATCTGCATTTACTTGTAACCAGCTCTGCCCAAGTTCGTGAGATATAACATTGACACTTGACAACTTCAGCGTGCAATATCAACGATCCTGGTTCCTTGTGATGGCGAAGTCTAATGCAAGGTCCTTTTGCATGATGTATACCATTCTCTCACCTTTACTTGCAGGATCTGCTAATTTCTGTTATCGCCGTGATTGTCGTACATGATTTTCTGACAGCATGTGTTATGGCCTATTATTTACACAGAGCACGGTCAGGTATTGGCTGGTAGGTACTCATGCTTTGCGAGGCTGCATTATTAGTGACATCCAAATTCTTAGCTCGAATATTGATGGTCTTGTCAATAGACTCCTAATCTACATTGTAGGCACTGGTGGTTTGACTTCGTGAGTATCAGGATATGTGACACCTATATCATCCTGCCAGTGTCTGACTTCTTTTTTTCATTCAGAGTATTAGGGTTTATAGCCCTAATAATGGTATGTGAATCACGAATCACGAGTCTCATGGAAGAAAGCTGACATCCAACGTATAACCATGCGAATTGTCAGTTTATGGAAGAGCAGCACACTCTCCACTTCAGTGGAATACTCTTGGTGCAAGTGAAAAGTACGTCTTTAACGACAGTGTTGATTGAAGAATATAACACGAACATTGTAGTATACGCCAATTCGATCTTGACCTCGTAAGTATCAGCCACAACCTGATGGGGATTCCATTCAAACGCTCTTCTCCAGACTGAACGCCCGAAAGTACAATGCTCGGGCACTTTCTGGAAATTTTATCGACACATTCGCGCTTATGCCTATTGGTCATGACTTGTCTCAGCGCTACAAGGAATCAGGAGGTATGTTGCTTTTTATTTCTCCTAAATTGACATCTACACAAGTTCACCGTGGTAACAGGCAATTTATGATTAAACAGCAGTCATCCGTCTCATAAAGTAATATAGTACTGCCTATGCATCATCCTGTCAATGTGATATCACCTTCAGTGCGTCGACTGAAGAGAATCATGCACCTGCATCGTCATAAGGCTCCGGTATTGGTAAGTTAGAGGTACTGGTAAGGTGGCATTTCTTGCATCAATTTCCTCGCGCCCAAGTCATAATCAGTAGCAGACAGTTTAGGTTCCCTAGCGACCCCTCGTTCATTAAATCTTGGACCTTCGGTCTTAATGCAAATCCTTCCAATGTTCAAATAATTTATGATAGGATGTACGCAATCGCCAAGGTGAACCTTCCTAGCTTAATGTATGTACGATGCCAACCTTTCAATGTGATCGTTCTTCCCACAGGATCGACCTATGAAAGTAGTCCACTACACAGTACTTACTATGGCCAAGAATCACCTGGGATAAACAAACATCGGGGCTATTGTCAAGTCAGTCAAGCTCGTGATTCAACCGTTATCATAAATGGGCCCTGCATAGACATCGTTAGCGCATCAGTGGGGAGTCTATCTTTCATCTCGACCGGTTTGAAATCGAACGAAGGCAGAAATGCTGCCCAGATAGCTACAAACTCATATGCGGACAGCTGCGCACCAGGGCTATCCGAACAGTCAGTTTCACGCGAGAGGGCTCAAAAAAAAAAGCCTGTGAGAGGACATACCATAGTCGAGGACCTGAACCAAAGGCGTGGAATTTTGGCTGAGAAGGCTTTATAAACTTTCCTTCAGCATCCAAGTGCCGGGCAGGGTTGAAATCCGTAGCATCAGAGCCCCAAACCTGGATATTGTTTTTTTCCCTTTAATGACATGGAATCGATCAAGGTGTGGGGAGTCACCTTCGGGTTACGCATCATTGAAAAGTCGGACCATAAGATATAGTCACCTTTGGATATTCTAACGGGTCCATATCCGTACTCGGGTATCGCAGGTAGTACATCGTCACGAAGTGCAAGACGTGCGTTTTTGGGAACGCCAGGCCAAAGCCTTAATGTCTCATAGAATACAGCTAGGTGAATGTGATATTTCTGGAAACAACAAGCAGCATGAAAAGAGACAAAGTCATGGACGTGATGAACACACATACCGACAATTCACCATATCTGGTAACTTCTCCATCCAAATCCTTCAGTGCCAAAGCTTCTTCGCGCATTTTGTCGAACCACTCTGGTTTGCGGGACATCTCATAAAGGGACCAACCAAGGACATTCTGGGTATTGTCACGACTGGCGAAAAGGAGAGTGACCAACGTGTCACGAAGAAAGTCAGGGTCTTTGGCGCCCAGGCTGGAGTCGCTAAGTAGGGTAGATAAGAAGTCGCCTTTGTCTTCGCAAGACATCTTGCGGTCCTGAATAATGTTATTTACTATGTCGTACAGTTCACTGCGAACCAGGTTGAAGGCTCTTCGAGTGCCAGTAAACTGATACATAACATGACTTGAGAATGAAAGTGGAGACGAGTAAGATGTTCAGTGCTCACTATTTCTGTTATTTGCCATAGAGGATCGTACAGACGTCTGCATAGACATGTAAATGGTATATCCGGTCAAAGAAACTAGAGCTCACCCTGAAGATATGTGATTTAGAGTCATCACTGCATCCATCATCCTGTCGGGCGTGCTTAGGCAAGCAGGGTCGGAGGTGAGCATATTAGTCTCCACACTCATTGATGTTTTGCAAAATATGGCCAAGACAATTCTTCCACAGAAATCTGTGCCAAAAAGATCATCAAGGCGGTACTCATATTTTTGAAAGCCATACTTACTATCGAAATCAACCTCAAGACCGTCTTTTGCCGCTGACGTTAATAACTCTTTCGCGACAGGAACAATCTACGCATAACTTGAATATTCTAAGCGGTCAGATTGTCATTAAAGGCACACCTCGCTCATGGCACGAGACACGTGAGAGTCAAAAGTCTTTGAAATAAATATAGGTCTTCTGCAGTCAGTATAACTGAGAAGATAAGAGTGAAAAGAGCACACAAACTTGGTCACTTGGCGGGATGCTTTCCATCGAGTCCCCTCGGTTGAGAATGCGCTTGATACCCCGGGAAATTGACGAAACATAGCTAAAGCAGTTGGACCTTTACCATACCCAACGCCATCCTCTAAAAGAACATCTTAAACAGAGAATTGATATTATTTTTAGCGAACGGCTTACGCTTCCTTGTGTGTTCAAGCCACTCTGGCCGATTAATGACAATATTGCGTCCCCAGCCAGGCATCGTAAAGGTAAAAAGTTCCCCATATTGGTGTTCCAGTTCTGCCAGATAAAACAGCATCCTCTTTCGATGAGGGAGGAGCTGGATGAGATTGCCGAGTAGTGGTATTCCACGAGGACCAGGCAGGTCTGGCCTCGATTTCGTCCCAAAGTAACGATCTGGATAAGCCATTGCGGCGACGACAACCAAGGAAATCGTGGCTGCGAGGGCTACCCAAATATCAATGTGAGATTCAAAGCCTGGTAGCTGCATAGTGAGTATGAGGCCCGAGTAAAGAGTGTAGGTATATATCGTAAGCGCGATAGATCCGGTAGCACCCAAAGCAATGTACAGCATCTCCAAACCTGGGGCCGTCGCGCCGTACCGTAGCATCATGATGGAACGCAACAAAAATAGCTGTCGCACTTGAAGGAATCAGAACGTTCGGGGGTGCTACTATTTTGTCGACCTGTCATCAGTTGCAGGAGATAGCATTTCAATGGTAAGTAATGGGGAAGATTCTGATAGGACAACACGCTACCAAATCAGCCAGTGCGAATTGTCGATGGCCTACTACCGCTGGCGACCCACATGCATATATATCGGGCATCGGCCTTGCACTGCGTTGATATTATAAATATGAGCGCACAACGATGCTTTAGTAACCCCTAATAGAATGCTCTGTCAGTACCCTACAAATGAAACGTACCTGCGTCTGTATCATATAGTTGGGCTCACTCGGACTACTAGTAGAGTTCGGCGCTCGGCGCTCAACATGAAAGAGTGAATTTGATGATAAGGATGGCTATATCGGCAACCAAAAAAACTACTCCAAGTTCTCACAACACGGTGAACTTACCACGTTTATCAAGCCTTGGAAATTTATAAAGGCCTGACCATAAGACAACTACAAAAAGGGAGGACCATCAGAGCGTTAGTACTAGAAGAGATATCTCCAGTCCTCGCTTTTCTGAGCTGACAGTTCTCTCAGCGGCTATCTGTGCCGAAACGGCAACCTCATAGCGGACCCTCAAAAATTCTCAGCCTGGTCCGCTATTCATTCAAACTCGTCTCTTCTTCTGAAATCTGATGTTCGTGTATAGAAAGTAGATGCAGAATGTACAAGTAACATAATTGTTCCATAGATACCACAAGTACTTCATCAACTCTCCTAAAAGGGGGCTTCAAATTGATAGTTCCCACCTATCGACCAAATCAGTGAGCGTCTGATTTGATACAGGTCTTGAACCTGAAATACAAGTGTCAATCAAAGACCAGGTGATACAATTTAACCCCACAAATATTTGGCCAGCGTTTACTCAGACTGCGGTCTACAAAAAAAAAAAAAAAAAAAGGAATGCAGTATATTGTAGCTTCCATTAGCCACACCAGCCACATCAAATGATATAGAGGTGCAACAAGTTGAGTAGAAAACATACTCTACAATTAAGTCCCAAGAAATATGAAGAAAATAAAAAGTACATTTCCCAAAAAGATTCGATGCGAGTAATAAAACGTCAAGACTAAGCTCGAATGTGACTTTACCAGGCCATAGCAGCGATAATTGACTAGAGAAAACGACAAATGGATCAACCTTGCAAATCGAGGGAAATCTACTGGGTGAAACAGACCACTAACCTTTGGGTAATTCCTCACAATCGCCTTTCTGATTTCATCCATGATCAACACACCCAAAGCAAAGCAGAACGGAAGGCCCCAGAACATCCTCGGTATAGGAGCCGTCCCAAATACGCTATTCAACCCCGGTCCGTACAGGTTGACGACTGCGATGAGAGCAGTTCCGATCATGCCAAGAGGGACTACGAGGTTGCGACGGGGACCCCAAAGAGGGTTGGAGTTTAGGATAGACACACGTCGGTTGCGCACAGAAAGCAGGCTCCCACACTGCATGAACACGATGGTCACGTAGCTAGAGTTGCGATCGATCGTCAGGAACGGGTATTGTTAGCGTGAACAGGGTTACATACTAGATGCACTGGCCGACGTTAACGAGTTGCGTCAGATCACTTGTCGAATGGCCTTTCCACCCGTCCGTCCACTTGTTGTAAACCAGGATAACGTCGTAAAAGCTGAGGCCATGTTGGTGCATGTACAAGAACCACATACTCATGGCACACGGCCATATCATCAGCCCTATGAACTAAAGCCAACTATTAAACACAGGCTGCACTACCAGGGGAGAAAACCACGTACAAAATAAACCTGCACGAAAAACCGCCAATCACTCAGACGGTCAGTCCTCGCGTTCCGCGGCTTTCGTAGCATAAGGTCTAGGCAGCAGTCAAATGAAGGCCTCAAGAACGTGAGCGAGCATAAACCCTACCCGCTTCAGGCTTCTCGTACATCAACGAGATCGACATGACCACGTCGTTGGTAATACAAAAACAGACTTGTAAGTACGAGCTCATCGGGATTTGCATGCCGAAGAAAACGGTTCCTAGCACTGCCATGAACTCCGCGTAGCTTCCAGCCTAAATTAACAATTGTCAGCGAAACGTCCACAACACGGCTCTGATTGATATGTAGAAGCTTACTGGCGTCAAGTAGAGAATGACCTTTTTCAGATTGTCAAATACAAGCCGTCCCATTTCAATCGCGACAGGGATGGACGAGAAGTCATTGTTGAGGAGAATGAGGGAAGCTTCATAGGCATAGGGGCACATGTTCAAGCTCTGCGCACCGTGGCATACAACTAGCCCTGCTCACCTGCTTCTTTCGCAACATCGCTCCCACTTCCCATCGCAACACCAATATCGCTAGCTTTCAGAGCAGGTGCATCATTAACCCCATCTCCTGTGACCGCGACGGTATTGTCTCCGCGGGCTTTGATTTCTTCTACAATCCTTAGCTTCTGATCAGGGGTCGTCCGTGCAAACACAATTTCTGTATATCGACCAACAATGATATTCCAATCTTCAGGACTAAGAGAGGCTACATCATCTCCGGTCAGAACAAGCGATCGAATCGGATCGTCTTCAGACGGTTTAACCGCAGAAAGCGGAACGACCGAGAACTCCTTGGAGTAATCTGAAACCCTGATATTACTGATGGTATCAAGATGATCTTGTGTGACGATCCCAACCTGAAATTAAGGGTAAGCGCGACGACTCTGAATCTATACAATGGTCAAATACCTGGCGTGCAATGGCCACGGCAGTAAGCTTGAAGTCTCCCGTGACCATGAATACCCTAACGCCCGCTCTTCTAATCGTCACAATGGCGGACGGAACATCGGCACGCGGGGGGTCCCGAATACCAATGATCCCAACCAGCGTCAGTCCTTGCACCTCCGCATACATCATCTCCTCCATGTCGTTTGGCGATACATTCGTCTTGATGCCATCCAGCTGCTTCCGACAGAGTGCGAGCACACGCTGTCCTTGATCAGACCATTCATTTTGTAAAGCAGATATGCCTCGTCTCGCATCATTGCCAAAGGGTACGATGGTACCATCTGTGTTCATGATGCTTTCGCATGAGGGAAACAGAACATCTGGAGCACCTTTGACGAGCAACCACGGTTCAGAACCTTTCTCACCCGATTCTTGGCAATGGTTTACAACCGTTAACATCCATTTATTTCTGGAGTTAAAAGGAATCTCGAAGGTCTTCTTCCACGAAGAAAGTAGAGCTGTAGTGTCGACATCAAGACTAGGTATAGACAATGACTGGGAGAAGCGCAGAACAGCTGAATCTGTCGGGTCGCCTTTGACAGTAGGCTCTTCGATGGGAAGGTTTTCTGATGCAGCGTTAAATTTGGCACCATTGCAAAGTCTAGCAACCATGTGTAAGGCTTTCAATGCTGAGAATCGACCAGGTTGAGAAGCACTGGAAACTACTTTTGATATATCTCCAACTCGTAACGATCCGTCAAAAAAAGCGACATCTTCAATAGACTGATATATAGCTTAGCATCCATTCAGGTAAAAGATACTGAAAGAACTTACCATTTCTCCTGCGGTCAACGTGCCTGTCTTGTCTGAGCATAGGACCGACATGCACCCGAGTGTCTCTATGGTTGCTAGATTCTTGACGAGAACGTGACGTTTAGCCATGCGTCTCGCGACAACTGTCAAGGACAGTGCGACACAAACAGGAAGTCCCTATAATAGCACAATTAAATTGATTGTGTTAAACCAAAGCATCGAAAACAGACCTGAGGAACAAAAGAGGTAAGGCATCCAATCGAATTAATGATAGCACCGCTAGAGGTCTCGTAGCCAGGAAAGGATGTCCTGAGCCACACGCCCCAAAGGAGGATAGATATACCGAACAAGGATAATGCAAGGCCAGATATGATCTTCGTAAAAAACCAGACCTCTCGCTGGATAGTTGTCATCTTGAACTTTGTGTCACCAGACATCGACACGATACGACCCATTACTGTTCTGTCACCAGTAGCAAAGACCACTCCTGTGCAGGTCCCTTGTACCACGAATGTAGACGTGAGTGCAAGGTTGCGTGTCTCGAGTACGTTGTCGGAAGTCGCGTCTACGGCCCCAGGAACCATATCACTTGGGGTGAATCATTAGGCTGGTGAAAATTTGATTAATTGAACGCTACTGTTACCTTTCTCCGGTGAACAAAGAACGATCGAACCGAAGATCGGGAGTCACTTGAACGAGTCTCAGGTCGGCAGGTACGCGATCCCCAGTACTCAGTTGGACGACATCTCCAACGACGACGTCTGAAGCTGGGATAACCTGTTGCTTACTGTCTCTTATGACTACAGCCTCTTGAGCGACAAGTGATTTGATGGACTTCATGATACGAGAGGCATTCCAATCCACAAAAGCGTAAAACGTCGCAGACACGATGATCACTAAAATCTGAAGTATATGTTAAAGAGCGGGGTAATATGCAAACAACAAACATACTAATAAGACCGCAACACCGAGATTAAAAACAGCAGGAGATGGAGCCCCTAGCGGTTCATATGACAGCTGAGACCATTGATGAGGACGGAAAGTTACATGGAATTAAAGATTACGTACCAGAGACAATATAAACGCAATCCACATGAGGAAATTGAAACCCCCAAAGATATAGTTGATAATTTTCTTCCAGTACTGAGTTCGAGGAGGTGAGAAGACATTTTTACCACCTTTAGCTCTGCGAGTGACAGCTTCAAACTCCAGACCAACAGATGGGTGACTCGAATAGCGCGTGAAAACCTCTTCCGAGCTGATGAGATGAACGTCAATATTCACAAGACCTTCAGTGGAGTCCTTTGAAGGTTTTGACGTAGGTTTTGACGTAGGTTCTTGGTCATCAATGCGGACAGAGAGGGTACGGTAACTGAAGAGACAAGCAATTAGGTGAAACCATTGAGCGTTATCAACAGACTGACCTGATCTGAACGTCATAGCCGTCTGAAGAAGGCTGAGAAGTACCTTTCGGTACTTTGGGGAAACGTTCCATTGAAGACGAAGTTGGCCCTATAGTTTGTTCGGCCTTAATTATTTATGTAGCCGCCTCAACATCCCTTTAAAGATAGGACGAGTTACCATATCGCGGAAGCGACCTTGAGCGGTTTTTGCTATTCCATAGCAAGGCGCTCGAGTGCTCTGCGTGTATTTCGCCACAGAACGCTGTCAGTCTCATCAGCATGCTGATATTTTGATATTTTGATGGGATACATGCGCGCAGCCGTGAAGCAGTCGCTGTAAATGACCTAGAGAATCCATAACCTCTCAGTTCTCAATGAAAGACACACTGACAGAACAAAGGAGGAAAGGAGTGCGTTAACCTAACCCTACCGAACAGTGACTGGATTACATAATTCTGGCGGCATCCCGCGGCTGGCTGGGCATTTTCTCCAGCGCCTCTGGAGACCAACGTTGATCTCATACTGTGACGCTCAAGTTTCAACTGTGAAATGCAAGCATATCGAGCAGCACGAGTATCGACGTCAAATTGGTCAAGGCGCGCCATATATGCTGACCGTGGTATCGTCGTCCTAAATAAACCTTCAGGTCTCGTCTGTCAAGGTTCGAAGGATGGAGGTCACGGTAATGAGGTAGGTATGGAACATCTATAATGTAGTAATTAATAGCGCACTTATAATTTCTCACCAAGAGCGACGGGCAGCGAATGAGAGGGGATAAATTCAATGAGTTATTGCAAGGTCAGTGCTGTCGATGAATGAAGCTCTGGACCGTTTTCTGATCGCCGTTACTCAGACCTAGAGAAATATCTAAAGCAGGACAGTCTTCCACACCCTGTACACCGTTTAGATAAGGTGAGTTCATTTTTTCGTCTTGTTGGACTGCCTGACCATGATTTATTTCATTAGTCTTGCACTGGAGCTCTTGTCTTCGCTCGTAATACTGCCACTGCCAGAGAAATATCTCAGCAGTTTCTCGCACGCACAGTAGAAAAGACGTATCTTGCCCTTGTCAGAGGTGGCGAGAAGTCATTCCCCGGAACATCGGGAGAAATTCGAGACGCTCTTGAAATTAATGACGGTCGAGTATCGATAGGCAATAGCTGTAGCGCCAAGTTTGCCGCCACGGATTGGGAGCTTATTGGCCATTCGGTCAGTTCTCAGAGTTTGATCGTGCAGCATGGATGACTGAGTTCTTTTTACACAGCCAGAAGCACCTTTGTCCTTGCTCAGATTGAGACTGCACACAGGCTTGAAACATCAGCTCCGCGTCCATCTAGCCCATGCTTTACGCAGTGCGTGATCCTACGGCTTTTTCTTCTGCACTTCTCCGATTGACTATCGCTTTTCGGTCGATCTCAGCTCCTATACTCGGTGATACAGTTTACACGCGCAGTACACCGTCCGAGAAGATCGCTGGCGTGACCACAGTCCCTGAAAACAGAATATTCCTACATGCATCACACATCTCGCTTAATGTGAGTGTTATGGATTCATCAGTTGTTCACTATCTCACCCCTATGTTAGAGGTATAGGAAATCTGGACCGAGCAAGCGTTTCCGCTTGGGTATCACAGCCCCTTTGCCGAAAGACTTTGTCAAAATCTGCGCTGATACGGGCATTCGTCTTGATAGCAAAGATATCTCTGGTGGTTTATTTATCGACGGCGAACCAGTAGGTGAAGAAATCCCCGACATAGAAGGAAAGTGGCTACGACACGCTGCTCGACGATAACTTGGAATATACACTTCTCGTCGCTGTTCGTACAATGTTACAAGCATACACCTACCACTACTAAAAAAAAGTACAGCAAAGTCTTAATAAAGTTCGAAGTTATAAATAGTCTTGCAATGTGGTCCACACCCAGAAGCTCACCCGGCAAGCTGGCATATAATGGAGGCGATAGTGTGTCCCCGGTTGGTCCGTTCATGACGGTTGCTGTTGACCATGAGGGGGAACCTGCACTTGCCCGTCTTGTTGTGCCTTTAACCAGTTGCCCACACCTACCGCTATCGCTCCGACAGCCTGCGCAACACCTGATGCCAATACGGTTCCACCAGCACCAGCACTAATTGCTGGGATGGCGGGCAGCGTACCGGCGGTAATCAGGATTGCGCTTAATGTGCTCATGGCCGTAGGGTGTTCGGCGGTGAGGAAGTCTAGGGCATTGCAAGCGTTCAACAACCACGTTGGTGCGTTTGAGACGGATGTTAAAGCTAGTAAAGACCGATGAAACTAAGGTCAGACCGGAAATGATGTGACAGAACCGACGTAAACCTACTGTTTTCGTTGTTTATTGATAACGAAGAATCCATAGTCCTAGAACGTGTTGGCGTTGGCTTTGTGGTGTCTATGGTCATGGAGCGGGTGGGAGTTGGTGGAATTGGTGGAGTAGGTTTCGAGAAGAAATCTGTAGTCATGGAGCGAGTTGGCAAAGGTTTTGAGCTCATTCTCCTCTTGGGTACTATGATTTCTGAATGCGTTTTGACAGGAGCAGGACGATTCAACTCGTCAACTGAACATCGCTCCTTCAAAGTCTTTTTCCGGGTAACCCAGAAAATACCTGATGATTTGGTATGGACCTGCACTGGCTCCGTCGCCGTGATATCAATGTCCCCTATTGTAACAATGGAGCGCATCAGCTTTTGTTTGTCTCGACTCTACACGAAGACCACAGAAGACTTACATCCCATGTTCATCATCGCAATCTTGAACTTCTTCCAGCTCCACCTGTACTTCCCTCCGTTCACCTTCGCCATCACCTTCTTCAACTCCTCCAGTCTGACTTTCGCCGTCTCGCCCATGTAATGCTGAGCTACCTTGTGCCAATACTCCTCCGGCACCTTGCGTTCGGAGCACCCAGCCCTTATCTGTCGCAGCCAGTCCTCTACCGGAGCGTCTTTCTTTGGGTCACCAAAGAACATCGGTGGGTCCGTCCAAGACTCATAAATTGGCTCGAGGTTGAATTCTTTGATTTTGAATGCGTCAAGCATTGCGAGTTGAAAGGGTAGGGAAAAGAATGTGTAAGTTGTGTGGTGGTGGTGGTCAGTTTGAGCTTTCAGCTACAAAATCTTATGACGCTACTGCGAAGTCCTTAAAAACCAAGCTCGGCGCCTCGTTGATGCGGCGCGGCTCCATGAGGCCAGCTTCTGGGTGGGGTAACAAGACATGTGTTCGGACCTCTGTGCATAAGCGCAAATGAAATTCCGGCATCATCAAGATCCCAAGTACGGAGGACTCGAAAAAGGAATTTTCGAAACGCAAAACCGAACTCATGCAAAACATGAGGTTGTGGGTGCCCCAGCGCCAGGTCAATACTAGACGCATCCAGTCTGTATTAATGACCCTTCACGGGGTGTCTCATTGGCTGTGCCTATACGAGTAAGTTTGAAAGACTATCACTCAATGCATCAACACCGTTTCAGAACAGCCTTCGACGTCGGAACACACCAGCCGGAATCTCGAATGGAATCGATTTCAAGAAGCGGGAGAACACCGGTGTGATAGTTCAGAAGTATTATATTAGATATCATACATGAATCTTCCATATGTAGATAGAGGAAAGACGGCCCCCCAAACGGAAAACTATCGATGCTGAGATGGCGCTGATTACAGTAGTAGAAGGCATGTGTGGATTGATGCATCATGGAAACCCGTCAGAAAGGGACGAGCCTTCGTAGAACATAATGGAGCTCTGTCCATTTGCCAACAGGGCAAGGTTCGGTCACTTTTAATATGCAAATTCATATATTAGCCTGCTTGACATGCACTGGGACGTACCGAACATTGAAGAAATCTGTGCGCGAAGCAACCTTTGCCTACCTTTCGCGCAGCACGGCTGCTAGTGTCTTCCTGCTCATTCTCCGACAAATGTCTTGCCGGAGTCAACTGAGTCTTGTGTAGTCCCAAATTGGAAGGTCCTGCACCAGCCTCGCTGCTTCCGTCCAGGGTGTCAGCTATGCAGAATATCAGTTTCTGGGCATTGTGCTCGTTGCGTCCTTTTGAGGTGTTGCAAGCATAAGTACAATGACAGGATCCTAAGGAGGAAAGTCCATGCCGTCGTAGCCAATATTGGATTTTCGATGATCTGGGCTTTGTATAGACCGATCTTGGTGGCGTCCGTGGAAAATGCGGAAGGGACGGGAACCTGTAGGGAGAATGGAAGCCCTTGTTTGAGAAATGCCACGATATTTTTTCCACCTCGGCCGCTTATGGGTCCAAACGCACTCTGTGTGGTTGCGCCGCCCTTTTGATTTCGGACGCTGACCGGGGAATGTGTGTCCCGTAGACAGTAAGAGTATTGGTCAGCATTGACTGCAGAGACTCTGCTAGGCAGTGGTCGTGATAACCGATAACGAGGCTGACTACGCTAGAGGGTGCACAGCATGAGGCGATTGAGCCACGATCGAAGGCTCTCTAGCTCCGAAGGTAGATGATCTTGGACTGCCTCTTCCCGCAAGTATCGAAGGCAAGGTACCGCAGTGAATCTTAAAAGGTGGATAGTACCTTTTAGGGAGCGAAAGCTTGAGCTAGCACTAAGACAAACTCACTCATAATAAGATTCATCGTCGTTTTTCCACATGAAGTTCCGTATACAATAGGTGCTAAGTTGACCAACATTTCCCTGCAACGCAGGCACCAAATGAAAGTATTTAATGTGCCATATATATAGTTCCTGAAAATCGCCTTTTATCGTGAAGGAAAGGAGAGCGATGAAACCCGACGCACAATAGATCGCCATAATGATACTCTGAGTGGAACTCAGTTGGAGGAGAATCGGTTTGCATGCGCATTTTAGATGATCACCGATTAATTTCAATTACATATGAACTCCAAGCCAACGTGACTGGGAAGACACTTGATCGCTTCCACAAAACCGTCAAAAAGGCAGTATGCGAATGTTGGAGAATCCTTGATATCCCTTGTTGAATCCAAGTAAACTCGCAAACAACCTGTAAGACATCAAAATCTTGGCCTTGAGTATCATGGTGTGAGCTTGATGACTAAGTTAGCGGCAAACTCGAGCACTAAGATTATAGACTCACCAAAGGCATGTTATTGGGCTTCCAAGTGCGTAAGCCATTTTTGTAAGCGGGAATATCACTCACCAGTAAGCAATGCATTGCATTCAAACTTTTCAAGAATAATAAAGGGGATGTTATCAGATAAATCTGAAAACCTCTGGAGTGGTTATTATCCACAGGTTCGCCGGCGGGATGAAATATTCACTTCTTTGAACATGCATATCTGCTGCCATGCCATACCTAAATGAATGCTTGCAATCAAAGCCCCAGGTGCCCAAACGTGGGCACGTTGCTTCATTACAGTCCTACTGCTTCGTAGCAATCAAGTCAAGGCAACCATTCTCCTGATAACCCAAAGTTCTTCTTCACAAGATTATTAAAATGTTTCTCCATTCTCTTCTTGTGCTTTTGGAGAGTTTTATTTGTACCTGTAGAGCCCTGTTGTATACTCTGAGTTTAGGGGCTAAACGCCGAAGCCTTTTTGGGAAATTGACAACGGATTGGTTGTTCGCCTGAAGTTCCAGCTCATGGAGAAGTAGCGACTCTGTTGTTTCATTAACGTGGATCCGCTCGGGTAACTGAGAGGAGAGATCGCAAGTTACCAAGTGGATCCTCAACAGCGGCTTATCAGATGCATACCGGATGAGCATGTAACCAAACATACCTCGCACGACAATATGATGGCGTTTACCCAAATACTAAACATACATCAGCATTGAAAGTAATTCCAGCAGCGCTGATCCATCAAATTATTTGGCTGCAAGGTCATGAATTATGATGGTCATCATCATCATCATCATCACCACCATCCTCGCACACCATACCTTGTGGCCGTCCCGAGATGAATGTCCAGCGGAGTCGGATCAACATGCAACTCCTGCTTCTCAGCTACTGGTAGCTTCTGGGGAATATATCCGATTGGTTTGCCAAATACGGGGCGCGCTACTATATATTAATGAGGAGCTGGACTTTTCAACGATGGCCGGGAGGTGTCACCTCTCACATCGCCGAGTAAGGCTGATAACCGCTCAAGTTGCTCTTGCGTGAGGATCATTCCGGCTGTGTCTCGATCCAAGGATCCCAATTATCACAAGAGACACGATGGACTATGCGAGCCTTGAGTGAGGCTGCACTGCACCAGTCGAGTGAGACCGCAACGCAAGTAGTAATGAGAATGCAATACATTGCCTAAGAAAATCATGTGTGAGCTGTGGTAATAGTAAACGAGAGGATTGGGAGTTTACGGCCAGGTTGGGCAGACACGGGTACGGGTTTCAGAAGATCCATACATTAAAATTTTCCAGCTCAACAAAAATAGATATTCATATTCTGCAAGCCTTTGTTGCATTTTCTGATCCCATCTCTGCTCTGATTCACATATGAAGACAGTTAGAGATGATGCAACGCCACATTGAAACCTGCTGATATTTTAAGGGAGGATATCCGCTTGACTCTTGATGCGAACAAGCAAACAAAACTAGGATTAGATAATAGCACCAGGATGATAGCACCAGTGCAACACAGTCGACTTACTCATACAATGTGAGACTTAGATTAGATGGATAGATTGCAGTTGCGCTGTCGGGTTTTTGGCATGCGTCAGACAATATAGCATATTGCCAGTCGTGGTTTGTTGTCATTGCAGCCACCTCGAGAGTAAAACTTGCTTCGTATTTGGATATGATCAGACACGAACGAAGCACATTCGACTCAATGAAAACTCACTTGCCAACTTTTCCATTCTTAAAGCTTGCATAGTTCAACCAGGTCAATTCCCTTATTTTTTGCATCCAATGCGCGTTTTCAAATTGAATGTTATGAGCGAGTTTAGTTTATTCAAAAATCCGTTTGTACACAAGTTTCGCCTCTTGAACGGGGATTCGATGCAAGGACTAGCATCCTGTCAAGCAACGCCAGCCCAGGCCAGGTTTGAGAAAGCAACTTGAAGGCGGCATGGTGATGGAACGAGTTCAAGCGGCATCATGATTATTCGCAGCCCGCGAGTACTCTGGATGGCGTCACGGTCACGGTGGCGCAGTCGTCCTCTGAGTCCTTCGTGTCAGCCTGAGTGGTACCAAAGTGTGTATTTTGTCTTTGCTGCAAGCTCGAGTAACAAGAAAAGCCTCGTTACCTATGTAATAGAAGATTCAAGAAGACATTTCACACTATGATGGTTACGTTTATTGACCTTCTTTGTTCTATACCAGTGCCATCTTGGATTATGCGATTCAACAGGTTATGATATCGTCTTCTGGCTTTTGGAAAAAGCCGCGGCGCATCTGATTTTACTGCAACTTGTGCTTGTAGAAAATTTCATGTGTAAACAGATGGCGATTAAACACCCCAGCAACGGTTCTAAAAGGAGTACCATTTGTTCTACTGTTGGCGCAGCTACTAGTACAAAACCATCATACTCCTGCCATACATGATCATGGTACCTTATGATAGGTTCGTTGTGGCGTTGTGGCTTGAGCCAACGAATGGGAATGGTGAGTCTAATCGATTTGACCACAAACATGTATTAATATCGTGTAGCTAATACAAACTATATTTTCAAGCTGACTCGGATGAATTGAATTATGGACAGCGAATCATGAACATCGGTAATATGGGTACGCTCGCTGTTTTCAGTTCCCCTTGTATTCCAGATATATTGAAGTACACGTTCATGTGTACCAGGTTTATTATATCACGTTTAGCATGATCGGTCTTGATCGTTTTCAATGGTTCCTGGAACTTTACTCCCTTAAGGAATCTATTGCTCTGGCCATCAGTACTGATATTTCTCACCACGGTTGAGGGCTGTCATCCAACACAGTGCGCGGCATTTGTACTTCAGCTCAGCAAGGCTTATCTCATTGACAGGTATTACAACCTGAGTGAATAACACTCCACATGGCGGGATCTAAATCAATATCCAGTGAACCCATACCTACATCAGAAGTTTTGGGTGAATGGCGAAAAGGACGCATTTTTTCAGCGCCGACTGCCATGGAATGGCAAAAAGGGCGCAATGCATCAAGCTACTACAGCGCCAATTGTCTCGTCACTGCCGCACATCAACAATGGCTCAAGATAAGAACGAGCCGTGCCAATAAATATGCACAGCGCCTCACGATAATTCTCGCTACCTACCATGTTACGGTCTCGCCAGCATAAAGACACCAGCCAGGCTTCTTCTCAGACTGCGCCAGGGTTTGGCATTCAAATAAGGTTAGTCAGACGAGGTTCTCTTTATTTATTTTTTGCCGAACTTTTTCTATCTAGCTATCGGACATTGTCAGTCCGCGTAGATGAGAAGCAAACCCAAGTGAAGCCTCCAACAGACCCAGCCGCTGGTATTGCAAATATCGATGTTCATCTCATCAGCTCAGAAGAGGTTTTTACCCGCTATTCGACCCACCCTTCTGTAGGTTTAGAGCCTGCTGCGGTACAACGAAAGTCCAAGGATGGCAAAAATGTCTTTTCGCCTCCGCGAACGCAATATTGGAAGAAGGCCTTGAACTACATATTTGGAGGTTTTAACTTCCTTATGTGGATTGCGTTCATCGTTACTATAGTACGTGTGTTCTAAACGACGCTACAGTCCAGCTTTACCAATAAATATATTTAGTTGTCATACGAACCGCTGGGGGGTCAAAGTCCTGCCGTCTTCAACCTTGGCGTTGCTGTCCTTTTGGTCAGTCCAGTGTTCGCACCATCTACGCATTTTTTTTACGTTCCTCGTAGATGTTGGTGATAATCGTGTCCGCGACGTTTTATGCGTTCGTGGATTGGAATGCCTCGCGAATAATGAAGTCTATCAAGTCGCTTATCGCCCAAGAGGCCGTGGTCATAAGAGACGGTAAACAGCAGATCATACCAGCTGCAGACGTCGTCGTAGGAGACATTGTTGTGCTCAACTCTGGTGATCGTGTGCCAGCAGATCTGAGGCTTGTCCAAGTCTCTTCTGATCTTCGATTTGATCGTTCACTGTTGACTGGAGAAAGGTAACCTTCCTTTCATTAATATGTCCGCCTAATTAATCCCCGTTTCAGTGATATGATTCCAGGTGTTATAGACGCCACATCTGACAACGTACTTGAGACTCGCAACCTTGCCTTGACATCCACATTTGTCGTGCAAGGGACATGTGCCGGAGTCGTCTTTGCTACCGGCGATAGAACAGTAATGGGTCGCATTGTTTCCATGTCTGGAGAGACAAAATTTAAGATGACTACCATCCAAAAAGAGGTCTGGTTTTTCACGAAGATCATCTCTGGTCTTGCATTATCGTTGTTCGGTATATCTATCCTCCTTTGGGGTGTGTGGCTCAGGACGAGTTATCCTGGCTACGAATCTGCCAGTATTGCCATCGTCAATTCCATAGGGTGTCTTACGGCGTTTGTACCGCAGGTAAGCCAGTAAATTCTCACTGAGAAACACTCTGACAGTAGCTCACCAGGGTCTTCCCGTATGTGTTGCATTATCCTTGACTGTCGTCGCGAGGCGAATGGCGAAAAGACACGTCCTTGTCAAAAACCTTGCGACTATAGAAACGCTTGGGTGCATGTCTGTGCTGTGCTCTGACAAGACTGGCACCCTGACTGCTGGAAAGATGGTTAGTTTCTGTTGCTTTTGCTGCTGGACAGTATGCTCATGGTATGCTAGTCCGTTGAACACGTTTCGTTCCTCGACCACAGCCTGAGCACTGCGGACATATTCGACAGAATAATTGACACTCCAGAACCTCATTTATTCTCCGCACTGAGGGCCTTGCACGTGGTGGCAAGGCTCTGCAACGGTGCTAGGTTCGATGCTGCGACTGACAATCTGCCCGTTGAAGAGCGCATTGTCAAGGGCGATCCCACAGATACAGCTGTTCTCCGCTTTTCAGAGTCAATGTTCATCCCTAGTCTCGGTATAGACACCACAACTCTGTTATCTTTGTGGAAGAAGGTCTTCGAGATCCCTTTCAACTCGAAAAACAAATGGATGATGACGGTCGTAAATCAAGGTGCAGCCAATGCTTCTGAGAAAGGTTCCGAACCATGGATGCTCGTTAAAGGTGCCCCCGATGTACTGTTCCCCTCTTGCGAAAGCATCATGAATATGGATGGTAGCGTCGTACCTTTTGCTGGAGAAGCGAGAGACAGTCTATCTGCTCTGCAAAACGAATGGTCTAGTCGAGGACAGCGCGTGCTTGCACTTTGCCGGAAGCAGGTGCACGGCTTCAAACCGAACCTGTCACCCAACGATATGGAAGAGGCGATGTACGCTGAGATGCATGGGTTGACCTTGGTTGGAGTCATCGGTATTCGTGATCTCCCTCGCCCTGATGTTCCTTCTGCCATTGTAACGATCAGGAGAGCGGGAGTCAGAGTATTCATGGTCACGGGCGACTTCAAGCTTACTGCCGTGGCCATTGCACGCCAGGTACGTATTGATACAATAATGCAGAGTCTTTGCACTTACATTTGTCATAGGTTGGCATCGTCACGCAGGATCGTCTTGATACTATCAACGATGTCAGGGCTTTTGCTTCCACCAAAGAGCTGTCAGGCCTTCCACCTTCCGCGCTCAAGCCGTTAGATGATGAGCCCATTCGATCGCTCGTGTTGACCGGAGACGACGTTGCCTCGCTTGGACCTGAAGACTGGAATGTAATTGTTACTAAGTACACCGAGATTGTATTTGCACGTACGACTCCCGATCAAAAGCTAAAAATTGTAGAGGAAATTAAAGCTCGAGGAGACAATACTGTGGCGGTTACAGGAGATGGGGTCAACGATGCACCTGCTTTAAAGGCTAGCGACATTGGTGTTGCGATGGGAAGCGGCAGTGACGTTGCTAAAGAAGCAGGTAAGTTTGTTCCGTTGCGTATTCTATCATTCATGGCTTAAATATATACTTCATAAGCTTCCTTGATCCTCCTCGACAACGACTTCTCCTCCATTCCTGTCGCTATAGAAATGGGGCGTCTAGTATTCGATAACCTAAAGAAAGTTATTCTGTACCTCATGCCCGTAAGTTACATCGTGTTGACACTCACGATCAAGATTCAACGTCTTTACAGGCGGGCACGTACACAGAATTCATGACTGTGTTTGCAAATGTCTTTTTAGGCATGCAGATAGCCCTGAGTTCTTACCTCCAAGTCTGTTTCTCGATTACGAATGACGTAGTAATGTCAATTTCGTTGATGTACGAAAAACCTGAAGCAGGTGAGCTGCATTTTCTCTTGAGAGCCATCATCTCTTTCTGACTAGTCGTAGATCTCATGCTTCGCAAGCCACGCAATGCAAGGACTGACCGCTTAACAGACTGGCGTTTCTTCTTTCAAATATATTTGGTATGCAGCTTTCCACTACTGAGGTTCCCTGTAATAACTCCGGGATAGTTTATAGGCCTAATGATGTGGCCGTGTGCCATGAGCATGTGGTTCTTGTACATGCATCAGCATGGCCTCAAATTCTACGACGTCATACTGGTTTATAACAACTGGGCCGATGGCTGGAAGGGTTACCCACTTGCTCAGTTAAACCACTTCGTCAGCGTTGGTCAATGCATCTAGTACGCGTCTACCTCGATACTCATCATCCCGAACTGATGATTTGATATACAATCTAGTTATGTTAGTATTGTTTTCATGCAATATGGCGGTCTGCTCTCTGTGCGTAATCGTCGCGTGTCGATCTTAGACTCGAACCCTTTGTGGGGTCCCCGTCGTAACTTTGCCGTCCCTGTGGGCATGATGGCAACAGCTCTAATTGCACTCGTCAACTTGTATGGCCCTGGGTTGAACCGTGTATTCGGGACCACCGCTATACCAGGGATGTTTTGGGGTATTCCGTTCTGCTTTGCCCTGGGAATCTTATTGATGGACGAGACGAGAAAAGCCATTGTTAGGAATTATCCCCAAGTGAGTCCTCATATCTATACCAGTTTGCGTGTTCTATTCGGGCTGACATACTTTTCAGTCAATCGTTGCCAAGATGGCCTGGTAACAGGCAGCCACTTTCTTTCATTCCTCGAGTTTGCTGTATAACAACCAGTCGTTCCCATGTACCAAGTCTTTCTTGTCATATTGTGAAATAAATTACGACTTTGTAATCCAAGCACGTATACCGTGAACTGCATTCGGATAGCCTACACATGGCATGCCGTTCAAACGCTCACGTTCCCACACTGTAAATGGTATACAGACTAAAGCTAGATATTGTTCACAGCCCGCTGGAATTCATTCATATGGTTCAGACAAACCAAATTATATACTTTGGCTTATACACACCATATGAATGCTACCTGATATGGGCTATGAAAACTATATCCAAAAGTAATAATATAGTTGCACAAACCTGTACTTAGATAAACAGTTTACCAGAACTATACTGTAATGCAACAATTTGGTTTTCCAAGACTATACCATGGAAACAGGGTATTAAAACCATACCATAGTGATATGGATATATACAACTATACTTTGATAAATGGTGTGGTAAAACCATACTGTAATACACTGCTATGGTTGCATAAGACTGTATCTGGGTAAACAGTGTATCAAAACTATACTACTACAGTACAGTAATATGGGTGTATGGGACTGTACTTCAGTAAACAGTATATTGAAACCATACTATAACATACTACCTACTATGGTCATATAAGACCATACCTTAGTAAACAGTTTATCAGAACTATACCATAGTACAGTAATATGGTTGTATAAGACCATATTTTAGTATATAGTATATTAAAACCATACTGTAAGATTACTACTATAATCATATAGGACTATACCTTAAGAAACAGTATTTCAGAACTGTACTGTAGCATAGTAATATGGTTATATGGGACCATACTTCAGTAAACAGTATATTAAAACTATAATACACACTATAGTTTCATAGGACCATACTTTAGTAGACAGTGTATCAGAACCATATCATATTTAGATTATATGGTTTCACAAGACCATACTTCAATAAATAGAATATAGAAACTATACTATGATAAACAGTTTATAAACACTATACATGTTTTTTTTAGTATGGTTTTGATATACCATTGCAAATGTTATGGTTATGTAATACTATATCAATATGGTTGCAGAAAACTAAACTAAAATAAAACATGTATAAAAATACAAACACAGGATTTGAACTTAAAACTTTATAGTATTGCAAGAGCAAGACATCTGATTTAACCACTACACTATTACCATTATATATATTGTCTAAATATTATATGCTATAAGTCTATCAAGTTGTCTAGTTTTAATGGACTTAGAATAATTTTGTGAAAAAGTGCAGCGATATAGTTTCCCCACACCATATCCAAACAGTATTATAGCACCATACTACTTATATGGTTTCTCAAAACTGTAATAATAGAATAGTGCACAAAAACCATTTCACACAATATAGTCACCTAAAACCATATTATTGTATAGTTGTCAGATACTGTTTCAGATATAGTTTCTACAAACCATATTGGTAAAAAGTAATATAGTGGTATAAAACCATATCCTAACCAACAAGTAGGTATAGTTTATACACACTATACAGGTACTTTTATACATTTATTCAAATATCTTGAATATCATTTCTATTCATCTTGTGGCTCAGTGGTTTAGTTATCTACTCAAATTATTGACTGACCGCAAGGCCTGGTTCAATTTTTGATGGTGGCAATTTTTTTGAAATGCAATGAGATAGTCTCCAGAAACCATATCACTGAATTAATTACAGCCGGCTGTGAATGCAATGTGACTAAATGCTGTATACGTCCTAAAGTGGTAGACCGTGAGCGTTTGAACAGCCGGGTCTGCGTCGCCTGCCCCACTGCATTTCGGGCTCATCATTATATAATATTTTTTCCGTCTTATCGCTAAAGCGCAGGCTGTGATGTTTCTTGACCTCCTCCCCGACGATAGCAGACGCCCTTTTGAACCATCTGCGTTCCAACAAATTCCCTACTGCAACACATTGCTATTATATGCTTACTAGACCTGACGAAGCCAACAAGAAAGATACTCAGAAACATAAAGCAGCACATCATCATCGTTATCAAGAACATCATCATGGACACGTCCAGCAATACTCCCTTTTACTTGACCTTCCAGCCGAATCTCTTACATATATCACATCCTCCCTCGATCCCCCATCTTTATTCGCTCTCTCCCGAACGAATAAGCGGCTATATGAACACGTAAAGGATGACGGCACTTGGTTTCGTGCTTTCCTGAACCAGTTTCTTGGAATAGATCCTGAAAGTGACCTTCATCATGTGAAGCTTCTCTGTTTACGCAGGCTGGAGAACACATGGCGCAAAGAAATGATCAACCGTCACAAATTGAAAAGGTAAGCACTAGAATTTTACCTAAGGAGTGTATCTCTGAAATGCCCCTCTCTACGACAGACGCTGGGAGGGCTCTCGCAATGGCACTGTCACTCACACTCCTCTCGACTCTACAATCAGTAGTGTCCATCTGATGTCTGAAAGCGGCCTTCTTGCAGCGTCCATACAATACGGCGTAGTTGCGCGATCCCTCCCTCTCACGGGAAAAATATTGAAAGGCTACATTGGTGCATCTCAAGCAGGACTGGGCATTGGCAACCCAAACGTCGAATTTACACCGAACATTTCTGCCTGTGCAATGACTTCCGACGGTGGAACAGCAAGAATTTTTTGGGGCTATCGAAATGGCGATGTTGCCGTGACTACCGCGAGCAGAGCTATGGACAGTGCTCGTGCGGCAGCAAGGTTGTTGAGGTGTGGAGCTGTAGACCAGCACGAAGGCGCAGTGCAAGAGATCGTGCCAAATTCTGCCACGGGTACATTCCTTACAGCTGCTTCTGATGGCAGAGTAAAGTTATGGGACATCAAGACGGTCGGATGTCTTTGGACTAGTGACCAGCAGAAAGATTCACTAGTAATCGATCCCTATCATAAGGTCGCTGGTTCTTTAATTGATGGTATCGTTGTGGGCGCGCTGAAGTCGGGAGATATATATGTTTGGACGGGGTTGAAACCCTCTCAAGAAATTTCTCCCGACCTGCCGCTTATCCCAAGTAACGAGCTTCGTATCCCATCTCCACTTCTCTCCAAGCAGCAACCCCAGAGTCCTTATTCGAGTACTCCAGAAGTGGAAGCGATTTTCGTAGCCCAGGGCACCTCCCCGATTTCGATTTTTGTCAGTTATGCCAATCATACATTCTTTTATCGTCTGCGCGTGGGTTTCGAACCCGAGACAGTCGAAGTTACTAATTTCGGTGATCCTTCCCTCGGTACCATCACAGCAATAAAGCCGATATTCACAACGGATGCCAACGAATTCGGCTTCGTGGTTGTTGGAGATCAGCTCGGGTGTATCAGCATATATGATTGGAATGCTCCTCACTCATCCCAGCCTGTAGGCGCTATTGATACGTTTGAGGCCCACGAAGATGGTGCGATCACATCCATTGCATGGACTCTAATCGCATTTGCCACTGGTTCTGCACGTGGCACCGTCAAAGTCTGGGATTCACTCACATTCCAGCCGTTGCGCCTTTTCTCGTCTCCTATGTCACGCCGTCCCCAAGGACGTGACTGGGAGCGCGTGAGTCAAATCATATTGAAGAAAGAGTTGATTGTGATTTCTGTAGGAAGTAGTGTGATGGTGTGGAAGTTGGGCTATCCTCATTATAAAGACCAGAAGAAGAAGCAAAAGGCATCCGGATCTTCGAAAAAATCGAGCGTTTTAAAGGGCCAACGTACGTAGCAATTTTATTGATTAAATGGCCTGCACATACTTATCTTGGATCTTCTCACAGAACAATTCGAACTTTTGAAGGATATCGCAGAGTCGCGCAAAGAGCTGGAATACGAAAAAGCCCATGTGAAGCGTGCATATGAGCAGCACTCGACTCTCGAGAATCTTGGCCTCAGCGAGGCCGAGGCAGTTGAATACATCCTCATGTTATCCCGGGACGAGGAAGAGAAGCGTCGTAGAAGTTATGCAGGGTCTCATCAAGAACTTGTTGATGATGAAAGCATGTTTGAGGCTGACTTTGACGGTCTATCGCTGTCGCCACTTTCCGATCCATCAACTTCATCGTTATCTCCTCGTTCTTCAGCTGGCTCTGTCTATCACGGTGGTCGCCCTCTTACTCGTTTAGCGATTCCAATTTCAAACGAGAAAGTTCAAACCTCCCCGCCTTTCCAGCCAGAACCTATGGAAGCCGGCTTTAACATCAGTGCAATTAGCTCAGCTGGACCGTCGTCAAATTCGTCACCTGTGGTCATGCGTACCACTTCATCATCCGAACATTTCCCCCCGATAAGCTCAAGCATGTCGTCGACTGCAAGTACCCCTACGAAAAGGAAATCAACTTATCGTTCAGGATCGAATAGCCCGGAATCGCACCGTTTGCCCCTGAGTGGTTCGCCGATATCCTCTCTTCCGAGATCATCTTCAAGTACAAATTCACCGTGGAGCAAAGCACCCGTCATTCGTCCAGCCGCTCCCGAACCGCCTCTACCCGCAGACACCGCTCGTCGTCCAAATGAGGATACGCCCAGTGGGAGTTTGGTGGATATGGACATCCCAGCATTTGACGATGACATGGACGACGATTTGAGATTCGCGCTAGAGCTGAGTCTTGTTGAGGCACGCAGTCGAGAGGAGATGTCTAACTAGAAATGAGGCCGTCTCACATGCGGCAATAGAATGTATTTTTTCTTTTCTCTTTTAGTTCGAGTGATCCTAGTTTTTGTTTTTCATTGTAAATATCGGACATACCAGGACTGTCAGCTAGAACCCATGATAATTAGAGTTCGATTTATGCATCGGATGATTTTTGGAAGGAATAATGCTTATTCCGAATGGTGTTAAGTAGTGATAACGGTGTATACAATAGTTGCTTTCATCTTCGAAATGTGGGCCAGTCTTCACACAGACCTTCGGTCTGTCATTGCTCGTACAATACATCCGGTCCCAGCTATCTCGGTCAACTATCGCAGGTTTATCAGCAAACGCACAAAAGCAAACCGATCTTTGAGATGATATGCGTACCTTTTCATGCCAGCCTAGCAGCACGCTCCCGCTCACATCTCCCCAACCTGGCATGCCCATACCTTTATATATATACTTCATGAGCGTGTCCTGCGCATCCTGCGACAGTGCCTTTATGACGTTCGATATGTCGGACGATTTCGTGCTGTTCAGAATCGTCACTACGGTTTGGAGTGTCAAGTTCTGTTGCGCGCATTGATCAGACCTCTCGGTTGTCAGGCGTGCATGAGATGGAATGAGATGGTACCTTGGCTTCGTCGACGTTTGGGCCATACGGCGCGCTGTCTAGAGCAATGTCTAAAGCTCCTGGAATGTCACTCCTACGCCAATACAGTCAATCTTCGACGGACGTTTCTTGAAACTTGAGCCAAAAGGTACTTACTTTGCCAATGAACTCCTTACGGCTCCTTGTTTCTGCTTAGCATCGCTGAGGACCTGTGATGGATCCCTGGGATCTGGATCATAGAGCTCTGTTTCTAGTAGGACATCTTCATCGTAGATGTCAATGTCGATTTTGCGAAACGCAGTATCTGCCATAGTTGTTGGTGGCAAAGCCGATAGACCACTCACCGCCACATGGTATTACGGATAGACGCGTACAGCCAGCCACCATAACCATACACAGACTGTCAGCCAAACACTGTTCACAGCACATCAATGCGAGACTATAAACAATGCAAAACAAAGGACAGATAGTTCACACATACCATATGAGAGTTAACTGAGATGGCTCTACAAAACCATATTGTCAGATGTGGTGTTGATACACCATACCAAGTATATAGTACAGTTTGTAAATACCATATGTTTAGCTATAGTTTTGACAGACCATCCCAAATAGGGTTCATATATTCTCCACAGACCATATGAAGTGGTATGGTGTCACAGAACCATCCCACCAAGACCTTAAATGGTTCACCCAGACCATATGAAGCAGTATGGTGTCACAGGATCATCCCGTTATAACAACCAAGAGTTTGTTACTCCGGCGCACAACTCAGACAAGCTATAGAGATAATGATGAGGGAGTGGTTACCCTTTAGGCTTCAACAAGTCAGTTCTGAGGATACAACAGGAGGACTCACTGAGGAGTCTCCTTGATCTATTGGGGTATTTATACTACTACAAGCTTATATGTACATATGTACTGTACAGTTGATAAAGGCAGTGGCTGATGATGTCATGAGGTCTAGCCCATATGACCAGCTCCACTGTGTGAGAGAGTTTGTATCTAAAATAAGAAGAAAGGCAGTGTAGCACGAGAAAGTGGAGTTTGAACAAAAGGAAAAGTGCTGCATAGCACGGAGTGTGAAAACTACAGAAAAAGGTTGAAGAGGTGAATGAAAATTAAAGGTCCGAAAATGTGTTATCGTAACACCCGTCCGATACTGAAATGGTTCACCCAGACCATATGAAGCAGTATGGTGTCACAGAACTATCCTGTCCAGCACTGAAGTGGTTCATCCAGACCGTATGGAGAGGTATGGTTTCAGTGTTCCCATCATCCTTACAATCTCATATTGCATGTGAACAAAAGACATTACAATAAAGTATGTAGTAGACGGACAAAGGCCCAGTGCTAATCCACCCCCGACGTTCTACAAATCTCAAGACAGTTCCAAATTGAGAAGAAAACCTTTGTATACACAATTGCATGGTCCTGCAACATATAACTGACCAACTTGCGAATATGTTTGAGTGCACTGTTGCCACACTCTGCGGCACTTGAATTGATTTGTCCGAGCTGGGGGTTAGTGTGACTGTAGGTAGTCAGAAAAGCACCAGGTGAGCACTTGGTATGGCCCTTAGCATGAAAACCATCAACGACAAAAAGAGTATTTGCAAAAAAGTCTGGCTCTCAAACCATACAGTAAGGGCTGAGTGCACAAGCAAAATCGTATACGACAACTTTGGGGGCCTTAGGCCAGTGGGTTAGAATTGCTGAAAAAACATCATTTCGACCTTCTCCTTGAGGAATGCAATGAAATACATAGCAGATGCTATGAGTGCACCACATGCACATGATACCACCGGTTAGTCTCTTTTCACCGTATTGAGAGTAATATTTTGAGCACTTTTCTCCCCGTTGCCTGCCAGGTTCGCTACTGAGGTCATGTTTAAGGTGAGGATACAACGGCCTCAGTCGAACCTGTGGCATGCTACAAAAGCACCCTGACTGGAAAAACCATCAATTTCTGAGATATAATAATACTATGGAAATCAGCCTCACCTTCTGCCATTCCAAGCTTGAGACATTTATAGCGGCTATGCAAGGTGGTGGGGCATTATAGACAAGTAGTGATTGCAGAACACAATAACCTTGTTCACAAAGCCACATACAGAGTACTAGTAAAGCAGGGGGGTAGGGTTCTTGCCAACGAAGGTGATATTGTAAAACATTATATACTAAAGGTATGCCTACAAGGCAAGATGCATTTTTGGTGGTGGAAGACTTTAAAAAATTGTACAACTTGCGTAGAGCTGACCAGTTTGCCATTTGGAGTACAGACTCTTCTGCGGTGAGCTGTTGATGTATAATGAGAGAATAAATTCTGTTCTAAAGTGTGATACTCACCTGAATGAAAAGTTGTCAGTACACAGGGACAGGTTTGTGACCCATCAATGTGGTCCCAAAATGTCTTGAATATAATTCTTCAAGAGCGGGACTTAAGGCTTTGAGTCGGATCTGCACATCCACAATCAATTCGGCATGATCCAGCAGGCTCTCCTCAACATTCTCAGACACCTCATTGATATTGCAGGGATCATCAATTGAAGTAGAGCCACTGTTGCAAGCTTCATTTGAGGTAATTGAGCAGACTGGTATGGTTTTACAAACATCCTTTTGAAGCTGACTATTTGTGATCACTTGCTGGCCGTATTTGTAGTGCACCAGTTCACGGTGGTCGGACATTTCATTTGCAATAGTTGGCGGGTGAAGTGAAGGTAAAATGTGTTTTTGACTGAATGCTAGTATTACGCCATCCCAAATGGTCTCTTCAGGTAATGGCCCACATTTTGCACACTTCATATCACCATCGTACTGCTGAATGCAGACATAGGAAAACCAGGCCCTTCTGAACGTGTCTTCGGATACAAAACCAACTACAGAGTGATGGTTTTTGTAGCGGCGTGAGATGGTCAAAACGAAGGCAACAAATGGGGTCTCAGAGGTGGTAAAGGCACTCGTATATTCGTCAAGGATATCGTGAGTGAACAGGATACAATTGTTGAGGTTGAATAACCCAGACTCTTGTGAATCAGGGCCAATGAATCAATGGTTTGTTGATGGACAATTTGGACAAAGTTGGACCTCAATTGCCGAGCGAAAGCCAGTGTTAATGGTGTAAACCATGCATGGACGCTGTTCCTTAGCTCTTGATGCCAAATCAGCTTTATGGCCACATATACATGCTGATGTATTGGTCAGCTGCAGCAAAGGGGGTGCCTCCTGTATTGGATGAGGACGAATATAGAGAGGAGCATCTCCACTGAGTGAGGCCCAGGGTAAGGTAAAATAGGGAGGTAGGAAATGGATAAATGACAGTGATTTTTGGCTGTACGGATGCTTGTGGTGCTTAGGTCTTGGTTGGCGCCGTCTGCTTTGCTATCTCGCACATCAGGATCCCTATGAATCAATCTCTGCAATTGATGATGAGCTTTTATAATGTGGTTACAACTACCACAGCAACCCTCACACAATGCCATTGTCCATCACCAGAATTGGGACCAGTATGTGATACAATGACTTGGTATTTGGTTGCTAGTTGCATTGGAAGTGCAACTGAAAACAAGTTCACAAAAATGTCCTCATCTACTAATTGGCGAGAAAATAGAATGACAGGAGTGTCATCTCGACAAGACAAAAAATTAGAACATGTACTCTCATTATATGTAGAATAGCTTACCAGTATCATGAAAGTCGTGGTTATCTTCAGGAAAACATTCTGTGCCATACTCTTGAAAGAACTGAACGTGAAAGCATGTGCTCCCTCTTAGACAGAAGCAGACAACAACAATTTGGGAGCCGATAAACTTGCGCTGAAAGTGATACCAGTGATCCTATAACTGTAATGACCAAGAATTTCTTACTCTGGCGCACAACTCAGACAAGCAGAAGAGAGAAGAGAGAAGGAAGGGATCACCCCTTAGGTTTCAACAAGTTAGTTGTGCTAGACAACAGGAGGACTCGCTGAGTCCTTCCCCATGTATTGCTCCTGTATATATACTAAAATACATGAGGTACCGTACAGTTGTAAATCAAGTGTGACCAGTCACATGATGAGTCTAGACACTGGTCAGGTGATGTGTCACATGATTGGTCATGTGACTTATGAAAAGTCCGAAATTGTAAAGTAAAGTAAATGGTCACATGATCAGTCATGTGACTTGGAAAATAAAAGTAGAAGTACAAAATAGTGAAGCATAAGTACTTACTGTACCAACCTGAGTCTTTGTGTCCCATCCTTGGACTACAAAAATTGTGTCCGATATTTGATAAATTGGCATCAAATTGGATAGTACTAGATCTGTGAAGATATCATAACCTTGGTCAACCAAAACATCAGTGAAAACACCATCCCCTTGCAAGTCTACGACCAGAGGCTCAGAGACATCAGCTTGAGTTTTTGATATATCGGTAGAGTTTTTGGCTGGTGGGGCATTGATACGAAGGCACTTGTACCCTCACTGTTTAACTGGAGTTGTGTTTGCTGCTGCAAATTAATCCATTAAAGGATCATCGTGTGACTGCCGCTTGAGGCCAGTTGTAGCAGGCAAACTGTCATCAACAAAATAAACAGTTTTGCCCTCATCATCGAGACTTGGCAAACAAGACAAGTTGTCGGGGTAGTTGACCTTGAATAGTCGCAATTTTGGCAAGGAAGGTGGTGTCTTGAGAATGCACCGCATATTTGTTGACTTTAATACCTTGATTTATGATTTTCAGTTGTTTTTTCAGAAATTTTATATTACTTACAGTACATGGTTCAGACCTCAGGCCTTAGTTTTCAGTCCTCAGTCTTGTTTCTATGCTGGCGGTAGCAAGACTCTAATGTCAGTTGCAGCCAGCCAAGCGGACTTTTTATTCGCCTTCTGTCCGTTGAACCTTCTGCCAAAATTGGGTTAAGTAGAATGGTTTGCACAAACCATTTTGAATTCAAATGCTCTCATCAAGTTCAGTCCTACGGTACCATATTGCATGAGCCAAGCAACAACAAACACGATACCAGGAACTACAAAATCAGTATGTTTGTTTACACCACAATTTTTTGCTCACCTAACATTATGAAACCCATTAATAGACAGCCTCAACAATGTCAAAAATGCCCCGGTTCCCCTTTAATGTCTCTGTGTCAACACACAAAAGCAGGTCATATATACCTAGAATTTGTAAGTTTCTTCATTTGAATTTCTTACGCTTTCCTCACCTTATTATTTTACTCAGTGTCAAGCTAATATAGAACGAAACCTCCAATGTACTGGTACTGGTACCACCACCAGCACAAACACGACTGCATGTGAGGAACAACCTATTTTACCATACAGTTGCCAAAACCAGGCCCAGTTTTTGACCCCTGCAGTCCTTTTAATAATGGATACACAGATGCTACAACACTTCAAGCTCCTGGCACACCTTCGTCTCTCACTGACACGCCCTGCCGTTGCACTCGTATAACCAACAGGAACCCGCAATTTAGCTACATTGAAGGGGCCAAGCGTGTGTTACAATTTCTATTGGACATTTAAGGACTACTCATTTCTCTTTACTCATTGGTTATACCATCGGACCGATGACTCATTTCCTTCACGTACACTTCCGCTCCTCTTGCATTCGCAGTACCTATTATAGTACTTAGTCCTCAACAGACGGACCTGCCCTAGATAGGACCTAACTCCTATCACCGATTCCTTTCCATTATAAATACACATGTAACAGCAGTAGTATTCTCTAATACAATTCTACGCAGTTTACGCTTACAAAGCTAGACTCCTAAGATCAGACTTCTACTCAGAAGAAGACCAACTCCCATTGGAAGACCTCTATTCAGAACTGCATTCTCAAACTTGTCTTCGGATAAGTCTCCCTTGAAACCTCAACAAACCCTCAGACTTTGTTAAGCACTTCGTGTGTAACAGCATGGAGTCAATAATTGGGGTAGGTTTTTCTATTATTGAAAAAGGCGGTGTCATGCACCAAAGTTGATTGGTAGCATGGACAGGTGTCAATAATGAAGCGAATATTCAAAAGACTCGCCTTTGCGCCACACAGGCACAGTGCCACGTGGAATAGTAATTAATATTGCCTTTTTCGAACTTGTGGCTGATCAGCATCACCTCTATTAGGCAATCCAGTCACGCTCACCTTTGCTTTTCCATCCGGTACTTTCCATGTTTCGGCATTTCGGCAAATTTTCGCGTCGCCACTGGCTACACATTGCATTGCGCCCTCGCTTTTGTCGTTTCCCTTACTCCCCTTCCTTTGCCTAGCCACACCATGGGCCCCTTCCTCTCCTTTTTATTCTCACCTGACGGTCGTTTCTGGATCCCCATTCTAATCCACTTTTCCGTCACCTCCACCCTCCTCCTCCTCATTTTATTTGCACCCCCACCATTTCTGATGTCACCACTTCCTATCCACTTCCATCGCCAATCTGTTGACTACCACGTGCCACTGCTGATATCAGCAAAGCCCCGGCGGCCGGTTCAAATAGGGCAACAGGTCCATCTTTATGACGTCGATCTACCATCATATACTATCAAAACATCGGTCACTCGTCTTGCCTGGTTGGAGCGTGGGTGGGTAATTTTTGAGCTGGAGAAGGTTCATCCCCTTGCGTCGCCCATGTTCATCGCTGTCCCATTCACTTGGGTACACTTATCTTTTGTCCATCGTCTTCGCTACAGCTACACCTACCACACGCTGCCTGGGACTCACTTGTTCCAAATTGGAACTACTCCTCTCCCTCCCTCGTTTGATCAGGTGGTCCAACACAACCAGTCCATTGGTAAGGCCATGGAACTGTCGGATTTGGACTAGGTGGTGGACCTGTGGCTCCAGTTTCTTTTTCTTCAGCAGAACATTCATTTACAGTGCAATTATTTTTGATTTTTGAATCATTTTTATGGACACATATTTTTTTAGAATGCCTGACTGACAATAAAGGAACTGTGTTGATACTGATAGTGTTATGCCTTGCCCTTTTTTTACTGCATCTTCCCATGACATCATGATTTTCCTGCTCTCTTTTTGCTATTGGACTTTACTTTATGGCTATACAAACCTGTGACATTACTCACAGCATTCATTGTTCTATCTCTTTCTTTTCCTTTTTTTGACAATCTTATCCTGTACTACCTACGCAGGATTCGTCAGCATACATTCCTTCCTTCATGTTCTTTCTCATTCTTTTTGCACAGCTATACTGTGCATAGCCTACTTTTCTTTTACTATATAAACCCCTGTATTTTACCTTCTAAAAAAAAAACAAGAACTCCAATCCAGACTTCTTCTCTACTCTCAAGTTCACTACTCTGCTACTTGTGATCCAGTGTGGTCACAACACTTCCCACTTCTACATTTATTGACTGCTGTCATCGTCACTCGTCACTTTTGAAAGTGATTGTCTTCCCTTTCGATCAGAGGCCTTCTGAGCACTACAGTTTGTGTGTCAGGAGCCTGCTATCACTGGGAACCTCGTCACCTCGTCATCCTCGTTGTTCTCAAACCTACCTTGTGCTACCATTAGCAAGGTAGTGCTTGTTTATACTCGTTACAAAGCCCCTATCTTTCTATAAATTCAACTATCCCTCCTCCTCAAAACCCACACTCATACACCTTTGGGTTTTTACTTTGAAGGATCTTTATACATACCACCCCATGAACAACCAGAGCACCCACTGTTCTAGGAGGCAAAGCCCATAAACAAGTTCCGTGGAATCTGGGAGGATTGTGTGTTAGTTTGTTTTTTTTGTGTGTGGTTTTCTAACAACAGTTCTCATCATCGACAACAGTACCACTGTTGTACTTACCTTCCTTTCAGCCATCCTAAACGACTTAGTGGATGAGGTGACGGCACTGGAAAAATTGTTATACAATATAATGGGAGGCTCTGTTGTAAAGTATACAAAAGAGAAAAAAGGTCAGTAAACATATGGTATTATTCATGAAATATCAACTTACTGTTTGAAGCGGCTGTCAAACAAGCCGGTGGTGTTGACCAAACTGTCCAGGCTGCTGAAGAAAACGAAGAAGCTATCAACACAAGTGAGCAACAGTATATCAGAATTGCACTTGCTCACCGGATTCCCTCAGCCACTGTCTCAGACACCGCAATCAGAATCCTACCTACCACCATTGTAACAAGTGTGAGGCAACGATAAACTATAACAAAAACGAAACCTGTCTCCTTCTGCACTTTGCAGGGAGTAAGGGGTTCAATGAGCTTGAGGTCGACAGACACTAGTAAATATAGCGAGTAGAGGACTTTGAGAGGTAAGCTTTAAAGGTTCTTGTTGAGGAGTAAAGCAGGTAAATTCAGTAATAAAAAACTAAGGAGCCATACATGAATAGGTAAGGCTTTATATAGTGAACTGTTCGTTTCTCAGACCGGAAGGAGAATATACGAAAAGTGGTCTGAGGAATCAATCGACCAATAAGAAAAAGAGAGAACAACTATCGTATGACTTTTAACTTGATTAATCAGCAGGTGAGAGACTTGTACTAATAATAGAGGTTTGTCACGCGTGTTCAGGAACCGTATCCTCATAATGAGGTACGATCCTGAATAAGGCGTTATTAGTATAACCAGGCTTTACTGAGGCTTTGGAGCTGGTTGGCGAGATGCTTACTACCAGTCCTTACTCCGTGTGCTGGCTGGCTGGGAGCGATACCCAGTCTCTGATCTGTGATATAAAATGGTAGCGATGGTTAAGAAAGCCTGTGAGGGCTATGAGAAGTAAAACGGCAAATGATACCTCTAGCCCTAGAGCCAGAGGTGTGACAGGAAAGGCGTTCGAGAACCAAGACATAGCAAAGATAGGAAAATAATAAAATGGTCCTTACAACAAGTGCCGAGGATAATCAAGATAGCCATGATAAAAGTGATGATCAACAAGAGCAGGCCTTGATTGGGCTTGAGGCCAAGACCAAGGCCAAAAGAACCGAGACTGGATCAGAAGAGATCACATGTGGCGATGACAGACCAGGACAAGCAGGAGGTAGAGGTGAAGAAACAGATGTAATAAATGACAAAGAGCTAAGTGAAAGTATCTTTGGGAGTGATGAAAATGAAGGGCAAAATGACCATGAAAATAGGAAGGACAGTCACAACAAAATTGAACATGAGGCAAAAAAACACGAGGGCAACACCAAAAAGGGCAAGTGTAAGGAAAACGAGAAAGACACAGATAATCTAGATATAGGTGGCGCTCGACAACAAGGAAGGATCATCCAAACCTCTACCCAAGCCGAGATGCATCATCCGAGAAAATCCAATGCAAAGGCTAAAGCTGTAGCCAACGAGACAGGGTCTGTGGCATCAAAATAAAATGTAAATGTCGGAGAGAAAAGCAGAGGAAGAAGGGAGAAAGGAAAGAGTGCTGAGAAGAGAAAAAGGCAATCAGAGGAATTGGATGAATTGGATGAGAGCAATGAGGGGGGTGATGAACATGAAAATGAGGAGGAGGATGAGGGTGACAACAGCGATTACAACAAAGAAGATGTACTGAGTAAACCTAAAAAGCAAAAAATTCATATCAAAGTCGAGGAAAACAAAGCACCCACAAAAGATCCAAGTGAGTACTACATTTCCTCGCGATATATACACCACACGCTCATATTACCACCAGAGAAGGAGGCTGCAGGAAAGGACCAGATTCACAATTTTTTGAAAAATCCTGCAAACGGGATCCCTCATGTTACTCGAGTGTACATTCAAGAAAACGCTGACCACTTACCTGAGGCTGGCCTTGTCTCTGCTAAACTTGGCCTTCACTGCTTGACAACCAATCGCAACAACACCTTCTGCCTCTACCATAAGGGCACTGACAAAGTGGGCTCAAAAGCTGGAGAGAGCAGCAAAAAATACAAAATTACCGGTACTCCAGAGGCTTGTCATGCGAACCAGAAAAAGGGAGATGGAGTTCAAGCACCTCCTGGCCACCTCAACTGTGGCTGCCCCATTGACGCCGCATTGTTTGATTTCTTTATCTGGAAATTCATGCGTGCGACCGATAAGGACAGCAACCATCAAGAAAGTATGATAGATGAACATATTCATCCCCACCTACAATACTTCTTATACGACACACTGCGAAGCTTTGGCATTACCATGGACCACCTTTACAGCCTAAAACAAGGAGATCGAGAGGCACAAAAGCAGGTGTTGAGGGAAATATCAAGCAGGACCGTGGAGGAGCTAAAGAGGCTCAACAGTTCCAATGGCAACACAAATGAGGTGTTTGGAAATGATAGTGAGTTTCAGACTGAAACTCAGAACTCAGATGACAACAACAAGGACGAGATGAGTGATATGGATGACTCTGATACCAACTAAGATACCTAGCTAGTTATGTATAGGACAATACATATTACATTGTTCCGAGAAGACAGATCAACTACCTTGCGCGACTTTGCAGATTGTAACACTGAAACAATTGAGCCATGAAAAGTTGGATTATGAACTCAAACTTGGTGGGCCATAGCCAGAAATTTGTCTGACTGAATCAGTCCTTGAATGCAGCATAAGTGACCATAAGGCGACTATGATGTTACTTTTGTGATGTCTGAACCCCCCATTAAATCTGAAACCCCCGTGGGCAACAGGATGGTTAGGGTGAACCATTTCAGTACTGTACAGGATGGTGTTATGACACCATACCACTTCATATGGTCTGGGTGAACCATATGATGTCTAGCCAGGATGGTTTTGTGATGCCATACCACCTCATATGGTCTGGTTGAACCATTTTAGTACTGGACAGGATGGTCCTGTGACACCATACCACTTCATATGGTCTGTGGGGAATATATGAACCCTATTTGGGATGGTCTGTCAAAACTATAGCTAAACATATGATATTTACAAACTGTACTATATACTTGGTATGGTGTATCAACACCATATCTGACAATATGGTTTTGTAGAGCCATCTCAGTTAACTCTCACATGGTATGTGTGAACTATCTGTCCTTTGTTTTGCATTGTTTATAGTCTCGCATTGATGTGGTTATGGTGGCTGGCTGTACGCGTCTATCCGTAATACCATGTGTCGGCTGCCCCCTGTGATACCAACTGCCATTTCCGTTCAAACATTCGAGACAACTAAAGTTCAAACATCTCTACATTCAAGAGTGTAAGCTAATGTAATCTAGTAACATCATGGACAGAAGATCAAGACGTGACATATACGTGAACATGACCCAAGAACTAATTATTGTAAAAGATCATCAACGACAGTGCAGTACAGTGATCAGCAAATTAGCGAGACAATATACCTGTCGGATAGTATCGAGTAATTGAGAAACGTAGCCTGGAATTTGTATCGGAAACATCAGCCATCCCATTATGTATGCATTTGGAAACAGTTGCTGCAGAAACCGCGGGGCTTGAAAGGGTTTTGTCTGAACCCTTTGCAATCTGCTGCAGAAACGTCCATCAGGCTGTCAAATGGAGAACCGTCTTGAGAACCACTAAACGACGAGGCAGGGGTGATTTGCTTCGACAGAGAACCATTGGATTGAGATCGGTGAGCAATGGCTCTACGATCGGGAACCGGTGGGGCAGCAAGAACATTGCCTGTCGACCTTCGAGGAGGTGGAGGCGGCGGGGCTTTCCTCGCTAAACTGACCTCAGGGTTAGACCTACTGCTTATAAAAGGAGCCTGCCCCGTCCTTGGAATCAAGAGGGAATCGTTGAGATCAATATCGACGTCCTTTTTTGCAGGCATCAAACGCCTTTCTTCGTCCTCTTCTGCCACTGTACTGGTGATGCTTTCGGTATCATATCCAAGCCCATACAACGGACTGCGAGGCATAAGTGGAGGGTCGTCAAAAGGTTCTCTTTCATCGTCAGATTCTAAATGTCCAGCTGAATGGACTGGGCGGAGTTCGTCATCTGATGACTGTGCAGCGTCTGCGTTTGGACCAAACCGATGGGGCAAAGGAGGTCGAGTCGCTCTAGATGTTGAGATCTCTGTGTAGGGTGTTGGGAAAAGACCTCTACGGCCATCGTCTAGTTCTCCTAACCACCAGTCTTCTAACACCTCATTTATCACCATGATCTCATCTCCAGCTTTGAAACTCAGCTCATCAGAAGAACCTGTAAAATCATATAACGCTCTAACTATCTTCTTATCCTGCCTCGAAGGTGGCTTTAGAATGCGGATAGGGATCCTTGGTGATGATTCGTTTCCAAGATCTTTGGATTTAATGATCGGTGACTTCTTGGTAAAAGATCGCGAGCTTGGAGGGCGAGAAATATCACTGATATCTTTGACATCATCTTCGTCGTTTGGAAGAGCAGAAAAGTTCTCCTTTTTTCCACGCCCTGAGATAGTGCTCACGGCACTAGAAGCCCAGCCAGTGACGCTCTTCCTCTTGGTCGACCTGTCGGTCTTTCCCGCATCCACGGTTGCAGCGCTATCAGATCGTAACCTTGATGCTCTAGATGTAGGTCGAGAGGGAGGCTTGCTCCCCGAGTCCGACTTGCGCCGCAAGGGAGGCTTACCCGTCAGTTCACCTTCTGATTCTTCTGAAGAGTCCACAGCATTGGAACGAGTGGTCTTGGTGGATCGCTTCGACCGTACAGAGTTAAATTTGGTGTCATCCATAGAACGAGAGAATACGTGAAGCGGACCAGTCGACCTCGAGCTCTCAAATTTCGAAAGTGTAGACCTATACTGAATAAGATACACATCCCATGCAAGAAGTCGCACCACTTACTCGTTGCACCAGGTCTGTTTGACATCTTTCAATACCTCATAGTACTGCTTGGCAAAATTTAACTCGAGATCCAAAAACGTCGTCAGCTCGCGTAATTGTTGTATTTCATTCTCCTGAATGGCATGCATGCGGACTCGTACGTCTTCCGAAGTTTCCTCGCTAGCCGGCCATGAGTCAAGGCAATGGAATAGGGGTAATTGGATACGTACTAGCGCAATCTGCACCTTTGTAGCTCTTCTTCAGCTTCCTTCTTGTCCTTTTCCTTTTTGCTACTCTTCAACTTTTCCGCTTTGGTGATAGCAGCATCATAACTCAATCTATACTGAAGTTGATAAGCGAATGCTGCATCGGAGAGTGACAAGCAAGACTCGCCTCCGACTTTCTAATTTCTTTCGTTGGTGCTCATAGTCTTTGATATCATCTCCAAACTTCTGGCAGGACGAGATAAAGGTATCGTTAAACGTCAGAGCGTAAGCTTCCTGGAGAGTGGCCACTTTACAATGGGCGCGGCCCATTTTCACAAGTGAGGTGCCTGATGAACGGTGTCAGCACCTTGATCAGTCAAACAACAAAATACACACCATATTCCGAATCTTCTCCAAATTCCTCTCCATGTGTAATCATGACGATACCCAGAGCGTCGATTGGCATGAGTTTCTCCGTTTCATGAGCCGCCGCAGATTCCTTCTTCTTTGACAAGGCTCGATGGTAAACTTCAGACACTGTCTGCATCCTACACGATACGAACCAAAGTGAGCCATGCACTATCATGATAGAGGCCTAGACTTGAAGCGTACCGCAGGAGGCCTTCCTTGCGCAGATCTATGTCCTGTTCCAACTCTTTGAACTCATCCGCGATAACCGTCTTGTCTCGCGAATATATTTTTTCACCAGCCCACTAAATAATGCGTTCAGGATGAATGTGAAGTTTGAGAAACAAAAGTGGGACCACAAACCTGTCGAAGTTTCCCGAGCTAGATATGCGCAATTGAACCAGTGGTAAACGAACGTTACGAATTGTTCAGTCATATGTCTCTCACCTGTTTACTAGCCATGGCTGTCCTTTGTGTCAGAAAGTGAAAGGAATGGTTTTGGCTTAAACATGGTTATGGTCTTATACGTCAAAGGTAAGCTGACTTTTCCAAGACCGGCCTTGTCCGGCGCCTCCCTTTTAGTGAAATTCAAAAAGAAAATAACCTAGTGGGCCCATGGATACGGGGTTCGGTTCAACAAAGACACAAGACCTCAGAAAAGTGTAGAGGGAAATTACATCGTGGAGGCAATGAAGTAGAGTACAAGAAATCACTATGTACAGCGAACCGACTTGTTTATTGCATCCCTTTCGCAGCGAGTCGCATGCCCTCCTGCACAGCAACAGCCTCTTCAACCCAAGGCAACCGGAAGAAATCGCTTCTTCTGAGCTCCTCTGCCCTGATTGTCGCCCCTTCACTTGGGCCACTCCCAAGAACACTCTCCAAGTCACGGGATTGCGACGCCAGCCACGTCTGGATGAATTCCGCTGGATCGCGAGCAAAACTTTGCAGAAACGTTCGCTTCAAATGAGAATTGTGAAGCGACTGTGCCAGGAGCGCGATCTATTCATAGCTTATGTCAGTGTTCGCAGATCTGGGACAGACAATAAAGAATCGTGCCTCGTCGTCAAGTTTATTTAGATCCTGCAGGCTCTCCTTACTCGTGTTGACTGTGACCGCCATTCTGTTCTTCAACGCAGTATCCTCCACTCGCACTTCAACATCCCATGCCGACGGCCGCTCAGGAGGTGGAATTGTGGGATTCAAAGTATAATGGAGGAGAACGGGGTCCGGAGGCATCAGATAGCGATTCACTAGTTCAGGGAGTTGTTGGAACACAACTGACTCCCCGCCAAAGATCTGGAACGTGGATTAGCTCAGAGCCACGACAGTTCGCATTAAAAATCACGTACAGGTCTCAAGTGGTCATCAGCACGTATTCTTCTGCGGTCGACCTTGTCTTGTAGGCCATTTATTTTGATGTAGTTCCAAAGCGTTTGAATCACACCTAACCGGCTCTCTTCCTTGATTCCCAAAACGTTCCCTACACGCAGGAACATGAGGTTACTTGGCGCATAAATCGCCTTTAGCACACACCTAGTTCTGGGCTAACTTTATACTGCTCTGGAAAGTGCTCAAGGTGTACAATAAGCCTAATTTTTGTTGGTATGTCGCCTGTTCGTCTTATAGTGAATCCATCGAGTGGTTGCGCATTAGAAGCACGTGGCCACTGTTAATGAGTCAGAAGTGAGTATTTTGACGCGAAGGAAGAGGATAAGCCCACCTCGAGAATATTTCCATCCGGATACAGAGCTGGATCACGGTCTAACTCAACAATCATCCTTTTGATGAATGTAGAGAATTTGCGTGGTACAACTCTATCTCTCGAACGTTGATTTGGAAGCTTTGTAGCACATATATTAAAAGGCGCACTCCTGTTAGCCTCTACACGTACCTCTAATAGTCTTCCTTCGATTTTAAATGCCCAAGCTGGTATTCCCTGCCCATTCTCAAAGTTGACTGTGAGATCTGTACCGTCGCCGAGCTCTCCGTTCTGCCATGCCTGTCCTGAGACGGTATGGCTTAAGAATATCCTTAATGTACGAGTGGTCTGTAAACAAAAGGTTGGATTCTGGTTAGAACGAGACCCAGGTTGGACAATAACGTACGGTGAGATTTCGCGCCAGTGCATCTTGGACTTCAACCTTTTTTCTCATCATGGTCCAATCTAACTTTCGTTCCATCTCCAGCAAGTCCTGGTACATTTTGGAATCATCTGCGAAGTCTGGCGTTTGTAGGAGTGCATTTGGTAGAGCTTTATCGGTAAGTTTACGCTTCCTGGAGGCAGAACTGCGTTCATTCCAAGTCATATGGGAGAGTGGGGAGCGTACTTTGCGGGTTTAAGGGCGTCCATAGCACAAGGACGAGCAGTTTGGATAATGAGGATATGTTTCAGCTAAGTTACAGTGGATGTAGACAAGGCTCGGACTTGACCGAGGCAGGCGACACATGACCCGCGGGATAAAATACGGGGCTACTAGTATACCTGCTCTCACTCTCTTTCACCTCACTGTCGCTACATACGAGTATACTACAACCCACTGCTTCCTTCTCTTTAGAATAGCTCCCTCTTCACCACCCTATGCTCTCTGTAATAAACAATTGGAGCTTATTCACAAAGACTTGGAAATGTAACGCTTTTTGTCACGTGATGGTGTCAATTGTGGATGAGCTTACAAAAATTCTGTCTCATAACTATCAAGCCTATAAAGAAAGCCAAGAATACAAAATACTAATGGTGCAGTTGTGCTACATATCAGAAATGAAAATATAAACGGTCTACTGGATTTTGTAAGTTAGACAGCCATCACGCACTAAAAATGTAAACGTACCAAAACACAGCAGATCACAAATTCAAGCTCTTTCCACTACTAAAGTCCTCATCGGTCAAGGCCCTCGCTTGCAATATTTTCCCTAGGTGAGTAGATCGGTAACCCAACCCTTTTCGACGTAATCCGATCAACGCCTTGAGAGACGGTATTGGGCTTTCCCTGAAGCGCGATACAGAAGCCACAGCCTGAGGACGATGACTTGGGTCAATAAAGCCATCAAAGTCCGTTTCCACGTTGTCACCCAGGTCACTTGTATAAATGCCTAGGAAACGACAGAGATTTAGGTACATGTCGTAATTCGACAGATACAGCTGGCCTGCCAGAATGTTTAGTTGAATTTTTGAGGGCACAGGTAGCAAGAATGGCGTGGACGTTGGTGGAATCATATAGAGAGTTAAATCATCGGTAGGTCTCATTGCCTTCGTGACTCTTGGGGTATAGAGGTGTAGTCGGACTTTGTTGCTTTTTCGTATCTCGGGAAGTAGCATATTAATCTCATAGGGACTGGTAATGACGAGCACAAGCGAATCCCGTCGTTGGCTGGAGATGATCCAGTTGCATGGGCGAACAAAATCATTTGCTTGGCTATATGACCGAAGTTTCACGGTCTTGGTGAAGTCTTCTGTTACAAGCAGATTCGGTGACCAAACATCATGTTCGGTGAACTCTGCGGCTGTGTGGCGCAAGGAAGAGAAGGCATGTTTGAATGCGCTAGAGCCAACAGCAATGCGACCAGTCCGAATGAAATACTGGACATCTCTGTGCATTTCATGCTCCGCAGCCTCTATTTTCGGAGGTCTTTCGATTTGTTGCTCTCGTTCGACTTCTTGAGCTACTTCTCTCTCTTGTTCCTCATCCATTCTGGCTTCAGAAGGCATTGACATCCCTAGTTGTTCGCATCTTTCACGAAGTTCGGGGACCTGAAGAGCTGGATGAGTCCCAGAGCTTTTAAGCCCATACATCTCTTCAAGAGTCCGGGATTCTCGCTGACGCCACGAGGATGCGAGTTCATCCGTATTCCCTTCCGTATTCCCTGAAGAAAATTCAGCCCACGACTTCGCCCGAGTTTGATGGTCTAGCCCTTGCTCTGCCCATTGAGACACACGTTGCTGGATATCTGAGCAGCTCTCGAACATCACCCAACGTAATACATCTGTCACATGGATTGATTCATCGGTACTCTTGCCAGCTAGTTTAGCGGCTTTTCGAATGCTCTGGTCAACCTCCAAAGGAGCAAAGAACATGACCGAATGACCGTTCCCCAATCGTCGCATACGCATGCAACCTATTTCAAAACAATTGACATTAGGACAAATGGATTTTTCGCAGCTATATTGCACAGACCTTGTGTAAGCCGGTCCTTTGTGACTCTTGGTCCTAACGTGACTCCTGCTCGGGAACCTTGAGGCAGCTTCACGTCTGTGCCCCTGGTATGTGCATCATCCAGATAGAGCAAACACTGATCTATTTGCTGGTTGAACGGGGAGGAAATGAAGGATTCTACGTTCCCTTTACGATCTAGGACCTGCATTTCATCATTATCGCCGAAGAATATTGCTGCCTGAGCGTCCTTCTTCAGGAAAAGCCAGAGAGCCACCAACTCTTTATTTCGTAATTCAAGCATCTGCGCCCCAACGTCAAGCAATACCCGAATTTCTGGATTTTGTGCTACGAGAAGGTTCAAAAAGTCTTCTGTGGATGCACGCGCTCCCTCTGTTCCAGATGTACACGTGTAGTGATCGTTTTCATCTTGCAGCAGATAGTTGAGTACTTTTGCATTCGTTAATAGCTGCTGAGGGAGGCCATTTTGTGAAATCGACGTTGGAAGAAGATAGCGATTGTCGTTCGTTCCACTGAAACCTGTGGTGACATGGTCTTTCCTTTCTGCAATGTCCCAACCAGAAGTTAATAGCTTGTGGGGGAACTCCTTGGCCTGCTTTGGAAACACGACGCGAGCGAGATAAAAATCAATGACAGCCTGACTACATCGGAATAATGGACTGAAATAAGTCTGGCGTTGCTCCACAGATTTTGGATTGACACCAGCCAACTGGCGAAGGGATTCTGGCAATTGGTCGTCATAACCGTTAATCCAAGTCTCGTACTCCAAGGCCGGGTTATCGGATTTATAGAGGAGTTCGAAACATACATCCAGTTGACTTTCAGACAGGCCCCCATAGTAATAGCTGAGGCACGTTAAGGCGACTGCAACATCAGGGTGCCCAAATTCCGCTCTATGGGCTGGAACATCTTTGGCACGATACGGAACAGCGAGGAGAGATCGATTCAAGTCCAAACCGTAATTAACTCTCCACCGTTTGTCCTTTAGAGCATATAAGAGTATGCCATGTGCTAGAAGTCCTCGAAGGTGCAATAAGCCTTGCCATAATCCACTGCCTTGAGCATATTGCCGGATCTCGTCCGTGGTCTCTGCAGATAAGTTGACATCTTCGACGAACGTTGCCACAGAGGGACGTATAGCTGCCGGAATTTGAGTAAAGTTGTAGTTTGGGAGTTCACCCTGGAGTACTCGTTTCGTGATCAGAGAAATGAGTGCAGTTCCGGCAACAGATTGAAGTATACTAATCGACGGGAAGGAAGCAGGCGAGCTTTGTTGTATTTGTATCCCTAGTGGATACTCATCAGCTACCTTGTGGACGTTCTTTTTCACAAGCCAGAATAATTGCTGCATTGTCGTCCATCTTTCCGGAGAACCTTCCAAGTGATTTTGAAACCCGACAGTATACAACAGCTGATAGCGGACATGCAGAATCTCGTCACTTTCGTCAAGTATGTCTCGGGTATGCATGTCCAGCCACTTCTGAGAGTCAAGCAATGCATCAGCGAGTACCGAATCTGGAAGCAGTTGCTGTTCGATACTCATTAGCTTGTAAGAAAGTATATGGTCGGGCTGTGCCACCCAAATACCGCCAACCCGCAAGCACTCCTTGTACATTCCACGGATAATTGCTGCATTGTTTGTGTCGAGCTTGACGGAGCGCGAGAACGGCAGATAAAAGATGCGTCGATTTGTGAGTCCACTCAGCCGCTCGACCAGTGATTGAAACATTTGGACGGCTAATGGCTTCAGTACAACCACTCTTACTAATTTATTCCCGTCCGCCAACGTAGCAGCAACTATTGGAACGATGACTGAAGACTTCCCTTCACCCATAAGGAGCTGAAGCGTTGTGTTTTTGCTTGAAGTTGGGCAGATCATCTCCAGTGCAATGTCAGCTTGGACGCGACGCACAAGAAAATGACTCTCGATCTGTATCGAAATCAGGTCAATATCCCGGAATTAGTCAACACAGATATACCTGAATCAAAAGCCAATCAGTATGCTCCATCGTGTCCCATCCATCACCATTTGTGTTTTCTAACTCTTTGAAAAAATCTTCATGTTTCTCATTCATAGCAAGGGCTATCAGGCGCTGTGAGCGCTGGAAGAGGAGGAGGGCATTCGCAAGAGAAATGATAACTCGCTTCCATTCTATTGGTAAAGGTGTAGAGGCGGGGCGGAGTTTTTCGAGGAGGGACCTCGCTGTAATCCGAGGCCACTGCCCAGCATGGAACATAGTCTTATCATAGATACCTGCGGGGGATAGAGCTTTCTGTATTGTGTTTAGAGTGTTTCGGTAGTGATCGCCACACTGTTGACGATGGAACTCGAGCATTGCAAAGGAAAACGGTATCAACGGGGCAAATGTATCCGAAACGGATTGTTCTAAAGCAATTCGACTGTCGTCCAGGCTATTTCCGTAAAGTCGATGGAAGATATCATTGTTTCTCTTAAACTCGGAAAGAAGCACTCGAAGCCTTTTGGTATTTATTAGGTGGCCTAGACTTGCCATAGAGTCGAGATGACGCAGTGGTTTCGGCGGTCTGTTCAAATCTGGTGCATTATTACTGAAAAGCCCGGCGAACGAAATGACCGCAGATTCGGAAGGAGGTTTGTGTGCTTGTTTAGCAAAACGGTATGGCTGAGAGTCTTGTACCTCAGCATCTAAAAGATGACTATCCAAAACACTCTGAACGCGCATGATATGATCCCTCAAACGTGCATTGCGATACCAGCTACGAAACAATTCGGTGGATTTGACCAGGATTTCGTCAAGGTCAAATCGAAGGGAAAATTGACGTAGTGTTGGGCGGGATAACTCTTCGCATGGCCATTGCTCAAAAAAGTAATCAACCAACCCACTTGCAGCTAAGTCTTGCTGTTTTTGATATGTAGAATAACGACGCCGTTGTAACGATTGCTCGTCTTCATTTTTTCGAGCTTCCAGATAGGCTTCAGAACTAGAATGGAAGGGACTATCATGAGATCGGATAGTTGTCAACAGGATTTGTTTTTGCGGCTCGAATCCAGATGACAAATTATACGACATGTACGTCGGAGGATCCAGTCTACCGAACTGGGGAACCACTGCGAATGCCAGCAGTACGGGGATCAAGTGCTGACTTTCCAGAGAGCCGTATGCTATAGCGGGAAGCGAAAATAGAAGCGGGTACCGGCAGTCCATTCCTGAACTGCTACGGCAAAGGTCGAATATGGACAACCAAACTTTGGGAAGATCGAGCTGAAACCAATCACAAGTGTAACCCAAACTTCTCAGTGCGTCCTCGCTCTGTGCACCACTCAACTCTTTCCCCCATCCCTGAAACAGCTCCATTAATTTTACTTGAGATGAAGTAGTCACCTTGGGAGGCCATTGGTAAATCATTTCAGAGAACCGAAATACCGAGGCCTCTTTGTGATCACAAGTATGTCTAGCCTTGTATTCCACATCTCGACTATCGGGAGGAAGCGGTCTAGCATATTCCTCAGGATATAGCAGAGCATTGCGAATGGCAGCACGCTCGAGAAGATGGGCATTAAACGTTGGTTTGCGTAGGGGCTGACGGGCGTTGTCATGGAAAATTTGAAGACAGGTCGCGTAATTGAGTATGGAGTTTGCGCATGTGAGCAGTCCATGATGCTGTGCGGTGGGCGCAAGAGATAGGGACCACCCCACTTTTTCCATGCATTTTAAGTGCTCTGGATAATATGTACGGGATGGAGTCAGGGAAGCAATCTGGTGCAAAAGTTCTACGTCGCTTGAACTGAGAGCCTGGAATGATTGTAAGCTTGCTGAACTTAGATCATGCAGGGCCTCCTCCGTGCCCGTATGTCCGGTTAGGGAATCTGGTAAACAATGGCTGCTAACGGCATGTAGGTAGGCTTTATAGAGCTTGTTTGTTAGGCTCACGTTCCCAACAAGACAACCCAGCTCGGTGTCAATTTTATATATGTGATATTGGACTCGAGAATGTTGCTTTGTATTTATGTCGACTGTGATGTGGTGCCCATGTGACGCGCAAGATAATTTCCCGTGGGGAATGATGATACACCGCGTCCGGGGAAGTAGCTTAGCTTGTGGATCGCTGGGTATAAGCAACAATTGGTTGCGAATGCCTATCAAAGTGCCTGCAGACTGGTTCGTATCCACTATCATTCCACGAAGATTTTGACATTGGAGGTGGCCATCGTTATCGACAAAGAACGAAAGACCAAGTCGAGGCAATTCCGCAAATAATGTATCAGAACCAAATGGTCCTACTGTCCGAGAAGTAATGAGATGGTATTTCGGGTATTCCAGAGCTTCCAAGCGAGCTGAAACAACTTTGCACGTAGGGCTACGAACATCAACCAAAGTTTCAAATGTTGCGATGCTCGTTCCCAATGGTCTCCGCATTGAAGATTTTTCATCTAGAGAAAAATATATCCGCCAGTTGCTTGGTATCATTTGCCAAGCATTGTTACTGGGACGAATCTCAATTTCACGAGTACCGATGTTAAGCCAATGTACATGACCACCAACCAACAACTCCGGTAGATCGCCAGAGAAATTTTGAGAAGGAATCAGTTCAGAAACTTGGGCTGAGCTCTGTGTGACAGTTTTCGTTCGAATCACAAGCACTTCATCGTCTGTCATTGCAAAATACACCTGTCATGAGTGTTATATTTAATGGACTTGACAAGCGGAAAGCACTAACCTGGTGACCATAAAAGCTACTACGCATTGCAAAATCCATGCCAGGCATATCCGCAGGGATAACGCTCGATACTCTCTGACAATTAAATAGTTAGAGCTAGTGCATTAATAAAAGGGGACGACTATATGCTTACTTGGCCAAATACTAAGCGATAAGTTGGATGCTGAATGTAACTGAGAGGAAGGTGGCCTAAAGGTTTTCCATCAATTAGAAGGCGACCTTCCAATACATTGTAGTGCAGACACTGAGACTGCTGGTTATCTGCATTTGAAGTTGAAGACGACAACCAGTTTTCATTTGGGTACTCTAAGTTCTGCCAGGGGCTTCCCGGGCGATATCCATGCCATATGGATAATATGGCTGTATCAAAGCCGGTCCTATCTTCTTGTATTCGTCGCGAAATCTCATTCTCTAAGGAATGTGATAAGCGCCTTTCACGTTCTACTAAAATCTTCGAGTATGAAGGTAATTGATCGAGGTCTGGAGGCAGGTTATTATATATAATGACAGCACATTGAATGAAGGCGGCGACATCATTCGGGCGAGAAAGGAGGAATGGCAGATGATGGGGATCGACATCGTAGGTGGCACGACATGTTGCTGCCATATCGCGAACACGGGACTGGAAATCCTTGCTTTGAGTATCACCATCTCCGGCTTCTTCTAGTTTTATAGATAATTGATTCACCCATTGAAATGTGGTACAGCGAACTTCTCGTAAAAGGCAATATATTTTCTGCTTCACGTCCTCGTCCAGAGCTGACGATAGCAGGCGACACGCTAAGATTGTGATAATCCTCATGGAAGCGCCTTCTAGCCAATTGTCTTCGATACTCGACTTAAGGATTTGCAATTCTCCCAGCAGTGCGTGGCCAAATTCTGAGTTCTCCAATTCCTCGTGCCAAGTCCAACGGCTATGAGCAGACAACGGACCCACTTGCCAAACTGTTTGCATTATCAATATCCCCACCTCTACTTGACGAAAGCTAAATGTTTGAGCACGCAGTTCTCGCAGAACGTTGAGCCACTGCAACAGTGGCCCACTACGTAATGCTCCAAACGCCATGTACTCGTGGATATTGAGATCTTGATGGCAGGTTGATTGACCAGCAATGATGTCGTTGTGAGTATGACGTGTCCCATTCACCGCATACTGAAGATTCGCATATGGTCCAGAAGGCAAAACGAAGGTACAAAACCGCGATATACGAGTGCAATGAGAAAATGAATTTGCAGCCCATTTATGCCCCAATTTATCGTAAATTTTGAAAGACAGACCATTATTGACGCAAACTTCTCGAATACTCGACGGAATTTTAACATCCCGATAGTGAGCGATCGTGAACGGTTTTGTGATAGATGCCAACGTAATTCGTTGATAGAAGTCATGAGTCATATATGTCGACAGTGCCAAGTAACTGGGCAATATTGTATGGGGTGAAACTGCAGACGGGCGATCCTCCGGTGGCGTGCAAACATCCACGAGGAGGTGGAAGGTTGCTGACCTCCAAGCAGCGAAAGTAGCCGGGCAGTCCAGCTCGAAAACTACCGCTTTGGCACACGAGATATCCTCGGGTAGCGGCCATTCGTGTACATCTATCCTCAAATTTTGATAGTGGTTTTCTAGTGAACACTTTTCGCAAGCCCTACTGTGGTATTCACGCCCAAGATTATTGATGTAATGCGTGTGCTGAAGACGCATAGCCCTGGCGTACAGGGATGAATGTAGGGTATTCTGTCGATCCAATTGTGCAAGTGTCAAGTTCCTCTCCTTCGTTGCATCCTTTTCTATTTTTTCCTTCAACAAAATGTGTTTCTCGGAAGATTCGAAGAACCTGATCGAAAATGTGTCACGATTAGCTTGATTTGTGAAAACGGTCCAACCAGTATGACAATTTTGATGCCGACTGCGCAGATGCTCCTGGATAAGCTGTAATCTGCCCAATGAGCCGGCTTTGCGTAAAATCAACGACTCCGATAAACTGATGGGAATCTCGGGCGAATATTCGGCCAACATCTCATGCTCATCAACGGCTATTTTATCAAGTGCGACCCAAAGCTCCAAAAGAGTAAGGATCATGATTGACAAGTCTTCCGGATTTTCTGCATAGAGTTTTCGCGCGAGCTCTGAGTATCTTGCCATGCAGTCTGAGATTGCCATGCAGGCTGAGGAACGATTACTTGGGATGACATCAGCGACCCAATCGTCTATGTCGCCCTCAACGGCCAGCTCAAAGTCAGCTAAAGCCACGTATGCATCGCGCCCAGTTGCCTGGCCTAGTAGAGAGCTTCCTCCAGCAGACAGATATGCATCAATAGAACGATATCGGGAAGGACTCTGAGGCTCCCAAGACGAGGGCTCTCGAGGTGATTGATCTAACAGAGCATTGGTGAGATACTGACGGCTGTTGTTCAAGGACAAGCGTGTGTCTTCGTCAACCTTGAACTTCTTCGGCTGCCAGTCTGGTGACTTCGCCTGGGCATCCTGCACTAGGTCCCAACGCTTCTGTAACAGCGTCTGAACCTGCTCCGCCGTCCGATTGACCATGTCTTGCAAGAAAGGCGGGGCAGTTGAGCCCAACTTGTAGAGGCGGCGGCAGACTTTGGCTCTCATGTAGTACAACACATCGCTCTGCAAATCAGACTCCAGCCCTGACATCAATATCCGCTGCATGAAGAGCACCATAAACGACTTGTACTGTCCTAAGCCGTCCGTTTCCCGTGTTAGAGTAGTCTGTAGAGCTACTCTGATCACGAGCCAGAGCGGCGATCTACGCCAGGGCAGTTTTGTATTACTCCATAAAACTTCATCTCTGATTCTTTTTTGAATACGGAGCACATCCGCTTTCCTCCCGATTCCACGTAGGATACCGGTAAGGAATTCAGTGATATAACGCGGATGAGTCGTATCCCTTTCCTCTCGTACGGTTGAACCAGCCTTGGTTGTAGTGGGTGCAGAATCGAGTATATTTTCGTCCATCTGCGAGAGAAAGGATGCTAGCTCTGCAAGGAACCTCATATCATAGACAATGCTGGACGGAACTGATATGGCTGTCCCTGGGTACGAGCAAAGGAGCTTCCCTGCAGTACCTATGACGGCGGCAGCCGTCGGTGACACTTCAAAGCTTTCGAAAGTCACATCGTGATCACTTCTACGAAGGACCACGCCGGCATTTTGTGCCCGGATGAAATATACAAGAAAGCCTTTGTAGACGATTCAGTGAAATGTGGCGGTGGACTAGCATGCTAATCCTACCTCCGTAATGCAGCCCTTCCACCTGCGCTATGATCTTTTTTGTGGATAGTTTCTGGAAGCTGATAGACTCGTGGAGGTGGCGTAGCATATCAATGATATATTTCCACTTATCACTGCGATAGAGATTCTGGAACTCTACTGCGGCCTGCAAAACAGAGCCGCAGAGATCCTGATCTCCTTCGATGCTATCGTCATACTTTTCCGGTAATTTGGGAGGACAAAATACATGGTGGATAATGTATTCAAGGCGATCCTCTAATTCGTGAGGATCATCTGAAACAAACATAGTTGCGATATGAGTTTATAACAAGTCGGGTGGCGATATGGTCACGATAGTAGGGGAGAGAATTTGGAGTCGAAGGAATGGAACTCACTAAATATATATAAGTACTACACAATAACAAGATCAAAGCCGCGCCCACAAAGCCTCGAGGTGTCCTCGTGCTAGCCTAGATGCCTTCTATGGCGAGTTTCATCAGCTACGAGCGATTGTGATTGCGCCCAAACCGAATGCTACGACCGTCGTCATACGGGCGCTGTCAAGACCTTGTAACTGGAAATTGAATGAGTACAAGAGCTGGAGGTCATGACCATAGCAAAAACGGATAAAAACGCAAAAGGAAAGGCTGCGGAAGAAGTGATATAGAGCAATAAGGGCGATGCTATGCCACTCTGTTGACCGCTTTAGTATTATGATGGTATGAATTGATGATAAGAAAACACGTGTGTAGGCGCTCACCTTGTTATTGGGCTTACCATGTACGACAGTTAACAGAAGTCCATTCCGTGATACCCATGGACACCTGAAGAGTGAAGATAGAAGCTGAAACGACATTACACTCATGCTGGCAAACAATCAATACTGCAAACAATAGATATTAGTTGTAAGCGCGCTCACTGGAGTCCCATTTGTCAACATTGACATTCCTTGACGTCCTCACGAAATTGACATGAACGTTATATGATGGTATCGACATGGTAGTAGAAAAACAGAATCTTGCTTTGGCAATATTCACTGACTTTCAAATTGTTGTCCGTGACGCATCTCCGTTTGATTCACGATATTCACATTCCGCCATCGCCCAAAGTACCTAACCCAAGTCTCCTAGGAAGGTAGTAGACCCAAATAGCATATACAATATATAGATTACAGATATCCTAAAAACTACCATCCCGACTTTAGCGTTTCATCACCCATTGGGAAATTTGATCGCATATTTATATGTTGATCTTCCTGAGAATTTTAAATCCCAACGAGTAGCGCCGTATTCCCTAGTTTGCCCATCGAGCGTCAAAGTATCGGGCCAAGGGTTTGGCTGACCAGGTATGTCCACTAAGCCTATGGTGAGCCTACAATATGCTGATAACCTATAAAGTCTCGTACTGCAACGAAAACAGCACACAGTGAGCGTTATATATACATATATACGAGACAGCATTGCATTCATAGTGAAGCATACTCACTTCTCTACCGTCGTACTGAGTAAATGTCGTGTGTCCACGGAACCTTAAGTCGGTAATGACCGCAGTGCTAGAGCTAGTCGAGGAATGCAGCAGTTTTGCATGGGAATGTCTGATATTTAGTCTGCAATAAAAAGAGGCTCAGAAATAGCTCGTAAAAATACCTGAAAACTCACGACGCAAGTACTGAGTTTGCGTAGACTGTCGACAAGGCAGATGTAAGCCTGATTGAAATAGTGGTAGAACTAGAATCGTACGCCTTGTTTGAATTAGCACCACCCCCAGCCAAGTGGGACTGTCAGGAATCAAAAACATCTAAAGGTCTCGCATAAATAAATCCCAGCTTGAAGCGTTACGAAGCTAAATATACCATGATCATCGTAATCACTTCAATGAAGCTGTGAAAAGTAGTTAACGACTCAGTGGACTCTGTACATCATAATTAATCATCCTCACGAGGTAAGTCCACCAGCCCCTATAGTATACACAAACAAACGATGGATAAGTCGGCGCATCCTGCCAAATCTGTTGAGTAATCAAAGAGCGATATGCTCACAATCACGCTTACTGAGGAAGCCCAGATCGCCCTGGATGTAGATAATAAACAAAGGCGAAAACTATCATAGCATCGCCCACGAGGGACGTAACATTGCCTACAACACCCAAAGCCTGGCCTTCATTTCAGTTACAGTATATGTAACCAGATAGAATGTCATTTACGTAGGCATGTTGTCTGTTCTCAGACCACGATTTGTAGTAAATCAGACTGAAAGTCTAATCAATTAGCTGTTTTGGATACACGAATAATTAGATTCCTAACCTGAAGACGCAAAAGCTGATGCCAACACCTTATAGTAAGTGTCGGATTAACACCACAAACATGAAAATATTTCAACATCAACGTACCAAAGCGAACAGAGGCAAAAATAACCTTGATACAGGAGTTAGCACTAAGTAACAGCGGTATAAACTACATTTACCAGAAAGATCGTAATCCACATCTTGCCGCCGACTATGCACGTTGAAAGCATTATACAAGCAATGAATCCCGCTGATATAGCTACTCACGCTTCCATATTCGCCAGATGTAGTATCTTAATAGAAGAAATGTCTTCAGCAAATTCTTCAAAATTTTACTCGAGACTTCACTTACAAGTTATTCACATAATTAAGAAGCATCTTGTGATAACGGTGAATTTAATAAGCAAAGCTGTTGCTTGAAAATAAACTCACGCCGGTCATGAATGTTACCTTGCAAACACATGTTTTTAGCTGTTCCCTATATAACCGATTAATGAAAAAGCTCACTGCAAATCGTCTGGAACCCAATATCGGTAAGATTTCCTGAAATATGATAGAGAACTGCCTGGCGCACCGATGGATGGTATACAATGATTCCACATTTGAGAAATTCTGAATTAAATAGCAGTCAATGGTGCTGAGTGAAAGTCCTGTATATACAGTTTCCAGAAACCTGGATATGACGCGTTTGAATAATCGTAGGCTCTATCAACACCATGATCGGATGAATTTTACTAACCATATGATATACACCTATAAAAAAAACTTGAGATCGATCGTTCAGATCAGCAGCTATGGATAGAGTACTCACCATGACTTTTATTGTGAGTCTATCCTTTGGATAATTTCGAAGATAAAAAAACGTTTGATAGCAGGTCATACCATACAGCCTGCCAATCCAGTTGAATGTGGTCAGCGATGCTCAAAGAAAGTCACCGAGTAACAAACGTACATCGCACCAATCAGAGAACCCAACAAGGGCCCCCGCATAATCATAGCTGCAGGGGACGACATATTGACAAACCTTGGGAAACTTGAATGAGCGGCAGCACATCTACAGTCAGAAACACCACAAATGTTGGAAACCTAGAGACATTCTTCAATATATACGCTCGGAACCAAACCAGTGTCAATCCATTATTAGAACTACGCCGAATCCATCCATATCATCCCGGCGGGAGTACTCAACACTTATTCACTACGGACACGGCTTCCATGCCAAACGTCATGATATCAAACTCACATGTCACCTGAACGGCAGTTGTGACACTCCACTCCTGAGGTTTGATGTGGACACTCACGCCGGTTTCTGCACAGGGAAATACATGATCACCCGGTGCCATGTTACACAAACAAAATAGATGGTTACATTGTCCTCGGAATACTGTCACAGGCAGCAGAATCTTCTGTGGTTGAAATTCTACCTTCGACAAAGACGCGTCGTGCCCTCTCCCATTTCAGCCAAGGCTCGTTCCCTCGTACGATTCTGGCACGTACAACCTGGTATAACCTCATTTCAAGATACTCCAGCGCAAGGTTTGCGCAGATGACAGCAAGGTTCACACACCGGCTATAACTTGAGGTCAAATGGGCGTCTATCGGGTGAACAGCTGAGAAGGAAAGGCCTGGAGAAGTAAGGACAGGAGGTAATGGCTGTGTGCGCACGTGCTGGGATAGCCGGAGAAGTCTGGAGAGTGGTTGTATGTGGCTTACGGTCAAACCTCTTACGAGATGAGAGGAAAAGAGTTCTTCAAATAACTCCGCTGAAGAAGTCATGAACAGATGTTCTGATTTATTTCCTAGCAGAAGAGCATGTTTTGCAGAAGGTGACATCAAGCAAATGGTGTAAAAACGCGAAGAAAGGAAGTGGATGGTGATATGACGACATAGGCCACATGCTTCGGAGTTGTTTTTTTGGAAACTCGGAGCCAAAACCACTGGTAGAATTGATGGGTTCGCTGACACCAGAGTGATGGTGATAGATGTTTCATCCGCTCGACGCCCCAAGTAGCTGCAGACTCGTTTCTTAGCGTATACCTCGAGCAGTCCCTCATCCTGCCATTTCATACCACCTTCTAAGGGTATATCATCACCTGAGACTGATGTCCTGTTCACAGGGTATGGTTCTGGTCGTATAAATACGTCCAGACGTTTACGGTAATGAAGAATATATGCTTGGTATAAGATGCGTGGCATAGAAAGCAATAGAGTGAAAGGCATGCTACAGAGCGTCCTCAGAAGGTTCGGTGTTGTCAGCGGAGAAGAGGATGTCGGGCGGAGAAGAGCTGTGAGTTTGAGAGGCCCGCAGCTCTCTAGCGAATGGCCTTGATCTTGATCTGTGTCTGGTGCAGGTTCCAAGGCTGCATGGAAATGGATGCGCACGCAGGGACGAGGAGGGCTGTTTTTCGGGTGCGAGATACTGGAGCAAGGTGGATGCGAGGGTGACTTGATGGACACCGTATAATGACCGGATCGGTCATTAAATGGTGATACGTGGAACATTCGAGGAATAGCTTTCCACTCGTGGTCGAAACTAGGATATCCGGTGATTCATTTAGTTTAGGTTTCTGCGCATATGGCCACTCCAGATAACAGAACTGACCCTTTGGTTGGTGTTGTCTCTTCATCCTTTCCAATTTCTAACAAGTAGACGTGGCTTTCTCCGAATGTATTATGAACCTCGAGCCACGCTGCTTTTTAGTGCCAACATCAAAGGTAGTCGGATGCTTACCTCGAGGACCACGACCCACAGTTCAGCAGACCGCTTATAGCAGAAATACACAGTGAGGGGGTTAATACCCTCGAATCCAAAGAAACTGGGCATGGTCATCATCCAAGCATCTTCAAAAAGTCCTCTATCGTAACCTCTGCTTGACAGAACATGGAGCAACTTGTCTAGTATCGTCCTCCTGCTATGCGAAGGCTGGAGGTATCCACGAGGACGCAGACCGGTTATTGTGCCCCAAACTCGGCCATAACCAAAAAGGCATCCATAGACGAGATCTAAGGAATGTTCTTCCAATGCACGAACAGACAACAGCATGGACACAGTAGGATATGTGAATGAATGAGTTGCTTCTACTGGAAGAAACCTGGCATGAGTGACTTGGTTCTGCAGCACGTATCCTTGAGGGCAAGTTGAGGGTTTGCTGGCGGACATGAATCTATGAATATGGTAGAATATGGACAGAAAGCAGGGGGCAAGTGCCACACAGAGAACATACAATGCGGATTGCATGGTGGTTGTATTGAAAGAGCATATCCTGTCAGACCCACAGACATCGTGGCGGCAATGGTGTAAGGATTCGATCCAGTCCCAGTTATGTAACTGCCATTTCGACACAGGTGACGCGACCGTCTCGGTGCAGCCACTTTTGAGTTAGTATTGGTGGCAACAAATACAGAATTCGACATAACCAGAGGGCATCACCCACGCACGATAATCCTGTCTTTATTAACATCTATTATCTGGGTTGGACATGCTTGCGGTGCCAGTGGAGGAAAGCAAGGCTCAGCGTTTGCAGAGACAGCAGGCGCGTTTCAGAGATCGCGGAGGGTACGCGCTCCAGCTATTACTTCATTTCATTCCATGTAACCCAGACCATGCATTTATCTACAGAATATTCGTGCCAGCCGCGAAAAACACGTTAATCGATATCCTGTTGTCTCGCACAGTCTCTGGAGAATCACCCCCAAAGAGCCGAGAGTCCGCTGACAGCTCTTATCAGAGCCCGTCTCCACTTCAAGGAAAAGGCCCTTCCGCCAGTAAACACGATGAGATTCAGGAAATAGTCAAAGGCGACAAGGCTCTTTCTAATAAACACGATCATGCACCCGTCACCGAAGCTCCTTTGCCAGCACCAAAGAAACGAGGTCGGAAGGGCACCACCCAAGCCGTGGCAGGTTAGCTGTTATCTCGCTCAATGTCGTCCTCATACTCCAGTTCTCACTATTCCTAAAGGACCGTCGAAACTCAAAAAGGCTCCTGCCAAACGCAGGGGGAAAGCCGTAAATTCAGCAAAGGGAAAAGCTAAAACAGAACCAAGTAAGTCCAACTTCACGCACACATACTATGGTTCCTTTATTAAGATATGTTTAGATGAAAGTGTGCCTACATCTACTACAACAACATCCGTGCCAAAGCGAAAAGGGAAAGCACCAAAAGCTAAACCAATCGTAGAAAAGTTGCGAGGTAAGCCTATCACAAGCACGAACATAAGTCGTACTTCCACTCACGAACCGCAGATACATTGGACGCTGAACCAGCACAAACCAAGCGAAAAGGCAAAACGTCAAGACCTAAACCACCAGATGCTGAAGATGTCGAATCTAGTGAGTAGTTCAGTTCTCGACGGTGAATATATGCTAATGCTAATGATCTTAGATGACGAGCACACAACAGCTGGGCCGCGACGGAAAGGTACTGTCAAGGGAAAGAAGCGACAGCGCTCTGCTGAGACAGATGATGAATCGGATGCCGTGGATTCTGGTTACGGGCCATCCTCTAAGAAGAAATCCAAAAGCTCCAGAAAACCGAGGGCTAAGACCACCAAGTCAAAGAAGACTCCAAATGCAGAAGAAATTGATGTAGACTTACCAGATGTACCTTCACCGAAAGGCCGCGACAGTCGTCAGTATCCTTATCTGTGTCACTGTATTTTGTTTGAAACTCATCTGGTTTATTAGAAGAGCTAGCGGTTGTCAAACCTCCACCAACAAAGGAATCTGAGCCGCCAAAGCGCGATAAAAACACCGATCTAGAGAAGAGAGTCAAATCTACCACTACCATAACTATTCATGATCACGAGGAACCAGAAGATGTAGAGGAACAGGATAATAGCAAGGACAAAACCATCGCAGAAAAAACTAACGCGCGTGTTGCTCGCCCAAAGAAGCCGGCTAAACCTGCTTCAGTGAAGCCTGAACAATACGATGACGTGGAGTGCATTTCACCAACGGTAGACGAGCAACATGAAGACGTGCCTACACAAGCCGCCAAACGGAAAACAGATCTCCAAAGTTCCAAGAAGCCTACAAAGCGGGCATATTCCGATGATGAAGATCAGGAGGAAATGGAAGAAAGCACTCTACCCAAGTCAAAGCGCGCAAAAGCCATTCTCCGTGACGTCAAAGAGTCTACTTCTGGCAGGACTTCAAAAGAAATCACCAACGACGCTCCAAAGGAGATAACCAGTGGTGTTAAGCAGGAAAAGTCGGAAAAAACGTGAGTACATGCGATATCTTCGTGCTTGGCGATTCACCTTGAATGTCATGCAACTAACCATAACGATAATTGCTCGTAGCCTGACCCTCCTTTCCAGAAATCAGAAAGAAAATACTCGCGGAGCTGGCAGATCGGGTTCCAAGAAACCAGTGAGTCTCCTGGGCTGCAGACAACAGGTGGTTATCTATGTAATGCTAATTGTCTTTCTGCTATAGGTCTCCAAGCCAAAGGCAATTCGTAAAGGTCCTCCAAAAGACGTTCTACAACGTATCAAAGCTAGCAGCGTTCTTCGGCAACACGACTATGACAGTGACCCAGATCCCATCGACTTTTTATCTTAACATCTATCGCACGCAAAATTCGCACACATATGCTAGAAGCCTGCCACTATATATATATCCAATATCATGTTGTTTCCATCAATGTACAGTACTGCCATATTACCATGTTCATAGCACCCTCTTCACACACCAATCGCAACATCACCTATCCTCCACATACTGAACCTCTAACAGGAAAACACACTACTACATCACTTCCTGACCGAATAATATGTATAGATACAAAGCATTCGGGAATGATAATAAATATTCACGCCAAAGTACCATTGACTGTCCCATCGTGTGGATCCCATCCTGATTCTTCATCGCGATGTCGAAGGCGGGGGTCAGCTACATGAGGCGTATCGGAGGGCGTGGCCGATTCTGGAGGTAGTTCATGCTCCCCCAGCCCCTCCACCCGCGTACGGTCCCCATCATCGTCGTCATCACCGTCCATATTCGCATCGCCATCCTCACTTGCCGAATCTCCATCCATATCCATCGCCTGTTCGACTGTCATCGCCATATCTCCATCGCCATCATCGCCATCTGGCTGCGGAGACCGCAGTGTCATCGAAGAATCCCTGCGTTTGTCGTGAGTGCCAGACGACGAAGACGGCTTGCGTTTTGTCTTTTCTAGTTTCCGCAGAACTTTGGCAATATATTCTTTGGAGAATTTCTTGATTTTGGTAACTTTCTCATCTGACAGCGCATCGAGCTTTCCGTCCTTGTAGCTCGACGACTTCTTTTCTTTCTCGGCAATGATATGAGTTAGCTAGTAAATCAGCCATGAAATTAGCTGGGCACACCAGACGATGCTGAGGGGGATACATACTTCTTTCGCATGCTTCTTAAACTGTTCATGGTCCATCTTCTTCGAATGCTTAGACATACATTTCACCACAATAGCGCCCACAAGTTTAACAAGACGCTTCTCCTTATTAGCCTCCTTCTCCTCCTTGCTCTGCTGTTTTTTATGCGACCTAAACGACGACGATTTCTTGCGCGTAGTACTACTCTCCTCCACGACAGGAGGAGGTGGGGGGACCACTGCTGCCGCCGCCGCTGCGGCAGTGGCTGCAGCGATGATGGCCGCTATTTCCTGACGGCCTGGAGCGGATGGCTTGCGCGGCATCGTGCTAAAATGCATCAAGTGTGCATGTGCCTCACCCAATGAAGACACTGGTTTCGATGCGCCCCGGAACCCCAGCGGCTTGAGTGCCAACTTGGGCTGTTCCTCGAAATCGTCCCATCTCGTCTTCTTGGAAGGCCGCGAGCTGTCCTCTTCGTTCTCGATAACAATAACAGAATGGTCTTCTGATACTTCTTCTTCGCCGTTCTGCGATAATAATAAAAAGAACGAAGGTGAGACGGAAGAAGAGGGGAAGCATGTGAAGTAGTGTTACGTACAGCTTTGAGTCTCTTCGGTATCCTGTATGCATACTCGAGTGTCTCCCAATGATCCAATAGCTAGAGGTTGATTTCGCATCAAGCTCGTCATCCACGATAGAAGTTCTAAAGAAAACTTACTTTCTGAGCGAGGGCCTTGACGGCCTCGTTGTCTGATTCGGAACATAGCTGCACAGGCACTTTGATCTTCGAGTCATCGACTTTATTTCGCTGAATCAAAGGCCATTTCTCCATGCTTTCCAATGCCTACACAACAAGACTCTCAAAACCTGACTATCGCAGAAAGAATGACAAGAAGACACTCACGACAGTAGTTATCTCCACATCGCGGGTGTAATCTTCCAAAATGTTGGTCATAAGACTGAACCCACGCAAACGCATTATCTGTCGTAACGCAGCCTGATCTTCCGTTATCTGCCCCCTCACATGTCAGTACTCTGACTTATAGCACACAGAGGAAATAGAAGAAACCTTTATGCGCGTCAGGAGCTTGAACAGGACCTTCCTACTCTGAGTCTGCCGAACAGCTTGGATGACTTTGGGTATGTCTTTCTCCAAGAGAGGCTTGAGTATGGGCTAAAGGGATGTGAGTATTTATTGGAATGAAATAAGGGAGGATGTTCACTGACCATATAGTCCTCATCGAGTTTCTTGCCCTTCTTCTTCTTACTACCCTTTAGTCCGAGCTTCTCGACCTCATCCGTTATGCCAAGGGCTGAAAAGATTTGTCAAGCAAAAGGATGATACACCATACTGATTGACATACCATCAAGATAGAGATCATCCATCGCAGCAATATCAGTCTGAGTCTTCCCACCAATAAACCCCACACACTTCGCTTCCCCGCAATAACAAGGTTGTGCTTCGTGCCTACAAAAGACGATAACCCACACTCAGCTATCACGATGAATGAATGAAAGGACTGAATGAATGTGCACAGACCCATATCGATCGACATTATAGTTAAACGTGAGTTCTTCATCCTTCACAATATTCCGATTCGCAAAGATGCCCATGCGCACATGGTTCCCAATCGTCCATTTAGCGACGTAGCAGTTTGGATTACAGCTATGATTCGCAAATCGACCCATTCCCCCCCTTTTCGTTGCGTCGATGAACTATCAAGGCAGGCTCGGTTTGAGCAAACACAAAAAAAAGGGACTATGACGGCATGGGTCTATAGACGGCGTACCTCATCTTTTTGCAACATCATGAAGTAAAAGTGCCGAATTCCCTGCTCGCCGTATTCGCGCATGCGCTTCACGAATGAAGGATGGCTGACGACATCGCCGACGTATTCATAGATAAAGGCGTCCCTGATGTGGAAAAATCCCATGGTATGATATAGTGGGGGAAGCACACAGTCATTAAACCAAGAGCCTACCTGTGCAAATCAGCAGCAGCTCGAAGACCATACCCTTTTTTCTCCGTCTGCACGATATTGATATTGGCATATTCTCGACGTTGAAACCTAGGTTTTTTTTGTGGTGATAAGGCAGGAGTTGGTTAGAAATTTGTGAGTGAAGTGGGGGAGAGGGCGGGAGAGGGGTTGTCATGCATATACCTACCGTTGATTCTGGCAGAAAGAGCGACATCGACAGTCGTCAGGCAGACATTCGACTTGTGTGAGCCTATTGATGCAGTCCGAGCCGTGCCCGCACGCATCAGAGGGTCTATCTACGCCTGTGAGAAAGAAAGCAGGTTGGATACAGAACGATGCGAAAAAAAAACTACATAGGAGGGGGGAAAGACCGCATAATGAGTCTTACTGACCAGGTTCAAACTGACAGTCGCATGTCATACTCTCCAAGGCTTCTCTCGAACGCCCCAGAGTACCATACTGGTAGTGATTCTCATGTATTTCAGTAAAAGTACGCATGGCATCCTCCTCTGCACGAGGCAGATGACCGATGAGCTGGGGCCCGGTGGGTTTGGGTTTGACATCGGGCAAGGGTGCTGGGGTGGACTCGTCGCTCTTGGGCGTTGGCGATTCAGCCTTGACGTCGAGAAGAGGCATGGATGGGCCGTCTTCAGACTTGACCTGGCCGTCAGGTGTGAGACACAGGTGAGGGCCTTTGCTCTCCGGCTTTGACGAGCTTGGGCGTGATTTGGACATGATGGCTGCAAGTCACAAGGCGAAAGCTAAACCTTAGTAATGGAAACGGAGTGCAGTTGTGCTCCTTGCGCAGAACTGGGGAAAAGCCACAAGAAAATAAAACAAAAGTAATAACGATATAGCAGCAGGATTATAGCAATTAAGAGGATACTGGGGGTATGATGCGAAATATGAGCAGCATAGAAATGGTGAGTTCTCAGGTGGAACAGACCAGGGAGCGGACTCGGTGGCCCAATGGCAGTGGCTGTAGCGTTTTCGTATGTTCGCAAACCACCTTCAATGGCTTCCACTTCTTCTAAAAAACGAAAACGCGGCTCAGACGACGTTGGAAAAGTAACCTTTGAAGTATCGGAGACACTTACTTCACAGGCGGGACCGGTTCTGGGTAAGTAGCGCTTTCTGCACTTGTGCTCATGGAGAACGCGGAGTGCAAGGAGCTGGCTGTTTTGCTGAACGCGCCACCCCATCCTCAGTCAATTTTCCGTCCATCAAACCACCGCAAAACACACCCTTTGTACGCTATAAGATCAATAATAAAGGCTCGGGAAACGATGATACGGCGGTACATGCAGACGACAAAATAATAGTTGCGGGCGAGACGAACTCGGTCGAATTTTTCTCTTCCGACGAGACGCAAAGAGCATCTGCGGGATGTAGGTGAGTGCCAGTCGTTTCTAGCACGTTTATTCGTATCTAATGGATATTTGGGATCGTCGTAATCGATGTCAGGTATCTTGTGGGTGTCCATAATAAACAAACTGGCGTCACCACTCTTCGCCCTGCGCCTCTGCACATTCTTACTCAACAAGTAAAGGCCCTGAAACGTCTAGAGCCTGCAGCGGTATCCTCAATGCAGCGCCTCGAAGCACGGGCTGCCCTCGGTGAAACGTTTGGTACCAAAAAGGCCAAGGCTGCCATAAAAGCACGGGAGAGGAACAAGGTCGATGCTGCTGCTATGGAAGGCGTAGCTGGGCACTTGCAAGATAGGATAGAGCAGAACACCATGGCTCTCCCTACGCAGGGTACGTCCACTCCTCGCTGTACTAGGTGTATGCGCGTGGCTGATTATTTTGCAGAGGAAGCCAAAGCGACCGCAGACAGTGCACGCCTGATTCCCCCATATAATCCCGACGCTTTCGATGCCGAGGGTGTGTATCCTCTACACAACGTTATACCGGAAGTAGAGTGGAGAGCGTTGTCGACGTCTGCACTTATAGCTGCCAATGACGATCAAAATAGGGTCGCCTTGCTGCCATATCAGAGATCTAGCTGGGTTAATCAGCACCTTCGGGTAGTGTTCTCAGCCTCGACACCAAAGAAAAGCGACATGTGAGTGCGAGGTCCCGTTATCGTGCATAATGCATCTAACTGGTTGTCTACAGTAAGATACTGCTCTACATCGCCGCCATGCTCGCATTTCGCGCATCAACGTTCAAGAGAATAGATAAACAGGCTGTTCATGAAAAGCTTCATGGTGTACCGAGTGTGATTATCGACGGCTTGCTGTCGAGGTTCACGGAGACTGCTCGAGGGTCGACCGAGTAAGCGCGAATTGATGGTGTGAGCCAGCTGAGCTAATGGAGTCTATAGTGCCCAAACCACGACACAAACGCAAACGACGATACTGACATACATGTTTGCGCTGTGTCTGAGAGTTGATGATTTCTCTACGGACACGACATTAATAGCAGCTGATTTGAGTCAGCCAGTGACGAAGTGCGTGTTATAACCACGTTCTAATGGTAGCATTCTCTGATACCTTGCAGAATCAACACGCTGTTCAGGTCGCTAGGTGGGAACTAGGATTTCTCTGAACTGTGTTGTATAGCTAATTATTTACAGGCTGCAAGATAGAGAAGGCGACGCAGACAGATCTGAAGAGGCTTGGATTGCCGAACAGCGCGAGTGAGACGAAGCGGGCTGTGCTGAGGATGCCGCTGACGTTCCCGCAAGCGAGGCTGAAACGGAGGTGATTAGAGAGACATAGGTCATGTATCTAGGACTAGTCGTAGACTATATAGAAATGACTGTGAGGTGATGCGGAGTGAAAAAATCAGAGAAAAAGAGATTAGCGAATGGGCGCCACTTTGGCAGGGCCGTGGGTGAAAGTGGGCAGACTTGTCATCGCCTTGGGACCTGCTCTTGACCATCAACAAAGACAGAAAATACGGGGATAATCTATGCTATCGAGTCTGTCGTAGGCGATGGCGTCCAACTCGAAGAACAATTCGCGCTTTTCTACGCTGAAGGTATTCAAGTTTGCTGGCTCGAAAGGCGAAGGAAGGGCACGACCGCCATTGCCTCCACCAAAGGATAATCCCTATTATCTGAACAACCGCTCCTTGACCTCTCTCTCCCCCGACTCTCCTCTTTCTCTCCCCACCACTCCGCTCTCTCCCGACTACGCCAGACGACCCTCGCCCGCTCCCTCCCACTCCGTCGTCTCCCTCCGCTCCCTTGGCTCGTCTCTTTCTCCCCCCCTCCCCTCCCCAGAATCTGCACCCTACACCCACGACAACAACATCGCGTCCTCCTCGTCCTCCATCAGAAGCGCCATTTCTCAGAAGAAAAGCTTATTCAACTTTTCCTCCCTTGGAAAACGGGCTCCCAAATCCACCCATCTCAAGGCTGAAGATGCAGACCGTCCGCCTCCAGAACCAGTCGACGACGACGGCATTTCGACCCCTTGGAACTTCCAGGTATTTTTCATAGCATATATGCGCTTGTCTCGCCCTTTACTGAACGCGTTCCCACAGCATCACATCCATGTCGACGAAGGGTGCGGTCTCACAGCTGTCGTCAGTCGTACCAAACTAACACTAACTCTTGTATAGATACATCGGACTCCCTCCATCCTGGTCCTCGGCCCTCTCAGAAGCAGGTTTCTCAGAGGACGAGATCATGGCGATACACTCTCGACGGAACGCTGCGCGTCAATCCACCGCGCAATACCTTTATACAGATAGACCAAACTCTCCAGCTACTCTCCTCGCCCCTCTCCCTCGCACCACCTCTCTCCCCAGAAGCTCGACAAACGGCTCCATAGCCTCGTCTTCTTACCCACACTTGACCCACACGCCTTCCTTGGGCGTTCACAGCGTTTCCTCAGCAGGGACCCACGGACGCCAACTGTCTGCATCGTCCCGTCAGCTATCGTTCATGTCATCGTCCTCAGCCGACGGTCCTAACTCCGATGCACAATACGTGTTCATCAATGATCGGTCTAACACACACCATAGCTCTCCCGACGTCAACAGTCGAACTCCGGAGATACGGCCTATCACCCCATCAGCATCAGACCACTCATCAAACCATGCAGTTCCCACTATAGCCCCAGTCCCTCCTCGAACACCTCCCCGGCGGCTATGGCACGTCACCAATGATCTGTCCCCAGATCCCAGTTCTCCTCCTCCAGCATACAAGTCGATAGCACACCCTTCTACCTATTCAAGAGAGAAGAATGGACGTAGTCAGGCGAGTACCTCTCGAACTCCTCCCCGTGAAGATACCCGGGATGATGGTCATGATGGCGGCGAGCCGGAAGAGGATGAACCACAGGGGCTGCCGAAGCAGGTTGTCGACAAGCGTCTCAATCGTCTGACAGCACTTCCTCCGCGATTATCCTTCCACCAAGATAACGACCTGACCGACTGGGCAGGGTCTCTATTCTCTGCCATATCCCCTCCCGCTCAGTCGCCCGAGGTTAAGACGCCTTCGACTTCCAAATCGTGCCCGTCGGCGTTCGGCTCTCCGTCATCTCTGTCACCTGAAATGGATTCGCTTACGTTGCGTGTACCTTTAACGCCAAGCTCTTCCACTTCGCGACGTCCTCCACCTCCCCGAAGGCCCATCCCACCAATCCTTCCTGATGTATCGCTGGGTGCAATTATGCCAACAGGAGATCAACTCATGGCATTATCAGACGCAGAAGAAACATCACTCTATCCAAAGTCTCCAGATACGATTCTGACACCGGCGTTGAGTGATGGTCATTCGCCCATAGTACCGCCTCCTGCTGCGTTCAAGATCCAGCTGATTGAACCACGTGCAGCAAATCACAATGCAGAGCATCTGGATGGCGACCGAGATGGCGATGAAGCACTCCTTAATACTGGTGAGAGAGATCCAAATCGTGATTCTGGTATGTCTACGGTGACTGTGACGGGTGCCACCATCGTAAAAGATGCTTCTATAGCGAGAAGAGCAGTTGCAAACGTGATCGATCACGCGTCGTTCGCTGCGAATGGTGATCAAGGTCAAGAGGAGGATGAGCATGCGTATGGTTTCGAAGATGAAGGGGGATTGCCTAGACGGAACGAGGATACTTTGCACGCGCCTGTATCTCCAGGTTTGTTGTCAACGGATTCTACCCCGCGTCAGTCGACGAGATATTACAAGACACCGTCCATCATCGCACCGCCCTCACCGATGCGCGGCTCACCGCATAGCTCGTTCTTCAGCAGCGAGTCCAGCTCTACCAACATGGAGTCTCTCTCAGAGTCGTCATCATCATCTTGCCCAGACGCGCCTCTAAACACGCCAAAACCAATATTCTCCAAAGGGTCTATATCGCCCTCGCCACTTCAAAAGAATTTCGGTCCCGATCTGTCTTTGTTGATATCCACCACTGATACGTTTGGAGGTGTGGTTCGCGATGAGTATGGTGATGATGAAGATTCGATGCAGACGCACTCGGTTTCCTCCGTGATAGAGATCGAACAGGACGTCGATGGGCAAGAAATAGAATATGCAGAGGAATCGTTGGACGTGTCCCCCCTCTCTTTGCATGCTCAACAGTATCCTCAGTGGATTGCCCAAGCAATCGCGCCTTTACGTGAATTCGTCGTTCCCGCCAATCCACGCCAGTTGTTTGCAGATCTACAAGAAGTCGCGGAGGGAGACAGCGGCTCGGTGTACGCTGCGAGAGTCTTGAAACATGACGTCGTCGGCGTTCCCACGTCTTCATCTCATCTTGCCATCAAGAGCATCGCGATCCCGCAAACGGGCTCGGCCAAGTTCAAAGATCTGCAGCGAGAGATGAAGGTGATGAAGGGGATCAGGCACGAGAATATCCTGTGCATGGATGCGCTGTATGTGGACCTTGTGGATGACTCGTTGTGGATCAGGATGGAGCTTATGGAGAGGAGTTTGGCGGATGTGGTGGGTCTTGTGAGCGAGGGTCTTTCTCTACAGGAGCGCATGATTGGGAGATTTGCAAGCGATGTGAGGCCTTTTTTTTGAGTGTGCTTTCGTAGCACGAATTGTGACCGACTGACTGACTGAATCCTTTTGTGCTTCATCTAGGTATTACTCGCTCTGGAGTACTTGCAGAAACAACATATTGCGCATAGGGATGTGCGGTCAGATAACCTGCTATTGAATTCAAGTGGTGTAGTTAAACTTGGTTGGTCATCAGTGTTTACTCCTGCCCCTCTCTCGTTGATGCCATCATCTAGCGGACTTTTCAAATGCCGCTCGACTCGCTCGAGATGCGCCAATGTGCTTTGAGGCCGTCGGGGTGATATACTGGCAGGTACGCAAACCCAAGCCATCAACCTATTTTTTCGTGAACTGACACTCGTCCATTCTTGAAATCATCTAGGCACCAGAGATGAGAGCGTACGTTGTCTATTTTCATTTTTCATTTTATACCGCTATAACTGAACATTTTATTATTATTACAGTGGCGCCTATAACGCAATGAAGGTAGATGTATGGTCATTGGGCGCTACTGTTTGGGAGTTGGCCCAGACGGAGCCGCCATTCGCTGATGTGCAAGATCCTCGCGAAATTGGCGATCAGTGGCCTTCTCTAAGTCATCCTGAATATTACTCACGAGCTTTCCACGATTTCTTGCGTCTTTGCTCCCGACCTTCTTCTTCGAGGCCGAATCCCAGTGAGCTGTTGAACGTGAGTGTTTTTTTTTGAGGGGGGGGGAGATGCATGCGATGGGTGCTAACGTGATATTGGATATTGCCAGACTCCCTTCATTAGAAATGCCTGTGGACGTGCCGTCAACGTCCAACTCCTTTCACAATGTAGAGCCATCGAGGAGAACATCATGCAAAGGGAGAACGATAATTCATAAAATCTTTTTGCTTTTATATCCATATTCATATTATCCTTATATACCCGCCAATGTCTTAGCTTACGCCCCCTAACCCCCCCCAAACCATCTCATAAACCATTTATGTTTCCTGCTATATTCTCCACTGCACTCTTCAATTTGTGTGCTTCTTTGACTACCGTGTCGTTTTCATCTTCGGCACATTCACCGATGAAAGTCGCCGTTTCGGCCACGAAACCTATTTGTTTGTTTTACGATTGTTTAGGTTTTTTTTTGTCAAGTCTGATAAGTAGAAATGGACCACAGTACCTAGAAGCTTGCCACCATGTTCTTGCCAGAGTGTCCCGACGCATGATAGCGCGTACACGCGCAACCGAACGTCTTCAGATCGAGTGTGCATCAATATGTCAAGGTTGATGGTTTTGAGCAGTGCGTCGTCTGTGACGGAACCGGTGACGGCGCTCAAAACTTTGACCAGAAGATCTTTCTCTTCTGCCACGTCTGATTTGATGCATGTGGCCACTTGGTCTACGAGTGGTTTGACAAGTTGACGAAGCTTGTCGTCCCGCCAGAACGCTGAGGGAAAGAAAAAAAAAATCATGCAATTATGAATTCAGCTGAATCGCGAGCGGGGGCGTGTGTGTGCAAACGTACCGCCATCATCACTGTCGAGACTCTTGATCAGCATATCGAGGACACAGCTCAACAACACTCTGTCTTGGATAGAAGCGTCGGAGGATGTTTTCAACATATCGCAAACGGGTTGCAACAAAAGCGACATGTAAGGATTCATTAAACCCTAGAGGAATTAAAGTTGTGATCAGGTCAGGAGTTTGGAACTTTTTTCTTCGACAAAGTTGATTGACGAACTTTGAAATATTCGAGCAGTGCTATGTAAACACGACAGAACGTGACCTTTCGTGTTTTGCTATCTGTGAATGGCTTTCAGTGACAGAGGCAAGGCAAGGGACCGTGAAACCTACCAATGTCACTTGCAAAGGCCCAGTCGTATAGGCGACGGAATAGCGGTTTGAAGGCACTGTCGTTAAGCTTGACTACCAGCTCCAAGAAAGCCGAAATGACTTGAGTTTCTTCCTGAAAATCCGATTATAAATATAAATATGACACGACTCTCAAGGTAGACACGCACCTTCTTGACTTCAGTGGAAGAAATAGTTCTCAAGTCTAGAGCATCGAGGAAGACTTTAAATGTTGGGCGCAATTGCGCAAGTACTTCGGCTCGAGGAGCTGCGTGCAATGAACGTTTGAGGATGAAAAAGAATCCAGAAATACTGTCGACATCCTAAACAGTAAAAATTTAGCAGGGGTTGAAAACGTCGTTTCGAGAACGCTTACCGTCTTTTTAGACTGATCTATACTCCACCATGAATCGTGGACCGTTGGCAACAAGGCTTTCGCAGGAATGCGCTTTGCGATTGCTTTGATCAATGTCGTCGTAGGACAAGTTGTAGCGGCCGATGTGTAGCATGACAAATGTATGTCAATTATCGGAGTGAGTTCACTTTTGCTCCAAAAAGCTGGGAGTGAGGAAAGTAGGCTCTGCAGGGTATTAAGGGCATTGTCTACAGTCGTCGATTGCTCTGCAAATCTGGTGAGCCTTGAATTCGAACAGGTACGAAAAAGTCGCTCACTCCATTGTCCTTTGATACCCTCCTGAAGGATAAGCGTACACTCCCGGACAATGTCACGGAAATGAGGAATGATACGAGGTCCAAGTCCAAGCCTACGTCACCAAAATCATTAGCGAAAATAGTTTCGCAGCAGGGCATATACACTTACACGAGGGATGGCAGCACAGCTAGAGTAGTGTCAGCTGCGGTGCGAACTCTCATGATCTTGATGATTGAGGGGAGTGTGGCAGCTAACGCGGCCTCCTCTCCGGGACACATGTCTTTACCTAACGCTGTCAATGCGTTCAGTGCGGAGACAACCAGTGCGCCCCCAGATTGGACGGTAATAAAGTGCTTGATCCTCTCGATTATCAAAGTGATAGTTTCAAGGCTATCGCGACGGGCCTTGTCTTGAATCCGAGGGAGACGTTCTGTCAATAGTTCCAGGGCACCTATCTGAATCTGAACCAAGGGGATTCAAGTAATTACTATAGAGCATAGCTTTGGCACTCACTCTATCCTCGTCGGATTGCAACAGGGTAAGCACGGCAACCATGAAATCAGCGACCGCCATGATATTCAAAGCCTTGACCATTGACTGTTGAGTCGTAGCATAAATGTCACCGAGGCTACTTTCAGGCGTCTTGCTGTCTTCCATGGTGACTAATCTGATGAAAAGAGCCATCAAGGCTGTAGTCGATGCACCCTTGACTGTCTCAACTTCTTCCGTAGGAGATGATGGTTGCATGACGCAGCCAACAAATGTAATAAGAGCTTGAGCTCGCCGCTTGAGAATGGATGATGACGGTGTGGGCTGCTCTTCATCACTAGCGATTAGAGGAAGGAACGGAGTCAGATAGAAGTCATTCACTGCTAAAATATAAATACGCACCGGTAATATTCTAAAAAGGCTGGCGAGGGATCCATTTTGTCCACGACATGCGACATAAGGCGCAGACTTTCTTGTAAAGTTTCAACCGAGACCTGCAAAAAATCAGATAGGCTTAGTAATGGATGTAATGGTGACGTACGTAGAGTTGTACTGGCTTAGAGAAATGATGAAGGACAGAGATAGGAAGAGCCATTGAGGTCTGGGCCTCCTCAGGTCGCTGCCGGCTGACCCGATTTGCCGTCCTGTCTACGAGTAGCATACAAACTGGGGCCAAAAATTCGTGTGCGCCAAGGACTTCGACAAGGTGGACAAAGAAACTGTGGATATCTATGAGTATAGCTAGAAAATGCCGTTTACGAACACGCACTTCGAACGGCGGTGACGAGGTATGTGCCCACAGGCATCTGTGAAGATCCGCAAGAAATCTCTTGACCCAACGTACAGATCGAGGCCATCGGAATATTTGGTCTTGAGAGACGAAGCCATAACTGGTACTATGCTCTCGATGGTCTGAGCTGGTCAATACGGAGCATATCATTAATAGCGACAGGAAATTACCTTTTGCACGACTTTAAAGCTATACGAGTCATCTCGATGGAAGATGTTAGATCCCATGAACGTGAATATCGGCATGACGTTGTGTAAAACGGAATCTGGGGTCAGACGAGCTAGACTACCCATCAAAAGAAGAGCTTGATGGAATGTTTGAGGATTATCTGAGACTATAAGAAGTTTATCAATCAAGTAGAGTAACAAAAAAATTGAACACTATTTTACCTCTGATGAGTTCTAGCAGTATGTCCAATCGAATAGCCCTTGGAGGCACCTCCTGTTTGTAATATCAGACACTGAGCTATGTGACTGGGTAGGAGACGTACCTTGATTTTGTTTGCGATATTTTCAACAGCCGACATCAACATTTGCACAATGTAGTTTGTATCGGAAGCTCCTTGAGAATCCTGGTGGGCAACCTTACTCATGGTTTCCAACACAGAAGAAATTAGATCGAGCGAGCCAGGAAGGTCCTTTGTGCCAAGAACTTCTGCTAATAATGTCAAGGATGGGATGTTGCCTACTGCAGCATCTGTGTGGCCAACGCTAAGAAAACTCTACTATGAGTGTCTTTCTATTGTAAGATTGTGGTCTACATACTCATCTAGTTTTGCCCGCTTCGTCGCGCGGGGATCCGATTCGAGTACATTGGGTTGATGGTGGGATAATAAGTGAGAAATCATGTGAGAATCCTGTAAAATTATCCCAAGGAGGGCCTTGGAATGAAGATACTTTTACTCAGAGTTAGTGATGGTCTTTAGGGGAGCGTTGATTGACAACTTACTGCTTCACCACCCTCGCTTCCTGCTTGTAGTAAAACATTGCAGATTTCTGTCTGCCGTTCGAACGATAAAGAATTATATAGGCCGTTTTGGAGGGCGCCGCTGAAGAGCTGCCGCGTGCTTGATGGAGAATCTTATTAATGATGTCAGCAACTTGAGTATAACAACATTGCCGAATATGACATACTGGACTGGAAATGGTAACGCAGTGACGAGATGAATGTAGGCCACGCAGAATCACTTTTCTGGTCGTTCAAGTCTGCTGCAGATACAGTTAAGCATGCAGCTACAAGGAGGGTGACATAATCATTGAAAGTCGAGCCAAACGATTCCGAAAGGAGGTCAGATTTCTCGGCCAATTCCTTCATGTGCGGGAACAACAAGCGTGATTTGGAAGAATCGGCGACATCCTCAATAGATCGCAGAAGGGCAATTTTGGCAGCTGGAGAAGGACATGCGATAACGTGCGAAAGGAGAAAGCAGAGCACACGGCGCTTGTATCTAAGTAAGAAAGTCGATGAGGCGCAACAAGACAACTATGCATCAGGACTCTTACTTTGCATTTGCATTTGAAAAATGCTGCTGATGGAATACTTTGAGATAACTTGCGTCCTGGATGACCTGATCCTGCTGTTGCGCTAGGGCAGTAAGATAGATCGACAGGTCCTTGTAATCCAAATATTGCAAATCGGCTAATCACGACACGAATGATGATCGCACTCCTGGCTAATTGTTGAAAGGAAAGACTTACCAGACTGCGCGCCGTAGATAGTGTCAAATCCATAAACATGTTTTTTCGCATCTTCGCCTCCTAAAGCTTTCAAACACTCGAAAACAAGCGCTTTTGCTCGCTTATCCTTGTGTGAATCCGATAAGACGTACATGAGTGAAGGAATCACTGCCTGGAAGTCTACAGCGTTTGTCGCACTGTGTCCTCGTAGGAATGCAAGAACATGCAAGAGAGCAGGGATGCGGACACGATCTGCTGTTTCTACGGAAGAACGTGAAATAAGAATTCCTAGAAGGAACGCTAGAGAATCGTCTTTAAGGCGGAGAAATAGTGCTTTCAGGAGTGAGTGAGAAACATGGGTAGATGAGATATTGCTAGAGGCAACAGCAAGGGTGTATAGTCGGCGTAAAAGATATACATAACGCATTCCTGTATCGTCCACTTTATCAGTGTCCTAGAGGAGAAAACCTAAATTTCATCATGCTGTAATCAGTAGATTAGGAATGTACTTACAGGTGCGATATCTGCTGTCCAATCCAAGCCATTAGTGTCAGGACGTTTAATAGCCGGAAGCAGAGCTAGGATTGATGTTTGCAGGACCTGAAGAGTAATTCTCCCACCAGGCTTAATTGTAGCCTTCATACCAACCTCCTGATCGTCAAGAGCCTGTAAAGTTACCAGTATCAGCCTTGGTAAACTTTGTTATCAGGAACATACGCATACTTTTTGCAATCCTCCGTTCTTGTCGCACGAAACGTCCAGAACATCGAGATTATTAAGATGCATCGCTCGCAAGACCTTGTCAGAAATTGCGATCTGTTGTTCTGTGCCGGTGCACAATAGCAGAGCGCGCACTACAAGATAACCAAGAGCACGTCCGTGTGAAAGTGGATCTTGCAGTTTGGAAAGTGCAGACGTCAGGGCCGTAGGACTATCCGAGGCAAGGATGTTTTCTGTTCAAAGATAAGTTTGGGTTCATCAGATCTGAAAACGATGGATTTCATACCTGCGATCTTAGCCGCTACTCTCAAATTGGCAGTACACAGTTTCTCGGCGTCTTCCTCGTCTTTGCCTTGAGCTTTTTGTTGTTTGCTCCCCTTGTCACGCTTGCCCATCAAGCCTAACTCTTGCCAGATGTCCATGCACCCTCGAAGCCATCCTTCATCCCTCGTCTCTGTATCACAGTCTTTCAGAGCCTCCCAAACACTCAGCGCAGTGCGGAACTTGGCCTTTGAAGCTAGCAGATAGGGGAAGAATGCTTTCTCTTGGATTTCTTTGGCAAACGTAGGATAAGCAGCCACGAAAGGGCCGCCCAAGAACGCAAGATGTTCATGCAGGACAGCACGCCCAGGAGAAGTTCGAGTAATTTGATCGATGACTGTGGTCAGTAGGGCCTTCGGATTCCGTAACGGTGAATCCGACTCGGGATCACTAGAGGGAGCAGATAGAATGGAAAGGAACCGCGCAGGGGAGGCGTACAGTGCTTGTAGGACACCTGCTTGAGTATCATATATACGGGCAAGGAGGGCAGAATGAATCGACGTCTATTGCCGTCGCGTCAGTTGTCACTTAAAGTACAAGTACCAAAACTCACTAAATCTGCAGGCTCGAGGACCCTATCCTTCCCATCCTCTGCTTCTTGCAAGATGCCATAGAGCTTGCCCACGGCATGAACGCGGACTTCTTTCGTCGAGCTAGTAGAGGCGACAACCACCTCATTCACGTCCGTGCTCTGGGCCCAAGGATGGGACTACAAAGCCTATGTAAGTAATATATTTCAATGAAAGCAAAAGCACTTACGACAGAGAATGAGATCAGCAGCTGTTCCACTCTCTTTTTACTCTCCTGTTCATCATCGTCCAGGACAACCTCCTCAGCGACAGTGCGGAGTACATCAAAGTGACGCTGATGGACGAGAGAAAGGAGTCCCCGCACAGCAGACATGCTCTCCTCTGGGGTGTGAATAGCCAGTTGAACAAGCATGGCTGACGTTCGTCGGACGATAACATTAGGGGCGGCCGATGCATTGATAATGGTGGAAAATAAGTTGGTCACTGGAGGTTCGTCCACGCTATACGAAAGCAAATTGTAAATGGAAAAGATAACTATCTCCTAACAAATTTTCGTACCGAGTCTTCAATACCTCCAATAACGGGAGGACGAATTTCTCCACACCGGTATATCTGAGGGCATTACATAACTCCTCAGCTAAACCACTACATCTCCCTTGCATTAGTAACGACTTTGATTAAAATTTTACAGGAATCGCGCACGGTATCTTCAGACATGTAATTTCAACGCCGGCATTGAAAGCCGGCACCTCTTCTTGTGGTGAGCATATCGCAACCGTTGATTTAACAAAATGTGCGGTGAGCTGCCGACTTTGGTTTTGAGCATTCTTTGATGCTGCTGCATTTGCCATAGCGCCAATGATGGCGGACATAGCAGCAGATGTAAGTGGAGTTTTGTGTGATAGTGTAGATAGAAGGATGTAACTCCCAAGCTGCAAAATTCAGACAAAATACTCTGAATGTATTGAAAAGTGAAGGAATAAGATATGGACATACGATTGCATTGGGTTCACCGCGCGCAGATTGCAGAGGCGTGAGGAATGCAGGAAGCACAAAAGCCAACGAGCCTTCGTCAAGTACAGGCATCCGCGCCAGAAAATCGTGCATTGTTGCAGAGTTGAATGCCAGAAGGGTGCGATGTGACGCGAAGCCTAAAAAATGTCAATACACAAACTTCAAAGACGAAAAAGGGCAAATACCTTTCATGGCATTTGGCAACAGAGCAGCGACGAAACGTCCCACGTCTGCATTATCGACCATGGCAGTTACGAGGGCAGTGCGATTGAGAGGTATCCCAGACGACTTGAACGGCAGCAGAAAAGAAAACTGTGAGTTGGGTCTATGCACGCAGCATCAGTAGGCGTATAGTGCATGCAGTTTGTGGGCGCGAATAATTTGAAATACGCACTTGATGTGCAGTATTGACAGCATCTTCGCAAAGTGGACGGACTCGTAATAGGGTAGGAACAAGGCAAGGGTGTCGTCGATATTGAATTCGTTTATTCTGTCAAAATGTATCAGTTTCATCATCTGAACGGTTTATGGAACACACGCAGAAGAACATGTAGCCACGAGACTTGTAATATTCTAGCACCAAGACGCTACTCACCTAAACCGCCTAACCAGCCACTCTATGATTTTTCCAGCCGGAGCTTCCATCAACCATGGGCCCAACAGTCTAAAAAAGGTGCTGAGCGTCCGATCTAACGAGGCATTTGCCTCTCGTGTTTGCATAGTACGATCCAAGTCGCGAGCAGCATCCGAAAACAAGGCTTGGTCGAAGTCCGTGTAGACTGTAGTTTTATCGGTGCCAGACTTTGTGACACGAGAGAACGCAGGTGAAAGACTGTTGAGTTGCACGAAAGCATTTGAAGCTAATGCATGCAGAGAATCCAGATCATGAGTATCCGCATCGCGTCCTGTGAAAAGATAGGACTCTGTTTGCTTTCTTTTTCCAGTTCGATCGAGAAGTAAAGATGTATTGAGGGAAGCAGAGGCTGCTAGTTGAGCTGCCAATGAGGATGACATTGTAGATCTTGTTATTCCGAGGCCTCAAAAATCCTGCAATGCTGTATTTGAGGAAAACTCCACCTAGACACCTAAGAACAAGTGTAGAACGAAGGCTAGGCTACAATTTTTGTGGACTTGGCTAGGAGATAATTTCCAGCCACTACGCAAATTTTGGATGACATAAGCACGCCCAATTTGGGTGAGAAGAGTGGATTACTGAAAATCTTGCTGCGTGACTATCATGCATGCTAGCAGGTGGAGCGCGCTTTTTGCATTAGCTCACTTGGCATTTAGCTGAACACTTTGTTGGATTGTTAATTGAGGACGTATGACACCCTCTATAATATGTTCGCAATTAGCCATTAACATGACCATGAGCGTTACTTTGCTAAAATATGCATGTGATAACCAATGAGACCATGACTTTGTCCACTTGTAAGCGCTTGAGCACCCGACGATCTCGATCGGGAGGTATATGGACAAGCAAACCGTCTTACGAATCAGCCAGTGCGCCCGGACTTGATCCTATCTATCTGCCGTATGATGATATGATGATCAACCAAAGTGCAATGATTACATCCCAAGTTAGCCTCCTTACGTTCTCTGGAAGCAAGATACCCCATGATGCACTGCCAGTCATTCACTGATCACGCTCAACTATCGATCAGTCCAATTTTTTCCTTTCGAATTTCAAAAGATAATATGGTTTCAAGCTATGAGGAATCGGTGCGCTATTTTCAGTCCTTATGAGTTGACCGCTAGGCAACTATGGATCGTGAGGACGCTTACAAGGTATACCGAGCCGAACAGGGGTCCGAACTATGATTCTATCAGCGTCGACCTCCATGAACACGAGAAAATCAACGTATCCGTCGTACCAAGGCAACGCCAAGGAAAGTTGAGCTGCTGATGAGTTGTGCGTGTTGTGTGGTGGATGCTGTCTTTGCGCCACCGATGAAGTCCGAAACATGCCTTAGGGGGTCCGCTCGATCTGTTTGATAGTCACAAGGTTAGCTTTTCAGTTTCAACATAATACCAATCCGTAGATGTGACTGGTGATAAGTCAGATGACCTGTGCGAGGTCTATACGTGGGAGACACCGCCATCTCCGTGGCAGAAAAAAGAAGTTTGAATAGCAAGAGTCGTCCATAAATTCCCAAGCCCCGCTGCACGTCTACAGCAAAAGAATGGCCGGGGTGATAGCATCAGACAGCTGTGTGATCAGGTCGCGTACGTTCCTAATGCCAGATGAGACCTGCATGACTATTGCTTTTTGTAACAAAGACAAAGTACATGACTTGGACGGGCTGTTCAGCCGAACTGTTTCATTCGATCTCAACTCTAGTGAAAGGGGCATACGAGTCTGCGCAGGAAATAGTGTCAACACCCTATACCTACTCGTAGACGTCGCCGTGGCAATGACAACCCGTGGAAGGCACCGTAAACAGACATGAGATCGTAGATCAAGAGAGCAATTTCTAGCAATTTACATACTTGGGTGCGCCGCTGGCCCGCTGTGGATATAATATCCTACAAAGGTGTCAGCAACAAACAAAGAATAGAGCAGAATACTCAATGCTTACCAAGGTATCCAAAGTTCAGGACTAGAGCGAATATTCTCCTAGTGCCAACAACCATAACTGTTGGGTTCTCTCACCGTTGTACCGCCACCTGAGAACCGTTTACAGAAATGCGAAGGCCATCACATCATCCTGGTGGAAGTTATGAAATATAGAAGTATCGAAATGCTTAGATTGATGCGAGTGCTGTCCATCGCAGAGAACTGGCAACAACCACACGAAGCTTCTTCTATCAAGTTCTATGATAGTTGGCACAACGCGACCTTCAACAGACCAGGGTAGATTGAAATTGAATGCTGATAGATTACGGAGGTCCAGAAGCCTACCCATCGATCTAGTCTTGGGACGAACAACCCGGCTGGCCATGACGACAACAGCACACTATTGTTATCGTGACAGGAAGTGATTGCTTGATGACATTCGCAAGTATTAAAAATGCGGGCAACCAATAATAGTGAACGAACAATGTTCGCGATGTCGAGTGACTGATACTCCTGGTTTTACGGCAACAATATGCGTAAGGGGCTCACGGAGACACGGATGTCATTTCTCCTGATTTTGTGCAAAATTCGATAGTTTGTGCCTTATGAGCCCTGTTCTGTGATGTCAATCGTGCGCTGGTTCAATACTAAAAAGAAACATTGTAAAAGGACTTAGCACCCTGTTTCCAAGTGCATAAGTTTGTCTCAGTTCGTCACGGTCATAAACACAGAATCGACCAGGTTAAAGTCGTAGAGCGTACGAGTTTCAAGCTTCCAGGCTTCAAGAATCTGATCGATTGTGGCAGGCAATTTCCGGGTATGATGGATTCGTACAAGTAGCCCCGCGTCCACATTGGCCATCCACGCGAATATGCAAGCCAAGTGAGATAAGATGTCAGAGGCAAATCTAAGCCACATGGAAACGAGCAAGCCTCATATACTTGCCTCACAGAAGTGTCCTGAGAGTCTCGGTGCAGTCTTCGAGCTCCATGGGATATAATCATTTTTGTTGTGACATAATGTCTTTCGAAATGGGTTTTGTGACGTAAACGTTACTTGTTCCTTGGGGCGCGTGACAAACGCGAGCGGGGTGCCGTTGTGTGTGAGAAGCTTGAACCAACTTGAGCGACCTTGTGCTGCACTAACGACACAATTTATCGAGTCTGCAGATAAGTTACTCGAGAATTGATATTACTTACTGATATGCATGATGGACTAGTGACATACCGACAGTTGCGCATCCAACATACCTGATGATAATCAGAGTGATGCCGAGCGATGAAGGTGGGACTAATGGGGAACATGACTGACGAGAAAACCCTCAAACTTTGGGGAGAACAAGTGACGTGGTAGAGCAAATTGAGGAAGGCATCCAGTAAAGGAGCGCTCTGCAAAGATGCACAGGCAGTCTCATCAGATATTTTTATTCTAGTAACGGAATGTGACAGTGGGTAAGTGTATTTTAAATGATCCGGGTGCGGCGGTGTCATGGCGCCAAAGACTTCCAGGCTTCGTGATGAAATCAGGCGGTTCGGTTCCAAGTGGTTACCTATCCCAGCTCTGCCACCTCACTTACGCCCGTTAAATGTCTTGTTATGGCGGGACACGCTTTGTTTCATACCACGTTTAGGGTCGTCGCCCGCCTTCCCTCCTTTCCACCACCATGAGTTCTAATACTCCAGCAGAACTGCTCATGCGAGGGCCCTTAATTGGCGCATTTCTCGGTATGCTGTAAGTGCACATTATCACCGCATCCAACCGCTACTCCCCGATGCTGAAGCTGGTCCAGTCTATATGGTGTCACCTGCATGCAAACGTTCTTTTATTTTCAAAATTATCCTGATGATCGTTTCATATTCAAAGCCATCGTACGCACCCTTTAACTCGTTCGAATGAATATACATGATAAATGTGATCACATTGCATTTCAGGTTGCTTCTCTATGGTGAGGGCTTTGACCCCCTCTTTTCAGAGTCAAGGGCTGATCGAAGGGGATTTCATGCTCAGGAGTATGGAGTCTGCACACGTGTCATTGGCAATCTATGCCATGGACCACTACCTGATAGTAAATTTCTCAGATGTGGACGCTTTGCAAACGATCGAATGGTATGTGACATGATATCAAAGCGTGATCTCATTTGACCTACCTTCAATAGGAATATACCAGTAAGCTTTATGTTTCGTCAACAATGCTAGCGATACAAATTGACGCTCCATCCGTAGGCCATATTTACCATCGGTGTGAGTGAACATAAAATTGTCCTGCGCTTGTCACTAAATCAATGTCCCAGTTCGTGATCGATTTTGTTGTTAACAGGCGGGTTGCATTATAGTCTGTATGTATCCTATCGCTAATCTTACATACTCACTTTCGTTAGTTATTTCATTTGGCGAGTCCAGAGACGTACGTATCACTATCAATTTGTTCCCTAGAGCTTGACTTATCATTCGCACCTATGCTTTCCAGTAAGCAACAAGATAATACTCCCGTTGTTAATGGTATGTTTGCTTTGGAATTTCACTAATTCTACGCTGACGCTGGGTATCTGATGCAAGATGATGTTCAACCTTGCACGTCTTGGTGAGTGGCTTCATCATACTTCGTTGTCATCGTTCAGCTCATTCGTCTACGTCAGGCATTGGTTTATATTCCTGTGTATTACTGTGGGTAGTTTTTTCTTTGAAGGCGTATTGATTTGTAACAAACACAATGCTAGTGCTATCGATCATTCTTCATGGAACGCATTTCGAGATGCCTGTTATGTAAGCGTACCAGACGTGTTTAAACCATTCTTTTGCTTATCATAAGCCAGCCTATTCTCGTCGCCGGTACTACAATGATTGTCGTCGGTGATGCGTCGACGGCGTGTATCCTTGCCTACTACTTGCGTAAAGGGCGCTCTGAACATTCTTCCAGCATGTAGGTATACTTGCATTTTCATATCTGTCGCACACGCTGAAGGGATACTTATAAAGGATGACTGGTCTGATTGACCGCCTGCTCATTTACACAATAGGCACAGGCGGACTTACATCGTGAGTCTTCCTAATTGACAGTGTCAACAAGAGAAGCAATACTCACCACCCGATAGCATCGTAGAGTTAGCGACAATGTTGGCTGTACGTCCGATTTGGTGTTAAACATATCTCTTAGCGATCTCAACGGACTTGCCTACAGATGCTTTTATCCTCTGACTCGCTCTCATTCATGGGGATCACTATCGTCCAAACGGGGTGTATGTGCCAAACTCGTGATCGACTAACAGGTTACTGACGTGGCTCGAATAGTATATGCGAACTCACTCTTGACTTCGTATGTGTTCCCTTTTAATGACAATCAAGGCAATCGTTAACAATCTTTTTTTTATTACAGGTTGAACATCAGAAAATATCACTCAAAGCTGCTCGAAGAATCGAGCAGGAATGGCATCAGACTCACGACTCTGTCATTTGATGCACGTCATACGGCTGGCCGCCAAGAGGTGGGTAAAAAACCATTCATTTGCTATCTGCGACCGTATGATCTTAATCGCAGTCCCAGACAACTCAGCAAGTGAGGGGTCGTCATTCAGGGGCAGAAAAGCTTGTCACGCCTAGTACTATTTCAGCTTCCATCCACGATGACCAGGACATGGGTCACATACGTTTCGCGCAGAAATCCATGGAGTCTGTTGATGACATGGGTATGGCGAGCTAGTGACTGATTCTTTTTTATGTACACACCTGTATTATGGTACACCCAGGATCTAGGAGGGCATTCACTTTACTTTGTTGGAGTTCACTAATCGCATCGAAGCCACGTACGATAAATCGACTAATCCCATCGACCGTTTGAGACATCGCTCAAAATATCGCTGCCTGACTACCAGGAAACTCTTATACCGTAGGTGCATTGCTCTTCTCCCTAAACACGTCTTCGATTCACAATGTGGCTCTCGAGCTGATCACAAGTACCATCGTAAAGTACTAAGTCCCTAAGCTCGAGATATATTCCCCAGTTCAGACTTCTCCATCTGGTTTAAAGGTGATCGCAAAATTGTATCAGCGCTGGCGTCAGTCCGAAAGCGGGGGCTCACCAGGAACCATTACCAGCATCGGAAGAGATGAGGCACAGAAAAGGGAGCACCTTGGGGAGAAAAGGGACCTTCCCTTTGAAGTGCCCGCCTGTCATGTAAAGATGATGACATAGGTATCTGATTATGGCAAGTGCTCCAAGCTCTGCTGTGGTGTGCATTATTTTGGCCAACTTCTTGATGGTCAGCAGGTGCAATGCTGCTACGGGGTGTGGAACAAATATTGCTTGGTGCGACTGTCCACTGTGCAAGTCCTGTATCTTGACAATCCCGACACACTCCTACACCGACACAGAACTCGCGATGCAAGAGTGCTGCAAACAAAACACCACATGCGTCTATTTCTTTTTCATGACGCCCACAACTGTACGCATGCCAGGTCACGTTGACGATGGGCCGCAATACGAGCGTAGGGATAGATGCTTGCCAATGGTTCTTAATACATCAATATCAATGGCGCCAACCTTATAAGAAACCGTACCACTCAAGCGGGACTGGAGTGCAACGCAAGCAATACAATTAGAGCATCGTCATCGAGTGACTTTTGGTTACGATTAGTGCATAATAGCATATGCCACACGACACACTCGACAGCCTGAGTGTTCTGAATCGGGCAGAGCTAAAATGAGCCAATTTGTCAAACCCCACACATCCAATCATCCCATCATGCCGTATAACCCGACGCTCTTCACGGCGCCCTCAGCCCTTCTCGCAGTCTCAGATACGCGCATCCACATTACCCCATGCAACCTCACCTTGTCGCCTCCGAGTCGGCGACCTCTCACTGGCGTTCGTTCATCACCATAGAAGGCCACAGTATATTCCTGATGAGCCTAGCAAATAGAAGCAATGTTTAGTCAACAGGACGGGATACGGTATCCCAGCAATTGAGTAGCTAACCTATGATACCGACGGTAGTATGTCTAAATACTATGTTTATTTGACATCCCCAAGTTCCTTCCAACGTGCAATTCAACAGGCGCGATCTTGGGGCGAGACGTGTATTACATAAGGTTCGGCTTCTCCCGGTCCCAACCTTTTGCAGTCCTTCTCACTAGCACACTGCGGCTCATTCAAGTCCAATCCAATACCCTCACCATGTCGACATCGTCCGGACTCCCACCTGTACGAGCAAATGGCGTTTTCGCCCTTTCCGCCAACATCATCATCGACGCACCAAGAGAAAAAGTATGGGAGGTCCTCATGGACTGGAAGTCGTATCGTGAATGGTGCGTTTAGAATTGCGCATTGAAATAAGCGCTTACGCGCTAACCAAGAACCGTGGCGCAATGTCCTACCTATCAGGAATGCTTTCGTGTAAGTGTCAGTGTCCTAGCATATTATACGCACACCACGCTAAACGCCTGTACACTCCCCACCCTCCGTCCAACAGCCGCAACCAACAACTGACAGACGCGCGCAAGAACCCCCTCGCGGACCAAACGCCTTCCGTAGGCTCATACCTCCTCATCTCGCCTGTTCACATCCCTCCCACCATGTCAGACAAGTGGCTTCCCTCCTCGGCGTTTGAACGTATCACGGCTCTCGATCGTGACAACTTTCGTGTGGCTTGGGAGAATATTGAGATGCCGCGGTGGTTGTTGAATGCGGAGAGGTGGCAGGCGTTGTCAGAGGTGGAGGGTGAGCCTGGTAAGACGCGGTATGAAACGATTGAGGTGTTTGGGGGCGTGGTGGCGTATATCGTGAAAGTACTCTTTCGCAAGGGATTGAATGAAGGTTTCGCCGCTATGGCAGAAGGTCTGAAGAGAAGATCAGAGGAAAGGCAGTGATGTGAATGCAGAACAGAAAATGCACCAGCGCTTGGTAATTACCCTTGATTCCTAGTCATCACAGCTACTTCGTATCTATATGTATTTCCTTGGCGACTTCGGAATGCAATGCGTTTTACATTCATATTGGCTGTGCACGTTAAACTTTTAAGAAAGATGAATATATTCAAGATGTTACACCAATAAATTGTACAAGTAAATGCTACATAGATTAGCTAGTCAATAACTATGTATCACTAGTAGGATAAGTTAGCACCAAAGTCCATATCACGATATCATGAGAACCGGGTATGCCAGCAAAAGAGATGGTATAACTAAATAGTCATCGTTGATGACAACTTTTGAAGATGAATAATATGCATTGATACCCCGAGGGTTAACGCGGCACCGAGTCAAATGGAGCCATGATGAACCTTCGAGGCATGTCGAGAGCTTTACGACGCGCCACGGCTGCGACGATGCGGTGCTGTGTACAAAGCGATCTGTCAAAGCCCGCCTTGGCAGTGCTTAAGAGCATGGCGAATGCACCGCATCTTTAATAAATCGCCGCCACAACGCACGACCAAATGCCAATGATTGAACCGTTAACTTGCTGGGTCTCTAGTCCTCCTCAGGAACTTCGTAGATGCTGGACAACGAAGATTTACGTCCGGGAGTGCGCTGACCACTTCTGCGTCTGCGATGGCTTTTCTGTACCGCTGGGGGTGTTTGGTAGGACTGGGTATTCAAACCACTGTGTAAGTTATGGATGCTCGAGGTCTGATAGACGGGTGTATCATCGGAAAGTGAGGACATGGAGGACGAAGGTGATGAGCTATATATAACATATGGTTCATCATCGTCATCAGACGAGTCGCGGGAAAGTGGCAAAGACGAGGTGGAGGAGGACGAGAGCCTTGGGCTATCAAGGTCCTGGCCGAAAGGTGTGGCGAGGGGGCCAGAACGGCCAAAAGACAGCTATGGGAAAAGTTGAGAAACAGGAGAAAATGAGTTCCGAAGAGGAGACTTACCACATCCTGGCGTGCACTGGTTTCGCGTATCCACTCAGCAACGCGCCGCGCCCACTCACGCTTGCGCAGAAATTCGACCCGCTCGCGACGTTGAGATGCAGACTCTGTGTATTGGGCCTGCCTGCCACGCATATCGTAGGGGGGAGCAGGGATAGGAGTGATATAGGAGGAGAAGTCGGTGGCCAAGGATGAATAAAAGTCGGGAGAGCCCTGGCTTGCAGGCGCGAAAGGATAAGACTGAGACTGAAAGGCTAACATATATGAATGAAAAGGGAGAGTCTCAGCCTGGAGGCGAGGAGCGATATGGCAGTGGTGAAGAGGGAATAATAAGGTGGGGACGAGGAGAGAACGAACCGGGTGCCCTATATATGTGTCTCAAAAAAGTAAAGGGTCTAGGTCTGGAGTAAGTTGCCGAAGCGATGACTCACGTCAGTATTGACGTCTTCCACCACATTTCATTATATTATATTTACACTTTTCGTCCCACATTTTCATTTTTGTATCTATCCTCCTCTCTCGTCTCCACAGACGCAGTGTTTTTTGGAATAAAATTCGATGCAAAAGCGAGTGAAAACTATTGTTAAGCCGCGGATTCGTGGAAATACTGAGACACGCGATCGGAGTCAGGGCCAGGCTGTCCACGCTGACAAATCACCAATATCCCATTTGGGGCAAGGCACACCGCATCCGGCATGGTTGCCCGATCAGCGATAAGATAAAGTCAGCGTGCATTTCTGTGCAGTCGCACTGAGTAATACAATGTTGTGTGCACTCGAATGTGGCCACATGCATATCTCTTTCCTTCCAAGGCATCCGGCCACTCTGTCGCCACCAAGGACAAGAAGCAACATTCCGGAATCAAATACTTCGACAAGTTGCTATATCGACAGTGACACAAAAGAAAGTTTCTAAGGAATTGGGAGTCCTATCCTGGAGAACAGGACTGATTTACTGCGCCTGATTATCGCATGAAGGGTACACCCACCATGTCCGTCAGTCCCGAATCTTCCCTCCTTCATCATTTTCCCATTCGGCGATCTTGTAGACCCGGAGGTTCCAATCATCGGGAAAATACGCAACTGCAAAAAAAATGATTGCACACAGGTGCGCTCATTCAGTCCCTGCGGATAAAAGTACCTCACGCGCTGCCGCCGGGAAGGCAAGCAGAACCTGCTGTTATCCTGACGGTAACGATCATGTAAATGCGGCCCAAGTGCAACACCGAGCGCCCTCTCTAAACGGCCGAATGCGGTGTGGATCCAAAGCTCAAAGGTCCGTCATCACATTCATGCAACTTGAATGGCCTTCAATATTTCATACATTTGACGACGTCCAAGTATTCAACCAGCGACTAAAGTGAGGTCTGATAATTTGTTTTTGTGTTTTATGACGTCGGGCAGAGAACACCGTGGATGATGTGTGTCCTGTTATTCATAGCATTCAATAGGCGTGAAACACTGTGGTTCAGTACGACATGATATGTTTTATTACCAAAGAGTGCTATGCATATATATATGAAACAGATACCTGATCACGCGGGTCGACTCGAAGTTGGCCATTTCAACGTTCGACGGACAGCCGCATCGGAGGGTCTTGCGCCTAAGTATTGCGACACCTAATAATGTCAAGCATCTTCGTACATGAACAAATGACCAAAATTCACGTAACCAAATTTATGGACCACTAGCACAGTGCTAGCACACGCCAACTTGAAACTGCCTGTGTCAATGTCACTGCGAGGGTCCTCTCTATGTCATAAGACATAAGACTGAACTTGCATGTGCTTGACACCAGAGTGGTTCATTATTATTTTTTCCCGCGAGGAGCATGATAGTATGACATGAAAGCGTTGGTGAAAGTTAAAACAACAACCACGCATGCACGCAGGCAGACAAACTTCCAAGTTAGAGTTGATGTCAGCGGTCACTGTGTCCGGCATGGTCGGTATAGATAACGCTCCCCTTTCCTGCACTGGTTCACCTGGGAGCACATGCGACTGGCAGTGCCTTTTGCCCACCAATCAAGCGCCTATCAAGTCCTACAGTGAACCACCATGACCAGAATTCCACGTAAAGCCATCTGGTGAGCAGCATCCAACACTGTTATCGCTTACTATCGCAGTCACTGATGTGCAGCTTGCATTCGCAGGTTTAGTAAGTCTCCCACTCCCTCAGGCCATTTCGACGCTTTCTACTGGGCTTGACATTCAGCCTTTATCAAACCATACTGTGCTTCTTTCATTTTTGGTTAGTTATACCAGCCTTCTATTGACTGTCTTGACGCTGAAGTTTGTTTTGTGTCATGTGATCAACCAGCCTCAGCCGTCCAGCTCTTTATCACATACACCAACCGCGAGGACGCTATCTGGAAAAACCCTCTCATCAGAGCTGCCTTCATCATCGTCTGCGCCATCTGCAACATCATGAACGCAGCACTGGTTTACAGGAAAGCTGTAAGAGACGAAGCAGCCCTTGGGCTCGTCGCGTCAGGGGTCGATAACGTGACACAGGCACAGGTACAGGAGAAGACTGCTGGACGCGAAGCAGGATACTGTCGTTCCCTGGTTTTTCGGATTTCATGGGCCAACCGGACAACCTCAAAATAAGGATGTTCTGCTCACCGTATTACTTAGCTATTTCTCCCAGTAACTATTATGCCCCAGAAATCCTTACTTGCGGTATTTTGAGCTTGAAAAATGGTGCATTGGGTGAGATCCAACTTTTGTGCAAAGTAACGCACTTGTAACGCAGCTGTAACGTTCGATCTCGAAGCCGAGGCTACCGATGTGCGTATTGAGCTCCGCTTGGTGTGTGGCACGAACGATCAGTGATCAGTGAATTGGTGAAATTTTACACCTATTTTATGCCGACCGCTGATTCAAAACGGCATGTGTGACAATTATGTGACTTTAGCGTTATTCTGTGACATCCGGTTGGCCCATGAAATCCGAAAAACCAGGGAACGACAGTATAGAGCAGGGAGGCGGTACATTTCACTCGGATGCGTTTCCCGCAGAGAAGACGGGTTGATGTGGACTTGTCAAAGTGGAGTTTTACAGTGTTGTACAACTGAATATGGATCCAATACTTTTTGACTAGTTTTCCGTTTCTTAGCCATGTCCGTTTCTCAGATATATAATTTCAATTGTATTTTACATTTGTTAGGCTTGGTGTGAACCCTGCCGCCAACTGTCTACTTTGTCTCTCATTACCACTGTTGCAAATCCACAGCATTCAGGGACTAGGCATTCTCATGTTAAGGTACAACTGTAAGTCTTCCAAGAAGGTCCATAAAATAACTCATTTGTAGTGATGCTGTTCTAAAATGAAGGAGATGGTGGCCCCAAAAGTCGTGTGCGGCACATGTGGGAGCACATATTTTTGCTTAGTTTTGCTTGCATGGTTTTTGGTTAGCAGTAGAGTAGTGCAGTACACTGCCAGACGAGTTGCACTTGTCGCAGCTTTGTTGCAACTGTCAGGTGCCTGTGGCACCTTCCACACCTGTGGTGCCACAAAAAACCATGCGAGCGAAACTAAGTGAAAAAATGTGCTCCCACATGCTCTCCAGATGCCTCACCTTCATGACTCATGGCCTTCTTTACTTGAAGCTCTATCTTCAGCTTAGTATTGTCCACGTGGGGATCATGACCATCTTCATCATTGGATCACTCAGAATCAGTAAGAATTGAGGAACGTGAACTTGCAAGCGCGGTTTTGAGTTTTTGATCTTGATTACACTCTCATTTTGTTGCAATACTCATACTATCCCCTTTTCCAGTGAGTTCAACTATGATTTTTACTCCACAGTTACCGTGTTCAAGGCAGCCTGACTCAGACGAACTGGCACAATTTGTGAGTAATTGGATCTAGTGATGACTACCAAAACTCACCACACAGATATCTTTTGACTTTCCCTTCCAGGTTGCACAACCACCAAGATGTTTGATCTTGTAGTCCTTGAGGTGGAAGTGTGTCTCCGATGTCACAAATAGAAATTATATTACATAAGCAAACTTTGGAGGTTCGCCCGAAGCTTTACTCTGTGATTACAATCAGCCTTTTGTGGCTATCATTGTCTTTCACATGATATTTACATATGTTTGTTATATAAGAAGTATGTATTTACGTTGTTATGGCATTCATTTGCCAAAAGAATCCTTCTCCCGCACCTGTTCCCGCGCCCTGAGGGACCGAATATCCAACATCACATTCTTGTCATGTTACTGACTCCAATGCCATGTAGTACTGCCTTGTATACTAATGTTCCTGTCAGTGATTGTCAACAAAATGTGAATGGTCATGGGGTTAGTAAGTATCAGTTGTAGTTGACTCGAATGAACTTGAACTCACAAAGAAGGGATTTGGAACTACTGTGACAACACCAACAAGACACAGTCTTGGGGCACTGGAGCACAATAAAAACAACACTCAAAAGAAGAGGAAGAGGTGGGAGTGGTTACCCATTAGGTTTCAACAAGTTAGTTGTTGGTAGACAACGGGAGGACTCGCTGAGTCCTTCCCCATGTATTGCTCCTGTATATATACTAAAATACATGAGGTACTGTACAGTTGTAAATAAAGTTTAAAGTCCGATGTCTAGCATGTGACTATGAAAAGTCGGAAATGTAAAGTAAAGTAAATGGTCACATGACTGGTCATGTGACTTGGAAAAATAAAAGTAAAAGTGCAAAAAGTGAAGCGTAAGTAGGTACTGGTACGTCAATTGTAACATCAATCTGATATTTAGATTATGTCATGCATACCCAGAGCTAATTTTGAGTTTTATCCCAGATAAGGTGAACTATTTGCTGCTTTGGTCAAGACCTTCTGGCACTCTCTCTGATATTCTTTTCTAGGGCACAGCCTGCAATTTTGAGCTATGAACCAGAAAGTACATTCAATATTCAGTTACATGGTTGACGGCTAGAGCTAATCGTTGTCATGCACCAAAGTTGATTGGTAGCATGGACAGGTGTCAATAACGAAGCAAATATTCAAAAAGACTCGCCTTTGCGCCACACAGGCACAGTGCCACATGGAATAGTAATTAATATTGCCTGTTTTGAACTTGTGGCTGATCAGCACCACCTCTATTAGGCAATCCAGTCACGCTCACCTTTGCTTTTCCATTCAGTACTTTCGGCATTTCGGCATTTCGGCAAATTTTTGCGTCGCCACTGGCTACACATTGCATTGCGCCCTCGCTTTTGTCGTTTCCCTTACTCCCCTTCCTTTGCCTGGCCCCACCATGGGCCCCTTCCTCTCCTTTTTATTCTCACCTGACGGTCGTTTCTGGATCCCCATTCTAATCCACTTTTTTGTCACCTCCACCCTCCTCCTCCTCATCTTATTTGCACCCCCATCATTTCTGATGTCACCACTTCCTATCCGCTTCCGTCACCGATCCGTTAACTACCACGTGCCACTGCTGATATCAGCAAAGCCCCGGCGGCCGGTTCAAATAGGGCAACAGGTCCATCTTCATGACGTTGATCTACCATCATATACTATCAAAACATCGGTCGCTCGTCTTGCCTGGTTGGAGCGTGGGTGGGTAATTTTTGAGCTGGAGAAGGTTCATCCCCTTGCGTCGCCCATGTTCATCGCTGTCCCATTCACTTGGGTACACTTATCTTTTGTCCATCGTCTTCGCTACAGCTACACCTACCACACGCTGCCTGGGACTCACTTGTTCCAAATTGGAACTACTCCTCTCCCTCCCTCGTTTGATCAGGTGGTCCAACACAACCAGTCCATTGGTAAGGCCATGGAACTGTCGGATTTGGACTAGGTGGTGGACCGGTGGCTCCAGTTTCTTTGTCTTCAGCAGAACATTCATTTACAGTGCGATTATTTTTGATTTTTGAATCATTTTTATGGACACATATTTTTTTAGAATGCCTGACTGACAATAAAGGAACTGTGTTGATACTGATAGTGTTTTGCCTTGCCCTTTTTTTACTGCATCTTCCCATGACATCATGATTTTCCTGCTCTCTTTTTGCTATTGGACTTTACTTTATGGCTATACAAAACTGTGACATTACTCACAGCATTCATTGTTCTATCCCTTTCTTTTCCTTTTTTAACAATCTTATCCTGTACTACCTATGCAGGATTCGTCAGCATACATTCCTTCCTTCATGTTCTTTCTCATTCTTTTTGCACAGCTATACTGTGCATAGCCTACTTTTCTTTTACTATATAAACCCCTGTATTTTACCTTGTAAAAACAACAAGAACTCCATTCCAGACTTCTTCTCTAAATTCAAGTTCACTACTCTGCTGCTTGTGATCCAGTGTGGTCACAACACTTCCCACTGCTACCACTGTCAACTGCTTTCATCGTCACTTCCCATTTTTGAAGTCATTGTCATCCCTTTCGATTAGAGTCCTTTTGAGCACTACAGTTTGTGCGTCAGGAGCCTGCTATCACTGGGAACCTCGTCATATTGTCGTTCTCACACCTACCTTGTGCTATGATTAGCAAGGTAGTGCTCATCTATACTCGTTACTAAGCCCCTATCATCTATAAATTCAACTATCCCTCCTCCTCAAAACCCACACCCATACATCTCTGGGTTTTACTTTGAAGGATCCTTATACATACCACCCCACAAACAACCAGAGCACCCACTGTTCTAGGAGGCAAAGCCCATAAACAAGTTCCGTGGAATCTGGGAGGATTGTGTGTTAGTTTGTTTTTGTGTGTGGTTTTCTAACAACAGTTCTCATCATCGACAGTGTATCCCAAACGTGGCAGTTTTGTCCATTCTAGTCAAATCCAGAGTATCAAAACTAAACATCTTGCAGTGAGACTCAGACTTGGGATATTATCAAGGACTAGTTCCACCGAGTGCTACCGTGACAGCCAGCCAAACCCCAAACTTGATAACTTGGGACTCTGAGAGGTCCGGCATCAGATATGGCATATTTTGTAATATGTGGTTTAAAGCTTATGCTGATGTATGTATTTATATGGGACTTACCAACTTGCATCTAACAGCTCAGTATCACTTTGAGCACTACCGTGCATTGGCATACTCAGATTTTACCCCTTCAGCCAGTTCACTACCAGCATTGTCTGATTAGCGCAATATAATGTCTGATGGGGAAAGTGAAGTGGATCAGCCAAGCCCTTGCAGATCTCAGATAAACACTACCCAAAAACGCAATAGACAACCAAACACATTGGAATTGGCTCCTCAAAAAAAATTGTGCATAAATCATTTGGACATGTATACCTAAGTTCTCACCTTCTTTCACTTCAGCGCTACACAGGATCCTCTGATCCACCATGGACATCATTTTGGGAGGACAATACATGCATTTTGTAATGTGCAAAGCCTTCTTGAAAATGCCATTGAAAGAATGGCATCAGATGAACCTGACAACAGCTTACCTGCAGAGTAAGTCACAGTTATTGAACTCAGCCTTTTGAACTGATTCACATTAATGTTGTAGGGACAGGGCGAAGCAACATATATTCAAGGGCAGAGCAACATATATTCAAGGAATTATTGAAGCTTGTCCCAAGCTTGGAGAGGCATCTCATGGGTCCAGAAACTACAGAAGAAGACATAATAATGGTTGCAGATATGGTACATCTTATCCTATCTAAAACAACAATTACACCATTATATATCTTCACAGATCCAGAAAGGTGCAAATGGGGCCAGATCTGACAATACTAAGAGTCTCAAATCCGCTGTAATTGACTGGATTACTCCCAGAGGACAGACTCTTTCTCCTCACATATATTGCAACGTCAAAGCAAATTGAGGTTTCAATCATAAATGCACCGGCTTTCTTCTTTGTCCTGCTGGGTTGACTTGGTCCAACAAGAAGTAAGTAGATATGTTCTATTGATAGGCTGGCCATTCTTACAAAGCTTCTAGCGTCAAAACTAAATTAATAACTGGGCAAATCCAAGTTCTGGGCAATCAGTGGCCTATTCTGTTATACACAAATTACTCATATGATGCAAAAGAACTCTGGAATGGCTTGCTCAGAAGCGGTCTTCTTGTCAATGTGAACCGATGCATATAATCTACTATGACCTATACTAATTATAACAAAATTACACAGGCTTTTAAACACATTTTCACGTCACCAAGTTCTGTGGATCAAGAACTGAAAGCTATGCGCTCCAGTGTAAGTTGCTAAAGGCGTCTGGGAGAGAACTGAGTATAGTCTTTACGTCCAAACACCTATGCGTTGTTCAACCCGCAGGGATCAACCAAGGGATTCAGAAGAAAGTGCTGAAGACTACAATAGAGTGGGTCCGCAGGTTCGCAAATAAGTCCGCAGGTCAGTTTTCAGAGTCTGCACTTTTAAGTCTAAACGGAGCGGATACGTCACAGCAAGTTGTGATCTTGCTGGAAAGGCAATAATACGAATGTGGGGGTGATAATATGAGCTGAGGATGAATATAGAGTGGAGAATACAACACTGGAATGACTCCTGAGAGTCCGCGTTTTGGGGTCTATACGAGCAGAGCGTCACAACAAGCTCGGCACTTTGTTGGAAATCTTGGTAAATATGGCTGTGGGACGTCTACAACAATTCTGAAGCGACTATGGCGACTTATTCAGACGAATTCTGAGTATATGGGGGATCAAAAAGAGGGATTTCTTTCCTTTTGGAAGTACAGTTTTATAGCAGTACCAAAAAGGAAATAGCAGAAATAGCGTAAAACATATGAGAACCAATGGGAGAAATGAAGGATAAACATTAGAAAGTGTCCATATGAAAATGTAAGAAAAAGCGGGTTATATCCTGCTAGTCCGATGTCCAGACAGTTCCATACCATGAGGGACAACTCCTATATTCCATAAAAGGAAAGGGGTAGTTGATCCATGGACAGTCATAATGCTCTGGCATGTGGAGTCTTGCACGTGCATGGAGTGTTGAGTTAGCTCCTCGTCCGACGGGTCCGAAGTCCGAAAAGTGCGGACCCTATATGTCCGCAAATGCGGACTCTATGTATGCGCAAACATGGACTCTGCAGACTGTTGCGTATTGATGCATGGTTTGTTGTAGAACTGGATTGATATGTTGGGAAATAAAGGGATTACTGTGCTGGCATCTAAGTCAACTCTACACCGGGAACACGTGTATACACGGCATGCGTTCAGTCAGCAAGGCTTTGATTGCTTATGTTGTAACTTTGCTCTAACTTCAACGCAAGTTTTCTCCCGCACCAATCTAGTCACCAATTCTGAATGGTTCTACAATAGCATTCTTACCTTGTTTGAAGATCCTAAAGAGAAGGAAGAGGTCAATCAATTATTGGTGCGGTGGAACAGGTGCATACTAATATATTTATCTTATGAGTTTTGCTTGAGTTGTAACAACCAAGAGTTTGTTACTCTGGCGCACAACTCAGACAAGCTATAGAGAGGATGATGAGGGAGTGGTTATCCTTTAGGCTTCAACAAGTTGGTTGTGAGGATACAACAGGAGGACTCACTGAGGAGTCTCCTTGATCTATTAGGGTATATATACTACTACAGTGTTGTTTGTACATGTGTACTATACAGTTGATGGAGGCAGTGGCTGATGATGTCAAGGGGCACAGCCCATGTGACCAGCTCTACTGCGTGAGAGAGTTGTATCTAAAAATAAGGAAAAGGCAGTGTAGCGCAAGAAAGAGGAGTTTGAACAAAGGGGAAAGTGCCACATGTCACAGTGTGTGAAAACTACAGAAAAAGGTTAAAGAGGAGAATGAAAATTCAAGGTCCGAAAATTGTGTATTGCAACATGAGTTACTCAAACTGTTCCTTAGACAAGTGTTCCCAATTTATGCAACTCCTGAACGTTTACCATCCAAGAACAGTGCATTGACAAAGATTAAAGAAAGATGGGAGGCTTTGAAGAGGTCTCAGAATGGAGAGGGTTCCCGTACTGTATCTGATTGATTTGCATGTCCAAGTCTGCTTGTATGATTTATATTTGATAATTACATCAGTTGTGCTATGGTTTCTCATCAAATGTGTATACTAAGATTGCTATTGAAAGTGTAAATCTTTCGTGACACACAGATTGTGCGACTACATATTGGCTCCACCGAGACCAGCCTGATATTCACTCAACAATAAAATATTTCTGACTCAAAACTACAATTAACCTTATTATAGGCATCAGTTCTCTTAGGCATAAACTCTCTTGTAGATTACAAGGGTAGACAAACATTAGATAAATCATATTGTATTTTTCAAATCACAAGAGGCTGTTAAAAAGTTGCCAGAAATACTTACTTGCAAAGACTTATAAACTTCCCCATACAATACAAAGATGACCTATGCAAACATTGTGGGGATTAACTTATAATAGCTAGACTTGCAGTGTAATTTTACAGTGATTTTTTTGTAAAAATATATCAATTATATCTAACAAAAATATGAAGCAAAATTTTAAAATATAATCCCTAATATCACTTGCCTGTCCTCACAGCTTTGAGTCTGGAATTGTCACGTGTGACATAATTCCTTGTGTGACTATTTTCCTGAAATTTGATTGAATCCTGCCAGCTGAGTTGCTCCGAATCTTATCTAAATGTTTGTTGCCATTACACCATCATCATGGTGCCCAGTGAAAAGTTGCAATCTAGAAATATGGCAAAAGCTTGAAATAGAAGTAAACATGTAAATATATAGACAAATGACAACATATCACGGAAATCAGTGATTAAGTGACTCATTGGCATGTAAGGAATGTTGCATAAGATCCATAATCAAGATTAGTGTTGCACATAATATATTTATTGTTGCTTTCTTGCTTACTTGCATATTTTCACAGACTCAAACAGATATTTGGAGTATCAGTAAGATGAATTCAGCAAAATAGACAGCAAAAATCAGTCACAGTAAGTGTGGATTAATATAGTAATCATTAGCTATATGTGTTATCATACCAGTATACTGTCATATATACCACCAATGGTTCTACCATCACCCTGTTCTCTACAATCACCTCAAATCTTCACATTGAATCCCTCATCCCAGCTTTAATAGTTCCCAATTGCCAAACCACAAGCAGCTGCGGTGAGGTGTCCTCACATACACCACTGGTACCAATTATTCACCCACCACTGAAACCACCTAGCAAATGAATAGTGCCAACACATTTAAAGGCTTTCATACCAATATCAACTTTTGATCCCCCCAGCAATTATTTCTAATCAATTTTTACAGAAATTTCTGTGCTATCAAATGGTGTGCAAACAATCCAGCTTAATAGCACCAGTGACAATTCATGCAGTATTGGAACAAATTGGCGGTGTACAGAAAACAGGTTTGTTTGTTCTCTCTCTAGCCTAATATTGTTCTGATTTTATTCCAGGTTAATAAAACTAAGTGAAACTCAGTCGCTGCCCGAGAGGCTATAGAAACGACTTTATTATTTACCTAAGTGAAACTACAATAGATGTTAGTTTGAGATGATCTCTAATAAATGTAATGTAACATACCTCAGCTGCTGCCCGAGAGGCTATAGAAACGACTGAGGTATTCCTATACTAAACCCCCTACTACTTATAGTCGGAGGTGCTACTCGCTACAGTATAATGACTCCTAGGAGTACAATTGTGCTCCTAGGAGAACAATGGTTACTCCATGGAGTGGTGGCTATGCTCCATGGAGAACAATGGCTGCTTTGGCAGAGACCAGGTGTATCTGGTTTTGTCACTCCCACTCGAGTGCAACCGTAGTCCCATAGCTTTAGAGAATTTCCAGTGTTTTTCATGAGTGAGGGGTTTAGTGAGAATGTCTGCAACCATATCTCCTGTAGGAACCTATCTGATTACTGCCTCTCCCTTTGATACTAAGTCATCTCGGATAAAATGATATTTCCGTTGAATGTGTTTTGTGCGAGCACAGAACTGTGGATCTCGTGTAAGAATGATAGCTGCTTGATTGTCACAGTGCAATGTTGTAGGTCCATTTTGAGCATGTCCAATTTCTTCAAAAAATGTCTGAAGCCATGCAAGGTGTTGTCCAGTATTGCTCAATCCAATGTACTCTGACTCCGTGGAGGATAAAGCAACCATGCTTTGTCTTTTGCTTGTCCAGGAGATTGCTCCTCGGATAGTGATAAAAACAAACCCTGATGTTGATCGAGACGTGTCTGGGTCTCCAGACCAATCTGCATCTGAATATCCATAGAAATCCATGTCCATGGAGACATCTGTGCCATCATATTGTAGTTCCATATCCCTGGTTGCTTTCAGATATCGGAGGACACATTTTGCAGCTTCCCAGTGATGGCTCCTTGGAGCTGAGCTATGCCTGCTTAGTATTCCAACAACGTAGGCAATGTCTGGGCGGGTTCCGAGCATAGCATACATGAGGGAGCCTACAATTGAGAGGTATGACACTTGACACCCTTCAATATGCATCTCGTGTTGCACAATATTTTCCCCTGGAGCATTTGCAAGGAGTTTTGATCCATGGGCTATTGGTGTCCATACTGGTTTGCAGTTCTTCATTCCAGTATGCTCCAGGACTGTGTCAATGTATTGGCGTTGCAATAGGGATATTGTTTTGTTTGAACGATCACATTGGATTTCTATTCCGAGGATGTATTTTGCTTCTCCAAGGTCCCACATTTTGAATATGGATTCAAGTTTGGCTTTTGTGATATCCATGAATTTTCGGGATGAAGCTCCTAGGAGGAGGTCATCTACATAGACAACAACAAAGCATATTTGTTTGTTGTCCCGGAATACATAGAGACATGTTTCTGCATTTAGTCTTGTGAAACCGAGCTCCTGGAGCTTGCGA